TCTCCGCAACCAGTCCCTGTCATGTCTCTGGGCCAAATCCAGTCCGAGGTTGTCGAACCTATTGCCAGCCCCCCGCGACCGATACCTGTCATGTCTCTGGGCCAAATTCAGTCCGAGGTTGTCGAACCCATCGAGCCACCCTCACCAAAAACGCCCAAGGCCCTGGCGCCAGTCGCTATCGCGGCTCCCGTGCCACAGCTCAGCCTGTCGACCATCAAGACACAAGATATTGCGCCGACGGCCCTGCCGCAGCCCGTCTTGGGTTACTCCAGCATTGCTACAGAGGGAGTCTCGCCAGTATCTGAACCATTACCTGTTCTCCCTGCTCTTGGCTTCTCTTCAGTCAGGACCGAACACACAATGCCAGTCAGCCCTGCGAAGGTGCGCACACCCCAGCTGATGCTGTCGTCTATCTCGTCAGAGGCGATTCAGCCGAGAATGGCCCCAAAGAGCCGTCCGACGCTCTCATTCTCTACTATTCAATCCGTCAATATTGAGCCACAATCACCAAGAAATGAAAGAAGAAATGGGTTTATTCTGCCACGGCAGATTGAAAATACCCCCGAGAAGCCTACTCCCGAGACTCCTACTTCCAAGCTTTTCGGAACCATGTTTGGACGCGGAAAGGGCAAGGACGCTTCGCCCACCATCGCTGAAGATGAGACAAGGCAATCTCCATCGGATTCCCCGCATGCAGAGACGCCAGAGTCGCAGCGCCCCTTCAAGGAGATCTCAGCCAATAGCTCCACGCGACCGCCTCGCAAGTCTGTTTTGCGTAGCACCAATGACCAGGGTGCCCAGACTGCCCTCACCAGTGGTGCAATTGACCGCCTGCAAAAGGGTCATGCGAAGAGTCCATCAGTTGCGTCAGTGGGCAGTCCAGCGACGATGGGTACCGTTCGTATCCACCGCTCACAGGAAAGTCTGGCAAGTCATATCAACCGTGGCGTGGACTTTGACGACTCCATGTACGACACGGGGTCTGTCATCATTCGGCCTGGCAGCGCAGCCAGCGGAAGGCGGTCGGTCTATGAGACAGCTCCGCCTCTGCCTACCAACCACCGCCAGGCAATCCAAGCCGCTGGTTCGCAGACACAGACCAACATGGGTCCGCCACTATGGCCTGCTTCTGCGATGAAGCGTCCCAGCACACCAAGCCAACGAGGTGGACCAGGATCTGCCTACAATGGAACGCCGACTCCCCGAGCTGCGCGCACTGGCGTCTTTGTCGACTTTCAGCCAAAGACCACAGCTATCGGCAGACAACCTTCAGTCTCCTCCTTTGCTTCGGACATTGATGCGCGATTCGACCTGCAGGCTACGGACATGGATCCCACTGGTTTTGGCCCCAACACCGATCCTCGTATGATCCAGGCCATCACGCAGACCATGATTGGCGAATATCTGTGGAAATACACGCGCAAAACTGGTCGTGGTGAGCTGTCTGCCAACCGACATCGTCGCTACTTCTGGGTGCACCCATACACGAGAACTCTGTACTGGGGCGATCAAGATCCGTCCAGCGCGGGGCGATCTGAGCTCAAGGCTAAGAGCGTGCCGATTGAGGCTGTTCGCGTTGTCACTGATGACAACCCGATGCCTCCTGGGCTGCACCGCAAGAGTCTGGTGATTATTGCTCCGGGACGGACCATCAAGTTTACTTGCCCTACCGGCCAGCGGCACGAGACATGGTTCAATGCGCTGTCGTATCTACTTGTTCGAACAGAACCCCAGGCAACATATGACGCCGAGGATGTCGCGGACTCGATCACGCGCGAGGATGTTGACGAGTTCAACCCGCAGTTTGGGCGCCGACGTGGACATGGCAACCGCCCAGAGCAACAGTCAGTGTCGTCGTACAACTCGAGGACTGTGAGAAACGAGTCGCCAGCCGAAGTGTATTCGATGGCAGTGCCGACACTGACGCCTAGTGCGCGCCGCACCGCCCTCGCCAACAAGGCTTCCAAGGGCACTCTGAACAAGATTAGCGGATACTGGAAGCTGTCAAGTCTCCGAAGCCGCGCGGGCGGTAGCAACGTTGACCTCTATTCGACTAATCAGGTGCACGACAGCGCCGAGGACCTGCGCGAGCTGATTGAGCGCCAGGACCGCGACGCGGATCGTCTGGAGAATGTGCGAGCGTGCTGCGACGGCAAGCATGATGTGGGCAGCGTTCCTCACTCGTCGAAGCGCCATCGTCACAGCCACGCTCATCCTGCGCGCTCGGCCAATACGACACCGGTGTCTTCCACGCGAACCCGGGCTTGAGCATCTTCCCTTTCTGAAAGTAATACATATTTTTGCAAACATTTCTTTTTACGAAACACTCTACACTCTTTACGGAAATATGGGGATAGTCTACTTCCCCATTATCCCTCGAAACCTGATGATTCTGACGAAACTCTTTTTGTTAGTCCAAACTTTTTCCACTTTACTCTATTTTATTTCATGTTTTTGCAGCATTCTCTGTTTCTACTGAACCACTCCCTCACATTGGCGGTCGTACCAAGACTGCCGTTTCCCTTGTCTGTCGTTTTGTAAAAATAGGAACATGGGGTTGACCTTGAAATTGTTCACTTTTTACCATTGTTTCCGTGTTTTGGCTTGGTCCATCTTTCAGTTTGCTGTTTGTGAACATGGCCTTGCCTGCTGGACGGGAGTATGATTCCATCTTTTTTCTTTGGCAAAGCCGAGAGTGCACACCCTTTTCTTTTTCCACCAGGAGCCAAGAGGCGTTTTCCTGGAACCTCTTTTGTTTAGCATGAGAATATTATACTCTGTTGCAAGCATTCTTAGTGCCGTGATACTGTGAGGTGTTGGTTGCCTTTCACGGTGACAATTGAACATATTGCATCCTTTGTCTGTACGAACTTGTTACCTCATAAGTAGGAATTAATGTTACTAATAAGCTTTGTGAGTTCATTTGACAGCGTCGATCTGATCCCTAGAATAGCGCCCTTTCAGTGGAACCAGGGCGATGGCTAGTGGAAGCAATCACCAAAGGTATAATCAGCTAGTAAAATGGCGACTGGATCTTCTAATCCTCGTCATGAATGAATAACATATTAAACAACTTTCAAAGCTAACTAGTCTTCCTTGGTGAGCCGCCGGCGTTGATTAGAGGAGTATCTCGACCCATCACATGACGTAGTTGAACCACGCGCAAAATTGGCCCCAGCTTTTTTTCTGGCGCTGGAGCTACTCCAAACAGTGACACGACACCTTGGCTGCTCCGAGGCTGACTTTCTACATCACCACGCTTCTAGTCTCTCTTGTTGGCTAATGACTAGCCAGGTCTCTTATTTCACGTTTTGGGTTTTCTCTTCTCTTCGCTTCGTTTTAGAATTCTATCCAATTTCTCCCTCTCTCGTTCTAACCCACCTCCATCCCACCGACAAACGGACCAGCCGGCGTTTTGTGCATTCAGGACACCTTTGTTATAACCGCTCCCCATCCGCAACCACATTGGACATGCCGCTCTGTCTCAGACCATCATAACAACTACCCATTGCCGTCCGATTACGATTTCGATACCCCAACGGTTCATCCGAAACTTCTTACTGCCACTCCATACATATAGACGCCCGCCACACACGCCCAGCCGGTCATGGGTCCCTGGACGGCCTTGCTGGTGGCGTACCTTATCGGAGGCGTCACCTTTGTGCCGCTGCTCGTGGGCTTCGTCCTGCTGCACGCGCACTACACCCTGCCCTTTCGCCATGACCTCGACGGCGTCCCAGACGGGCACCCGGATAGCGTGGTGCAGGACGGCGACGACACCGCCGCACTCGACGCTCATCGCGCCAAAGAGCGGGGTGACGGTGGCAGCGGCAGCAGCGACGACGACGGGCGGAACAGGCGGAAAAAGGACAGCGATGCGGCGGTACACGAAATGGACGTTGCCGCGGGCTACTTTGCCGTGTGTAGAGAATATACGGCCATGGGCATCAACGCGAAGCCGATTGAGAGGTCGACCCCGGTCGGGACCGCCACGGTCGCGCCGCCGAGCCCCAGCGTCTACCAGACCATGTACCGGAGCATCTTTGACAGGAAGCCGGTGCAGGGACCGATTGAAAATCATAGCATGAGCCACCGGCCGAAAAAGGCGGGCAACGTATTTTATGTCGTACTCAGGTATGGACTACTTGGGAACTGTCAGCGGATTGATAGATGCTAACAGATGCTGACAGACATGGCCACATTATGCTGTTTGACGACGAGGTGCAGCTCGAGGTCCGACACGTCATCAGCCTCGCTCATTACGATATTAGCATATACTCGGGCGGCGACGAGACACCCGAAGGCGAGCTGTTCATCAAGCGTAACGCCCTGTGCCTGACGCGCCGCGACGCCCTCGCCGACGACGGCGGGCCCGTCGCTAAGCCCTTTTACCTCTTTTCTGAAAATTGCTCCGCTAAGGAGGACTTTTACTTTGCGTTGCTCAAGAACCAGGAGCAAACCTTTCCTGGCCTCGAGGGCTGCCCGCCGCGGCCCAAGCACTTTGACATCAAAGACATCATCACGCTCGTGCAGCGACTGCATTCATCCGAGGAGAATATCCACTCGCGCTGGATTAACGCCTTGCTCGGCCGCCTCTTTCTCAGCGTGTACAGGACCAAGGACCTGGAAAACTTTATCGCGAGCAAGATTGCCAAGAAGATTTCGCGCGTCAAGACGCCCTCGTACCTGACCAACATTGCCATTCGCAAAATTGACACGGGCGAGGCCGCGCCCTTTTTCCATAACCTGCGCCTCAAAGAGTTCACCGTCGACGGCGAGTGCGTCGTCGAGACGGACATGCGCTACACCGGCCAGTTCCGCCTCGAAGTCGAGGCCACGGCCAAGATTGACCTCGGCACGCGCATCAAAGCGCGCGAGGTCAACCTGGTGCTCGCCCTCGTTATGCGGCGCATCGAGGGCCACATGCTCTTCAAAATCAAGCCTCCGCCCAGCAACCGCCTCTGGTTGTCGTTTCAGACCATGCCCAAGATGGAGCTCGCCATTGAGCCCGTCGTCAGCAGCCGCCAGATTACCTACACCGTCATCCTCCGCCAGATTGAGAACCGCATCAAGGAGGTCTTTGCCGAGACCCTGGTCCAGCCGTTTTGGGACGACGTGCCATTTTTCCGTACAGAGCACAAGCAGTGGCGCGGCGGCATCTTTGAGGGCGACGACGCGGTTGAGGGCGAGGAGGATGCCGAGGTGACGCTGCCGCCACCGGCCGTGCCGATCCCTGATGGATACGTCCCTACGGAGACGGCGGTTGACGTCGCGCCAGAGGAACAGGCTGCGGTCGCCACCGAACCGCCGGCCTCGTCGCGACCGGTGGAGAAGAGCCAGGCGATGCCGACGCTGGAGAACCAGGCGCCGGCGGCAACGGGGCTGTTTGGCCGCCGGCTTGGAACGAGTAAGCTGGGAGCGCACTCACCTGCAGCTGCGTCGGCGGTGAGCCTGGACGCCAAGGGTGCGGCGGCGACGACATCCCGCTCACCCAACATCATCAGGCACAGCAGCGTGGAGCCAGTTGTCGGCACCGAGGCTGCGCATGCCGACTGGTTCCGGCCTTCGACCTCGCCGCCCGACCATGCCACGAGCCTCATTGCCGCGCTGCACTCCAAGGCGCAACAGGAAGCCTCGTCTCCGCTTGTCACACCCGTCGGGTCGCCCGTTAAGTACGCGCGCGGCAAGCCGAGTGATGCCTCGTCAGTCTCCTCCAAAGAAGACTGTGCTCTTGATAGCGTCGCCCCCGCGAGCGAGCCGCACAACAATAGCAACGGCACGATAACCCCGCCCACGCGCCGCAACACAGTTTCGTCGCACGGATCGGCATCCCATGAAGGCGGCAATGGCCAGCATTCCCCCAACGGCAGCACTTTTAGCCAGGCCGGGTCCATCGGACGCAAGTTCTTTATGAAGCGCGAAAACACTAACGCATCCATCGCCACGACCTCGACGGGTACGAGCGATGGCGGGTCGAAGCGCAATAACACATTGGCAGCTGTAACGAACGTCGCCAACCAGGCCCGGCAGTGGGGCTGGAACGCCATTCAACGACAAAAGGACGCGCGCCGCCACAGCGAGGCGGCTTCGAGCCAGGTCGACCTCTCGCAGCCCATGGGTCGCGGGCAGCCGCTGCCGCCACCAGGCATGCCGCTACCCGGTCCGACCAACGGCAAGACCAAGCTTGTCGCGCCGATTGCGGTGCCTAAGCGCAAGCCCGTACCGCCGGCGTCGGTCCCCGAGCACGCGGCTGAGACCATCGACTCGCCCGACAAGAAGCCAGAGCGGCCGCGGACCAGCCACTCGCAGAAGCACGAGGAGGACAGGGACAGGGATACACGGCCGCCGCTGCCGCAACGACGACGGCGCGCGGCGGCAGGTCAGGCTATCGTGGAAGAGCCAGATGCTAGCGTGGAGAATGTGCTCGTCATAAGCGCCCCGGACGACTCTGAGCCGCCGACGCCCATGGACGACGGGGATGATGAGTCTCTTTTTGCTCCCGCCCAGGATGACGGCAAGATGCTAGCAGCGGCTGACGGCATTCCGCGGAAACCGGTGCCAGTACCCGTTACCGTTGTCAAGGACGTGGCGGATCCAGAAGCGGACTCGACGCCCATCGCCTACCCTGTGCCGCGATTTAGCGCTACCGAAGCTGGTTCTACCGAGCTCCCCGCCCTGGACGATGAGGATCTGCCGCACGAGGATGGCAAACCGCTCGTGGCAATGCCGCTGTCGACGACCCCACCAGAGGCGACTGTGGACGAGGAGGACGATGATGGGTTCGCGGGGTGGATGGATGAGGATAACGGTCCGGGGACGCCTCCACTCCAGGCAGAGGGTGCGCTGCCTCCGCCGGTGACGAGCCTCGAAAAGTAACAAAGGGGAACATTGTACATAGAAGGAAGATATACACGCGGTATTACATATACAGAATGGATGCGTGAAGAGTGACAGTGGGAGACTTTGGCGTTCTGGGAAACTTGATACCGGCTGGGGGTAGATTTTAATGGCATGGAGATGTTGGTTAGAAATTATAATCAAGACCAAATGCATACTAAACAGGCGTGAAAGAATGGTGTTCGTTCAATGATTAGTAAAATAGTTGTGCTCAAACCCGCCATGAACTCCTCGCCAATGCATGCAACGACCAAAATATGAATAATCACAATCAAACTTGCTCTAAGAAGTTGCAGCTACCACTCTAGATCCTTGCGCCGCAGCGCCTCCGTCAAGCTTCCCATCACCGGCAGCGCATTCGCCCGCTCGCCCGCCACCTTGGTGCGCTGGCGCATGCGCGTCCAAAACACGGGACAGTCCCCGCTGTCGCACGGCACGTCATCGAGCGGCGCCACGCCCATGCAGCCGCGGCAGACGGCGAGCAGTTCCTGGTACTTGGTTTCATCTGTCGCGAGTCTGGTCTGCAGCGCGAGCAGCGACGCCGTGTCTGCGGCGCGACACCGCGGACACAGCGCCGCGGCGTGTGGCGTGGCGGCCGCTGCCGCCGCCGCCGCCTCGCGGAGAAACTTGACGCCACACACGAGACAGTGCGTCGACTTCATGTACGACTCGAGGGTGGAGCGTTTCCCACCGGCGGCGGCCGCGGTATGGTGGATGCGCTGGACCTTGGGCATCTCGTCGTACCACTGGCGGACGCTGGCGCCGACGAGGCTAAACAGGCGCTCGAGCGGGGGAATCAGGTTCTTGCTAATGTAGTACTCGGCGTCGAGCTGCCAGTGGGGGTTGGCGAGGAGCTCCTCGGGGGCGACGCAGCGGTCAATGAGGCGGGCGCCGGGCGCGCCGGTGATGACGACGTACGGCACGCGCTCGCCGTACTGCGGCTCGGCGCGCGCGTCGTGCAGCATCTTGCGCGCGCTGATGAGGGCGCCGGCCGGCGGCGGGCCCTTGTCCGCGTAGCTTCCGAGGCGCACCTCGCGCGCGAAGCAAAAATCCTGGACGCTCACGGCGCCGCGCATAATCTTGGTGCACTGCGCCTGGAAGTAGGCCTTGATCTGGCTCAGGTCGGCCGTCTCAAAGAGCAGACGGAGCGCCTTTTCCTCAATCTTCTGCTCGGCGGGCGTGCCGTCGCGACGGACCGTCTCGATGCCCTTGGCGTCAAAGACAGGGACGGCCTGGTCCTTGGTCTCGTACATGTAGCCCACGTAGCGCTTCTTGGTCTGCAGCACGCACGGGAGGTACACTTTTTCAAACTTGAGCTTCATCGGGCGCGGGTTCATCTGGGAAATCTCTTGCGCAATCTCGTTGCCAATGTCAAAGGCCTGGTCTTTGGTGCGGCCCTTTAGATGGATGAAGAGACTGTCTGTGTCGCCGTAGACAACCTCGGCGCCCCATTTCTCGACAGAGTGAATGTAGGCAATGGATCGCTCGAGGGTCTCGCGCGCCGTCTGCACGATGCTGTCGGCGATTTCGGAGCACGGCATGCGGCCGGAGAACGAGGCAGAGGTGTAACCATAGGTCACGTTGGCCAGCAGCTTCAAAGCCAGTTGTCTGTTGTTGAGCAGCTGCTGTAGCATTTTGTCGTCCTTGTCTTCCTTCATGCCACTCTTGACCATGACTCTCGCCTCCAGAATCTCGGTCAACATCTTGGCCAGCAAAGACTTGCGAATCTCGGCTTTTACAAACATCATGCCATTGGGCGCAATGTTGATGTAGTCTTTCAGCAGAGCCATGAGTCCAGCCTGGCGCTTATACTCCGTGAAGCCCATCTTACTTGTTCCGCACCAGTTGACGATGCGGCCCAAAAAGGTCGAGTAACAGTAATTGTAGGCAATCATGACGCTGGGATACAGGCTCTGGAAATCCAGCACGAGTACCGGGCTGCTATAGAGGGCGCTCTGTGGCTCCATAACAAGTGGCAGGCATTCCAATGCATTCTGGCCGCCAACCTGCTTCTTGCTCGGCGATATCAGCAGGAAATTCTCCGGCTTTGCGATGCGAAACATGATCGACTCCACTTTGAACTGCGAGCCGCGGGAGAATACAGAGAAGAAGTCAACGCCGAGAAGTCTCGCTTGCTCGCTGGTCCTAGGAATCAGCTCGTTCGCCTCGAGAATCTGTAGATCGATCTTGGTGCGACTCTGGAAATAGCGAAGTAGCTTTGAGAGATCGCTAGGCTTGCCGCTCTTATACCACGCTGTCAACGTCTTGTACGAGTAATGAGGTACACGCCGGTGAAGCAAATGCCAGGCAACATTCTCCAGGGTGTATTGCAGAAGATTAAGCTCCCCGCGCATTGCTCGCCAGATGTTGATCATATGGCGGCCCGTCACACGGATTGTCGATGTGGTGTTGAAGCCCCAGCGATCGCTCTGCTTGCCGAACCTACCATGTGATTGGGCATTAACTCTGGAAAGCTCGTTGCACAGATCATAGTCATATTTGAGTCTTGCTCTCTCCATCAAAAAGCCCCAGGATCCACCATGAACTTCATATCCCGTCAATATGTCGGGATCTAGTTCCTTGACCACGTCACCGAGACGCACAAGGAGGTTTAATTCCGAATCCTCCTCGATGACTTCAGCTTTGCAAGTTTTGCGGAGGCGTCTTGCTACGTCACCGCCAGATCCCAGCACAATAAGGCCAGAAATGGTACCGTCGCCGTCATTCTGCGAGGCATACGTGACTTCGTCGCCCTTGCAGCACCAAAATATACACTGCACTTCGTCTTCTTCAGGGTTTGGCACCAACTTCGCTCGCGTGTTGACATGAACCTCGAGACACATTGTGCTCATGTATTGCACTTCGTGCTGAACGTTGGTGGACTTGCGTTGCTGCGTGTACTTGAAACCGTGTTTATTCTTTGGCGTCGGGCCGTCAATTTGAGACAGATACTTGCTGCGACGCTGGACAAAATTTTGCGAATTTGCAGTCCTGTCTTTCTCATCAAGCCAACGTGTGATCTCGGCAAACGTTGGTGGAGGGGTACCAATCTCCCAAGTTCGCAAGCTGCAATTCCTTCTTTGTCTCTCCAGAGCTAGACCGGAGGGAATGGAGGTTATCTCCAAAGCTCCATTGCTACCATCGCCAAATTCAAAGGCCGGCAGATACGGTAGCGAATTACCAGTCAAACGAAATTCCCGGCCTGCGAACTCTCTGCTTCTAGCAGGGACATCCCTTTCATCACTGTAAAACGGGCTCTGATAAAGCTGATCAGGCAAGCGAAACTGTGCCAGCGAGTCTGCGTCGTTTGGTGGTGGTGGGAGAGTGGCATATATTACAGTTGGCCGCGACGATGTCTCGGCGATGGCATGTGGGATCTTATCCACGCCATTGCTGACGGTAGAGTTGAGCAGGCTGGCTTGTGACAGGGAAAATGGCTGTGAGGATGGAAACGTAAATCCGTGGCCGCCAGACGAGGTGAAAGTGGACAGGTCTTGTTGATACTTTACAGGCAAGCCACTATCGCTCGCCTGTGAAGCCGATGGTTTGCTTCTTTGGCTCAAACGCAGTCTGGTATGAGGGTCATTCTGGTTCTTGATTATCGCAAAGTTGAGTGTACCATTTGGCGTAGTTGATCCGTCTGCATGTTTCGGTGTAGGCGAGGACGGCAAATTGAACGTAGCTCTGCGCTCTCGGGCGCCTCGCTTCATCTTGATCTTTGGCGGAGTCGCATCCTCTTGTTTGGGTTTTTTCGAAACCATGTCAGACCATAATCCAGAACCAGCACGTTTCAATTCTCTTCCCCGAGTCGGCGGTAGATTGTGGTATCTAGACCTTCCAATGAACCCGCCATTTTCTGCAGCATTTATAATAGTGGCTGATACGGCCATTTCAGGGAGAAGGCCCGTTTTGCAGCCGCTCACACAGACTCCCGGTATCAACTCTTCCAATGGCTTTCCCTCCAAAATTGCCGAATCTAGGAGGGACGTATCTGAGTCGGAATCGTCCTCGTCGCCTCCCATCAGTTGATGCAAAGCTTCGTCATCTGATTCTGGAAAGTAGAAAGATTCACTGGCAGCATTGACTTGCCGCGCTTTCTGTTCATCAACCTCAATGCTGCTGGCCGGATTAATTTTGCTTTCTAAAGCTGCGGACGGAAGACCAAGTGCTGGTACGAGGCTTGAAGGATGCAGATCTTCCACAGATTGCAGGACTGTTTTGACAGTCACTTCAAATGGATCTGGCCGCACAAATTCCTCAAATGAAGGTACCGCAGAACCGATACTTTCGCGATCTGCGACGACAAGCTCTTCAATCTTCATCTTGTATTCGTCCTCGTGAAGCCAGGCTTGAGACAATGAACCTCGCGGTTCCGCAGACATTGGCACCAGAGCTTCGGGAGGAAATGGCGTGCTACCAGGTTTGAGCCGTGGCATACGCCGTCGTCGCCGTGCTGTTTCGTCTTTCCATAATCCTGCCATGCTATGGACGAGTTTCATGTCGCTGGGTAACGGCTCTGAGAGCTCGACAAAGCGATGGTGGAGTTGCCGTTCTTGCACCAGCGTCCGGTTGATAATGTCCTGCACGCATATGTCCACTTCGATAGAACAGCGGCTTACACGGGGTAGTGAATGATCATCAGTTATGCGACCTGGAGGTATAGACAGATCATGCCACAGATGCGATGAATTTGAGCCGTCATTGTGAGCAGGCACTGGTGCACGGAATGCCGTCTGCGATGCATCCAAATAGTCGCAGCCAAACAAGTTGTAGTCGATCATGAACTGCGAAAGGTATTGCAGATGAGCTTCATAAGGCTGAAATTTTTGTTTCAAAATAGCACCTTGTTGAAGTAAATCAGTCAAGCGCGTCATCACCATCGGATTATACATATAAATCTTGAGAAAGAACCGATATCCGACATGGTAGCCATAGAATGGTACACCCTTTACAAGGGTAATGCGGGCGACGAATCTCGAATTGAGACCTTGCTCATCTCGTCGAAAACTCACAGATAGAGCATGATCAATTGAGAGATGCAGTTTGAAAATAAAGGATCCGACTTGGGGCGGGTTAACATGCTGTTACTCACTGAGAGGCTTCTTACATACCTTCATCTTGGGAAAGGCCGCCTTCATATTCAATAAACAAATATGGAAAGGCTCCATGAACATGCACACAGACTTTTTGCCCCGTCTCTGTTGAACCGAATATTCGAATGACGGGAACTTTGGGCCCTCTGGCCGCCTGCGAAGGTCGGATGTCATTGCGAAGTTGCGGGTCGTATGAAGTGGGCGTCGCCTGGTAACTGTCGATGCAGTTCAACCTGACGCGGAACAAGTCCATTATTTCCGATGCGGGAATCCATTTGAGAGCATGATGTTAAAGCGCTCCGACGTCAACAGTAATAATATCTTTCAACAAATTGAAGCCATCACGACCGGTGACTATTTGCCCTTCCGTGTTAAACATGGCGCTACAAACGACAGGCAGCGACAACAGTCGCCCCACCGCGCGAAGACACGTGATGATAGGCGCTTCTTATCGCATGTCGTTGCCCTTTCCATTGCGCAACCTTGTCCTGTCAACACCTCGAAATCGATGCGCCCTTCTGCGAAATCTTAAATGCACGCCGGATCTAGCTGGCCCTAAACGCTGAGATTGATAATTTGTCGAAAAGCAGGCTGCGCGCAGTCCGCTCGTCACTGGACGATGCCTCCACCACCTCCAAGAAAATCCGAGACTGGTGCTGCGAATAAGGAAGAGAATATCTACATTCCTTCATTCATTAGCAAAAAGCCCTTTTATGCTGGTGATGAAGATGACGATGGTGCCGATTACTTAAAGCATCAGCGTCGCGAAGAAAAGAAGGAATCGTCAAAATGGTACGACCGCGGCAAGAAGGCAGGCCCAGCTGCAACTAAGTATCGCAAAGGCGCCTGCGAGAATTGCGGTGCCATGTCACACAAGGCGAAGGACTGTCTGAGTCGGCCGCGGGCGAAGGGAGCGAAGTGGACTGGCAAGGATATCCAGGCCGACGAGGTCCTCCAGAACGTCAACCTTGGTTGGGATGCCAAACGAGACCGCTGGAACGGCTACGACGCCAAAGAGTACAAACATGTGGTGGAGGACTATAACGAAATGGAAAAACTAAGAAAAATGGCGCAAAAGGGCGCTGGCGTGGACGACGAGGATGATGACGGCGACAAATACGCAGAGGAGAATGACATGAGCAAGCACCAGAGCACAGCCACGCGACAACTACGCATACGAGAAGACACAGCGAAATATCTGTTAAATTTGGATCTTGAGTCTGCCAAGTACGACCCCAAGACACGATCGCTGGTCGATGGTGGCGCAACCGCCGATCAGGCCGCCGATTTATTTGCTGAGGAAGGGTTCATGAGGTCTTCGGGCGATGCGGGTGAATTCGAAAAGGCTCAGCGTCTTGCATGGGAGGCCCAGGAGAAGTCTGGCAATACCTCTCTGCATATGCAGGCCAATCCCACTGCCGGAGCCTTCCTCCGTAAACAGGAGGCTGAAGCAGACGAGACGAAGCGGGCCGAGAGAGAAAAGCAGCTGCAAGACAAGTATGGTGGCGGAGAGCAAAAGTCTATGCCAAGCTCTCTACGCAACATGATGATTACGGAATCCGAAAGCTTTGTCGAATACGACGAGGCCGGATTAATCAAGGGTGCACCCAAGAAGAAGGTTAAATCCAAGTACAACGAGGACGTTTTGATCAACAACCACACTTCAGTATGGGGGAGCTGGTGGTCAAGTTTCAAATGGGGTTATGCTTGCTGTCACTCTTTCATCAAGAACAGTTACTGCACTGGAGAAGATGGCAAGTCAGCATGGGAGGCTGCGGAGCGGCAACGGACTGGCGCCAGCCTCGGCAACGATGCCGAAGAGCAGCCAGCAGAGGACAAGGAGCCTGACGGCAACTTCGAAGTGGATGAAAAGCCCAAGAAAAGAACCAGGGAAGAAATGATGAACGGGGTTACAGAGAAAGAAATGGACGAGTACCGCCGGAAGAGAACTGTGGCAGCAGATCCCATGGCAAATTTTCTGGGTAAAGACGAGCTGTTATAGGGACCTCACTGTACATAGATATACAAAACCAAGATACCACACAATCAATTGAGACGAACATCCCAATCGAGTCACATTACTTACGGCAACACATACGACGAGACGAGGCAAATACAGTAATTGTTTGTAATCATTCCAATTTTTTATCCGTTGATAACGCCCCGAGACATGACGCGAAATCCCTTTCCGAACTTCAAATGACATTTTCGTGGCGCAGTAGGCGTGGAGAGGGTGTGCACCGACATTTTCTAGTCAATGCGTTTACTCCTCCTCCTCTTCCTCCTCCTCGACGCCCTCGGCGGCAGCCTTGGCCTTCTTTCTGCGGACACGGCCGGGGCGGCCAGAACCGAAGGGAGAGTTGAGAGCAAAGTCAATGTGCTTCTGGGAGTCGAGACGGACGATGAAAGAAGGAACGTTGACAATCTGCTTGCCGACGCGGATGTGGCGCTGGCGGATCAGAACACGGGCGTGGTGGATGGACTTGGCGAGACCGAGCTTGTAGACGCAGGTCTGGAGGCGACGCTCGAGGAAATCCTCAATCTTGAGGGCAAGGACGTAATCGAGTTTCATGCGAGACTCGTCGAGGACACCGACGCGGACAAGACGGCGAATGAGGGCGTTGCCTTCAAACAGACGCTTAGGGTCCTTCTCGTCGAGGGTAAGAAGCTGACTGTAGTAGAGACATCATATTAGCCGAAAAATTCGCCATGTAAAATTTCCAGGTCCGCAATAGCCTACCGAGCAGCACGACGAATCTTGGACAGCGTCAGACCGACGCGCCACACCTCACGCTTGTTGCGGAGGCCATACTCGCCAACGAGCTTGAGCTCGGAGTCACTATTGCATCGGAGTCAGTTTCGAGTCACAATCGACGTAAACAGAGACAAGCTCATGTTAAGTGGCCGGTGAATACTGACAGTCGGGCAGACTCGAAGGGTCTACGGGGGACACGAGAGGTCTTGGAGTGGGCGCGGGGAGCCATCCTGAATTGAAGAGGTTAGAGGTTGAAAAAATCTCGAGTTGGGGTCAACTTTTGAGCACTCACTTGACTTTCTCCGTGAATGGTTGCTGGAGGGTGAACTTCTACGCAGCTGGCCCAGGAAATCGTTAAAGTGTTGTGGGGATTGGCCAATTTTTGGGGCGCGATGCATCACGTGGGCGGGTTTTTGCGAACCCTAACGGGGGCGCCACCAAACACACTTCTTTGCCCTACGCTGTCCTAGCGAGAAAAGTGGACAAGGGCAGGAAAAAAAGTTGCATTAGCTAAGCATCGCAAGCCCACAAGCTGTTGCGCAAAATCAGTAGTCAATCCACTCGCGCTTTTGCTGTACTTTGTCAATCCACGATCACCAACACCGAACCCCCCCGTGACGTTCCGGTAATAATCAGACAAAATGGGTCACTCCTACGGAAAGAGAGCGGGCACCCGCGTACGTTTTCGAACTCGAATACTGAGAAGTGGGAGGAATTGTCTTGTACTGACTGCGTGTACAGTATGCCTTCAGCCGCGACTTCCGCAAGAAGGGTACGTTGGCTATGACCACGTACCTGCGCCAGTACCGGTATGTCGAAATCGAACCTACGGGAAAGCTTTGAGCGTGGGAACGACTTGGCTAACGAGCAAATAGCGTCGGTGATATTGTCGATATCAAGGTCAACGGTGCCGTCCAGAAGGGGTAAGATTCAACCGCCACTCCAATTCGAACGCTCGAGATGCGAATACCTTTTTGCGGACAAACGAACGAAACATTCTACGACAACCAGAGCTGGAAACTAACGGGTGATACAGTATGCCCTTCAAGGTCTACCACGGCAAGACTGGTGTCGTCTACAACGTCACCAAGTCCTCCGTCGGTATTATCATCTATAAGAAGGTCAACCACCGCTACCTCGAGAAGCGCCTGAACATCCGCATCGAGCACGTCAGCCCCTCGCGATCCCGCGACGACTTCCTGCGCCGTGTCAAGGAGAATGCCGAGAAGAAGAAGGCCGCTCGCGCTTCCGGTACCACCGTCCAGGTCAAGCGTCAGCCTCTGATGCCCCGCGAGGCCCGCACCGTCTCCCTCACCGACGTGCCCCCTGAGACCGTTACCCCCCTCGCATACGAGACAACGATTTAAAGAAAAAAGTGGAATTGGTTGCGCGGGGTACGCTGCGGTTGTTATTATTTTCTTGTGGTGTTGCGTCCGGATGGGAAAGATTCTCAGCATGGCAGGGTCTGCATTTCAATGTCCATAGGGAATGAACCTAAAAAAATGACATCTCCAAAAAATGATACTCTTGAGGCGGAGGGAATGTGAAGGTGTGTTGGCATGGACCCGATCAATACCTACCTACCTACGCAACATACCACCGTTGGCCATGGCAATCGATTGACTGTGTGGTGTTGATTATTCGGGCAGCTGTACTCAAAGCTTCTGCACCACTGCATATCAATCCAGCGCATGTGAAATAACATAGAAAGGCTGAACCGCTGTCGCCTCGCTCGCCTAGAACATTATAGAGAAAATTAAAATTATCCGTCACGATATGGTGTTGCCGCTTGATGAAGCACAGCATGATCGTTTCAGCCAAGCAAGTGCAGGGGCCGCGGCAGTTATATCAGGCTGTGGCCTACCTGGTGGTCATCATTCCCCGCGCCTGATTTCCGTAAGTGGTGTACGCTGTAGCCTTTCCCGTAAGGCCCTCTGGACTTCAATTTAGGCTTACTCTTTTCGTTCCTTCTTCACTTCTCATAATCGCGAAGTGAAAATGCCACCGAACTTTGATACTTCCGATAGTGAAAACAGTGACGGCTTCGTTGTAACAGACAAGCCGAACCGTTCCAACATCCCCGCACTCAGCGCAGAGAAGCTAAGAAAAGTACGGGAATGGCTCGAACCAACGGCCTACGACATCTCGGGCGGCGAATATCGAAAGCATGCATTTTCCTACCTTCCAGGGACTGGAAGCTGGCTAATCGCATCGCCCGAGTATCAGCAGTGGCTGACGAGCCAAGACCACGGCCTCCTTTGGATCAAGGGAATTCCTGGGTCAGGCAAATCAGTCATGGCCGCCAAAATTGTTTCTGAATTGACCACATCTGAGCCGGAATGCCCTGTTTTATACTTTTTCTTTCGGCAAATCATCGATGCCAACCACGAGCCCGCGTCGCTGCTGCGCGATTGGATGGATCAGCTCTTGGGGCATAGTCCCATTTTGCAGCAGCAGCTGTATTCCTATGTAAAAAGCGATCGGTCTTTGGACAATATGTCGCAGGATGACATGTGGAAAGATTTGAAATTGGCAATCACGTCATTGCCCGACCGAGTGTTTTGCGTGACAGATGCTCTCGACGAAATGGATCAAGACAACGATTCCTTTCTCAAGGCACTAGCAAAACTCGGACACTGGCGGCCTGACAAAGTCAAGGTCCTCATAACGAGCCGACCGGTTCCAAGCGTTGAGATTCCTCTGCGCTCGACTACCTGTCTCAAAATTCGTCTGCAGGAAGACGAGGTCGATAATGACATCGCTCGCTTCGTCAAGCACTCCCTGGAGACCTCGAAAATTGATAGGAAAGACTGGGATGCAATCATGAATGCAGTACCGGGAAATGCAAACGGACTCTTTCTATACGCAAGGCTTGCAATGGACGCCTTTCTCGAACCCGCTGCCGACGTCCAAACAGCTTTGGCGCACCTTCCCGCCGATCTCAACGTTCTCTACACAAACCTTCTCAGAGAGCATATTGCTCGCTCCGGGGTGGACGCGAAGATCCAGAAACTGATTCTCGAGGCAGTTACGCATGCTACACGACCACTGCGCCTCCTCGAAATCGCTGAAATGATCAGCGTCGTTGATGCAGACCGGGATTTGAAAGCGCGAAAAGAGATTGTCAAGGCGGCTTGCGGTCCACTTCTAGAGATACTCGCAGATGAAACGGTCTCCGTTATACACCACTCCTTCACCGAGTATTTGAAAGGTGTCACGAGGCTAAAGGACGACCTCGGCTATCCGCTTCTGGATTCCGGTGCTGCTCATGAGCAATTGGCCTTAAATTGTCTCCGCTACCTCCAAAATGGAAGTTTGGATAGTTTCCCTGCTGAATTTGTAGAGAAACCGGCACACGGCTCATATAGCGATACAAAAGTGGCATCTTGGCAGAGATATCCCTTTCTCAAGTACGCGACTGGCAACTGGTTCAAGCATGTCGTCGCCGCGTGCTCTAAGTCATCGGATGACACAATATTACTTGCCGAGATTCGCCAATTACTTGAAAACGGTCACTTGCGGCGAGTCTGGTGCTGTCTAGAGCGAAAGGGCGTTGCATGGGATGTTCCGAAAGCTCACATTGCCGCTAAATTGGGCCTAACAGGGTACATCAAGGAGCTGATCGGCCGCGGTGAAGATACAGACTCTCTGGATAGCCGAGACAGAACTCCCATGTAAGATTTTGTGACCTGAAGTAGCACTTTCTGCGAATTCCTTGGCTAACACTGTTGGGCTGCAGTTGGTGGGCTGCAGGCGAGGGCCATTCGGAGACGGCTCGGGCATTGATTGCAGCAGGAGCCAGGCTAGATCGACAGGACACTGCAGAAGGCTACACTCCCCTACACCAAGCGGCAAGAGCAAACCATTTTGTAGTGGCTGATCTTTTGCTGCGGGCTGGCGTGAGCCCCATGATCCGAAGGGGTCTACGAAGCTCACATGCTTGGGGTAGCCATTGCGAGCCAAATTATGGCGAAAGCCCTCTTCTATGTGCTTGCGAGAAGGGTCACTTGGAGACACTCGAGGTCATGCTGAGATATATCACAGACCTCGGCAACATCCACTGGGCGTTGGCATGGGCCGCCTGTAGCGGACAGTCTCGGCTGGCTTCTCTGCTACTGGAGTACCCAGGAGTGAACGTGAATTCCAAGATTCATGGAAATACACTTCTTTACTTGGCCTGCGGTAGCCTTGATATAGAGACCATCAACCTTTTCTTACAGGCTGGCGCGGATGTAACGGCACTCAGCGTCGGCCGTGATCATCCGCTGAATGTTGACATTGACTACACGCCAGAACCGACAGGCGCCCCGACTCAGAGCTGCTTACGTGGCATGATTCAAAATCTCAGGCCAGAGAGTATTACAAGGAACTCGCTTACCATGCCAGAGATTGAAAAGGTTTTCAGGAATCTGTTCGCGGCTGGATTGGACGTGAATCAGCGTGACAGTACGGGACAGACCCTCCTGCATCGACTCACTAATTTCATCGAGCTCGTTCGTCTGCTAATCTCGGCGGGCGATGCTAGGGCTTTTGACATGAATAGAAGCACTCCGCTGCACTTTGTCCACAGTCCCGAGGCTGTTACGGAACTCGTTGAGAGGGGCGGTGCAGATGTGAATGCGGTGAATAGGGATGGTCGAACCCCGCTACATTGCGCGACCTCGGAGGCCGTGATCTCGAAGTTATTGGAATTTGGTAGCGACTCGAACATACTAGACCACAACGGTGATAGTACGTTGCATCTTTTGCTCTCACGGGGATGTCCCGCCAGCTACCTTGAACGTATCGCTCTGGTATTGCGATCCGGAGCAGATCCAAACGCCAAAAACCACAGCGGCCTGACGCCGCTCCGAAGCATAAAAAACTTCAATGAAGCCCGCGAAATTGTCGATTGCCTTGTTCAAGCTGGTGCCGACATTGATGCAAGGGATAAAAGCGGAAGAACAGGACTGTTCGACGTTGTAGGTCAGCTCTCTCATATCAGCCAGGAACGTGTAGGAACTCTCGAGTACCTAGTGGAGGCCGGGGCTTCCAAAGAAAGCGGAGATTTCCAAGGTCGCAAGATTGCACACGAGGTGATCAAGGGTGTGATGTCCCAGTACGATGTGGGGAGGATCGTCCAGTGGCTGGATGTTCTGGATAGTTTGGACCTCCTCGATTTGGAAGCTATCGACAATGCTGGCAACAGTCTTCTGCATGAATTTTGTTCACGTGTGCAAAATACCCGAAACAGACTTAACGTCGACATGCACCTGATCAGGTTACTTACAGGTGCGGGAGTGGACATTTCACAGAAAAATCATGCGGGACAAACACCACTTCATATCCTATGCACAAGGCCCTGCACATATGGAGGTTCTTGGTTTGCTTTTGACCAACCGATATCATACGCGATTCAGAAGTGCGAGGATATCGATGAGCGCGATGCGGATGGAAACACGGCCCTGCACGTCGCATCTGTGTACGAGCAATCCTGGTCCAAATTGCTGCTTGACGCTGGCGCCGACCCAACGTGCCGCAACCACGACGGCCTGACGCCGCTTCATCTGGCAGCGCGCTGCAAGCAAAGTAACGTGGTTGGTATGCTTCTGAGAGCGATACATGACCGTCTCGGCGATACACCTTCTGAGGAGGCTGATGTGATAAATGCGAGAGTGGTGAAGAGCTGCTATAACATATATGAGCCGTTTGACATTACCGCTCTGTTTTATGCCTGCCAGTCTGGACGGCCGGAAAGTGTGAAGCTTTTGTTAGATGCTGGCGCTGACCCCAACATGGGCAATCTGTTTGTAGCATGTGCAATGATGGAGCAGGAAAATCGACTGTGGACGGCAAAGGAACACGCCCCAGGAGACCCCATTGCCGCTTTGCGACCACTGGATACGACACGACCGCCAAAGGCTACGCTAGAACATCGATCAGACGTGCTTTCTCCCTTTACGTCAACCAGGCTGGAAGAGATTCTCGACATGTTGGTTTCGGCAGGCATCAAGTGGTCACTTCTTGATCCTGATCCATACAGGGGGCAAGCAAACCCGTTCGTGAAATCTTCTACCCTTGATAGCGGCTATGCACAGCAGTGTCTCAGCGCCTTCAAAAGGAAGCACGCAAAGGAGATGGTTGACATACTAGAGCATGTAAAGCAAGGAGATGTGCTGCAAGGCTTGCGCTTATTTGACGCGCAGATGGTGGATTCTAGCAGCAGTGCTGCTGAAAGCATGCTGCAGCAGAGCGGCTGGCTTCAGCAAGAGGGCATCGATGTTGGCATCTTTCAGGCAATCATCGTTCGGCGTCACTACCATCTGGTCAAGCAAATGGTCGAAGCTGGCTGTCGATTTCTTCGCCCAGGCATTCCGCATTTGGAATATCTTATTGCCCACGGCCTTGCATCCGTGTTTGACCAAATTGTGGAGGCAGAGACGCGAGCGAGATTGCACGAAGGAGAGTGGCATGCATTCGGTGACCCTTCCAGACCCGGTCTTTACTTTCAGCCTAAACCACAACAGGACGAGAAAGTGGAAGAGAAGACACGCAGAGAGGAAGTTCGAAACAATATGCTCGAGTATGCTGTATGCCGGGCGCTGCCCAACATGGAGATTGTACGGCTTCTAGTGGAGAAGTACGCAGTGAACATCAATGGTGGCTACAGAGAGAAGAACACAGCCTTGCACATAATCGCACGCGGGCGTCACTGGTGGCACGGCGCGCAAGCTCTGCAATATCTTGTACAGCTCGGAGCAGATGTAGAATGTCGGAATTCAGCCGGGCAGACGCCGCTCCATCTGGCGCTGGACAAGGAATACTCTGTACTTGGAGAGTTTGGGCCTTTCCACAAAGATGTTGCGGAGGCTTTGATCAACGCAGGCGCTGACGTTAATGCTATTGATTCCAAGGGGAGGAGCTGCCTGGACTTGGCAGGGTACAACACCGAGCTTATTGATTTACTCGTCAACAATGGGGCAGCAATACGCCCCGGGTCGATGTTTGTGGCGCTCCAGGCAGACAATAGCGCGGCGCTGGAGAAGCTATTGCAAGGAGGCGCAGATGCCAATAGCCGCATGCCGTATGTCGAGGATCATCTCCGAGAAACTGATTCTATGAATGACTGCTACTCGGGTGATAGCAGGATGACTTTCGATGCTGCGTTGATCCCTCGCCATGAAATAGTCCCACTCTATTACATCGCATCGAAGTCTGCTTTCCCCGAAGATGCGGACACGAGAAGTTGCTTCAGGAAACTTCTAAACCACGGCGCAGATATTTATGCGACTTTCCAGGTGCAGCGACGAGGACATCGATTCGTCCCGGCATACGTTGGGGACTACAACAAGCTGCTGGGAATCGCGGAAGAGGCTAAGGACACACCGGAGGAGCGTAGTGTTTTGCATGAACTTGTTCGGTTGGGAAAACTAAGCAAGTGCATCATGGACGCTGTGGACATGGACGCAAGCTGCCTGGATCCCAAAGGGTGCACCCTTTTGCATGCCATTTGCGACAGCTGGGCTGGTCCAGACGGCGTGATTGATATGACGTCGGACGACGAAGACGATGAGGATGAATCCGCTGAGGAGGGTATCGTGGCATTCCAGCAACTATTGGCGCTTGGCTGCGACATTCAAGCACGCGACAACAGCGGGCAGAGCGTTGTGCATCATCTGATTTATAGGGCTTGGAAGTATCCTCAAAAGCTAGGACGCCTGGAAAAGTTCATCGCCGAGATTTCACGTATCGCGCCGGATCTTCTCAGTGCGCCCAACGCTTCGGGTAACTCGCCCTTGCATTACAGTGCCTTGCTTGCCACGTCGACGCGACGAACGGAAAGGGTAGGCGGGAGTGGTGCTGATGACGATACCCGACCGGCGCAGCAGGAACTCATGGTCGACCTTACGCGACTCCTTTTGCGCAGCGGCGCGAGCCCAACCGGGGTCAATCAAGACGGCAACAGCGTGCTGCACTTCCTCGCACCTAACCTGGACCGGGGCGACGTGACGGCGCTATTCATAACGCTGGTGCGCGACCACGGGCTAGACGTCAACGCGAGCAACGCGCAGGGAGAGACGCCGCTGATGCTGCTAGCGAACCGCACCAGCGTACTGCTGCGGTTTTTCAGCAGCCGCAACGGGCTGTGCCTGGCCGACGAGGCCGCGGCTGAGGGCGTCGCGGCGCTGGCGGCGCTGGGCGCGGACTTTAGGGTCGCGGACGCGAGGGGGAACAGTCTCTTGCACCTTGCGGCCACGGACGAAGCGCGGCTCTTCAAGGCCGTCATGGACTGCGGCGGGCTGGACCCGATGGAGGAGAATGAGGCGCACCAGACGGCGATTGATGTGGCGGCGACGTGTAATAATAACGAGATACTGGCGTTGTTCGAGAAGAAGGTGTAGGGGAAAGGAGGTGGCCATGATGTTAAACGCTAGACAGACCAATGGATGGCCCTTTATCCCTGCCAGAAGCACCAATTTGCGGCGAATCGTGCGGACCAGCTGTGTTTCGCGACAGGTTGTTTAGGTACTCAGCCGCCGATAGGTAGGGAGGTAGTCATAGTAGCTTTGCGTAACTAGATATGTCAAAGATGAGGGAGAAGTGCTCGGAGGGAGATTGGAGTAATTACCACTGGCATCTAAATTTTGCCGCCTGGCTGTTGTCTGTTTGTCTGATGAGACCCAACTACAGAGTACGCGGCGGCACGATAAGGCAGCAAGCTGGAGGCTGGAGCCTGATGACCAAATCTTCAATGAGTCAGAATTGAGGCTTTTGATGCGTGCTGATTATAGTTAATTCTTCAACTAGTAGTACTTGTCTGTTGGAGGTGTTGACGTTTGAAGCTGCGAAGTTCTATTGCGGGGGTTGTGCCACCTTGATCAAAGTCAACCCCACATTGGTTGCGCTCAGCCACTGCCGCCGAGCATCATCACCAAACGCTGACGACAGCTCCTACGACTGTCCAGCTCGTCCATCGCCACCCGAGGAACGGCTTCCCCATCTAGAGTGCGCCCTTTGTCGGAGCCATTGCACGACAAAGTTGCGCTAGACGTTTTAAGATCCGCCCTTGAATTCCTCGCGCGAATTACTTCGCGAATCTAATCCCTACAACAACACACCCCTTACGAGGTATCCGAGCTCCCGGACGGCCGCGCTGCGTCATCATCGCCAATCATGGCGTCCCTTCGCACCGCCGAGCACACCAAGTACGTTTGCTACACGTGCTTCCTTGAAGACGCCAAATACAATGGTCATCGCTAACTACCAACTGCTCTCAGGACCGACCAGGAGCTTGCCATCTCCATCAAAAAAGCAACGAGTGCCGACGAAATCTCCCCCAAGCGCAAGCATGTCCGCGCTTGCATCGTTTACACATGGGATCACCGATCCTCCTTGGCCTTTTGGTCCGGCATCAAGGTGTAGGTCACCTAAACCCGCTGTGCCTCAACATGCGCTACGCTAACTGCCAACTCAACCTATACAGCCAACCCATCATGGCCGATGAGGTCCAAACCTTCAAGGCCCTCATCACTATTCACAAGGTCCTGCAGGAAGGCCACCCCAGTGCTCTCAAGGAGGCCATGGCCAACAGAGGCTGGATCGACGGCCTGAACCGTGGTATGGCTGGTGAGGGCGTTCGCGGTTATGGCCCTCTAATCAGAGAGTATGTCTATTTCCTGCTCGCCAAGCTGTCCTTCCATCAGGCCCACCCCGAATTCAACGGAACTTTCGAGTACGAAGAGTACATTAGTCTCAAGGCCATCAATGACCCCAATGAAGGCTATGAGACCATAACGGACCTCATGGTGCTGCAAGATAAGATCGAGCAGTTCCAAAAACTCATATTTTCCCACTTTCGCAACGTCGGCAATAACGAATGCCGAATCGCCGCGCTTGTGCCCCTCGTCCACGAAAGTTATGGAATTTACAAATTCATAACAAGCATGCTTCGCGCCCTTCACACCAGTAAGCATCATCACCTCTGCTTGGCCAACGCCGACTGCCAATACCGCTCTGTACTGACTCTCCCTAGTTACTGGCGATGACGATGCGCTGCAGCCCCTCCGCGAACGATACGATGCTCAACACTACAGATTGGTTAAGTTCTACTACGAGTGCTCCAACCTGCGCTACCTTACCAGCCTGATTAATATCCCCAAACTCCCCCATGATGCGCCGAACCTGCTTGCTGAAGACGAGAATGCCCCCGCTCTTCCTGCGCGTCCCAAGCAAGAGATTGAGCGCCAGCCCACCCCCGTTCCCGCACCCAAATCAGACGAGCCTGATGAGATCTCCGACTTCTGGAAGAGCGAACTGGACCGCCAGAATAGAGAGTACGAGGAACAGCAGCGCGTTCTGGAGCAGCGACAGCAGTCCCATCTCCAAGCCCAGCAGCAGGCCCAGCAGCAAGCGCAACGAGACTTTGATGAGCAGCAGAGACGCCTGGCCGAGCAACAGCAGCGGGAGCAAGAGGCCCTTCTTGCCCAACAGGCGCAGTGGCAGACCCAGGGCAGACTGGCAGAGCTCGAGCGCGAGAACCTCAACGCGCGTTCGCGCTTTGAGCAGGACCAGCTGATGCTACAAAAGTACGATCAACGTGTTAAGGCTCTCGAGGGCGAGCTGGCTCAGCTGCAGAACAATTACGGCCAGCAAATCACCAGCAAGGACGAGCAGATTCGAGCCCTGCAGGAGCAGGTCAATACCTGGAGGACAAAATACGAGGCTCTGGCCAAGTTGTACTCGCAACTGCGTACCGAGCATCTTGACCTTTTGCAAAAGTTCAAAGGCGTTCAGCTCAAAGCTGCCAGTGCGCAAGAAGCAATCGACCGACGCGAGAAGCTAGAGCGCGAAATCAAGACCAAGAACCTCGAGCTTGCTGATATGATTCGCGAACGCGACCGTGCCATGCACGACAAGGATCGACTCTCTGGCAGCAACAAAGACGAGCTAGAGAAGCTCAAGCGCGAGCTGCGCATGACCAACGACCGCGCTGATAACCTGGAGCGCAGCAAGGGCAACGAACTGTCGACTATGCTCGCCAAGTACAACCGCGAGATGAGCGACCTGGAGGAGGCTCTGCGTACCAAGTCTCGTGCCCTGGATGATGCTCACTCCAAACTCCATGACGGCAGCTCCGACCTGGAGCAGCTCCTGCGCGACAAAGAAGAAGAGCTCGAGGTGTACAAGGCTGGCATGGACCAGACGCTGATCGAACTGAACGATCTCAAGCAGAACCAGGGCAGCAACGACGAGGTCCTGGACAGCCAGCTTGATGTCATCATTATGGCCAACCTGGACAAGATCAACGACATCATTGACTCTGTCCTCCAGGCTGCCATCGGCCGCGTCGACGATGCGCTGTACGAGCTTGACTCCACTATGCAGGCTGGTAACCAAAACGCTTCGCCAGCCTACGTCTTGTCGCAGATTGAAAAGGCTGCCGCTAGCGCCATGGAGTTTGCGACATCTTTCAACAACTTCATTGCTGATGGCCCCAATAGCACGCATGCCGAGCTGATCAAGTCTGTCAACGTGTTCTCCGGAGCCATGGCCGATGTGTGTAGCAACACCAAGGGTCTGACGAGACTGGCAACCGACGACAAGAAGACTGACTCGCTGATGAACGGTGCACGCCAATCAGCCATGGCGTCGGTCCAATTCTTCCGCAGCCTGCAGAGCTTCCGCCTGGAGGGCATGGATCAAGTGCAAAAGACAGACGTTGTCATCAACAGCAGCACAGACGTGCAGATGAACCTGCAGAAGCTGAACAAGCTAGTCGAGGGCTTCGCTCCCGGGTTTGGCAAATTTGCTAACAACAAGGGGGATTTGGGTGATCTCGTTGATTCCGAACTAACCAAGGCAGCCGACGCGATTGCAGCTGCGGCGGCTCGGTTGGCCAAGCTCAAGAACAAGCCTCGGAATGGCTACTCGACATACGAACTCAAGGTCAGCGACTCAATTCTAGACGCAGCTACGGCCATTACGAGCGCAATTGCGGAACTCATCAGAGCTACTACGGCCACGCAGCAGGAGATTGTACAGGCGGGCAAGGGTTCGTCATCACGCACGGCATTCTATAAGAAGAACAATAGGTGGACCGAAGGCCTCATCTCAGCAGCCAAGGCAGTAGCTTCATCAACGAACACACTGATTGAGACGGCAGACGGTGTGTTGTCGAAGCGCAACAGCCCCGAGCAGCTTATTGTAGCCTCAAACGACGTGGCCGCCTCGACAGCACAGCTTGTGGCAGCCAGTCGTGTCAAGGCAGGGTTCATGTCCAAGAACCAGGACAAGCTGGAGCAGGCCAGCAAGGCAGTGGGCGGGGCGTGCCGGTCCCTGGTGCGGCAGGTGCAGAACATGATCAAGGAACGGTCTCAGGAGGAGGACCAGGTTGATTACTCCAAGCTTGGGCACCATGAGTTCAAGGTACAGGAGATGGAGCAACAGGTATGTTTTCTAGATGATTCTAATGATTTGGCATGTTTTCACGGAGGCTCGAGTATCGCGGTGTCACGGTGCATATCTGCAAGCCACGTCTGGCCTGCAGATGAGCTGAGGCCGGCACTTGGAAAGCTGATACGCGAGTGGCTTCTTTACTCGGCTCTGTGCATTGTGGATTTGCATTTGCAACATGTAGCTAACGGGGAATGGCGGAACAGGTTGAAATCCTGCAGCTGGAGAATGCTCTCGCTGCAGCTAGACACAGATTGGGTGAAATGCGCAAGATTTCTTACCAAGAGGAGTAAGCCGGGGGGGCAGGGGTGAGACAAAGAGCAAAGAGATAACAAGGATGGCCAGACAGGCAGCAGCCATTGCCAAGCAAGGGTATGTTGGCAGGGTTGACAGTGGTTGGCAGAAGTCCGAGCTAGGCTATCCGTACAAGAGGATATACCCACTGGGAGGGGTTTGAGAATGAATGACTCCGTACAGAGTTGCGGGTTAAATTGGTAGAATTGGATCTCGTGAGAGTCATCGACTAGCGTTGTTGATCCTCGAACTGAGGCAAGCAACGGAGTTGTAGGGACTAGATGGAGGCTCATTCACAAGCGACGGACTTGGCGTGAGGCCATGGCTTTTCGTTTATCGGGGCGGTTTGAGGAGAAGCTATTTGAGGAAAAGCCAATAGGTGAAGATGGAGGCTAAGAGTACGATGACTAGTAATAAAGATGTGGTTTGCATTGTCGTGATCTGCATAGCGACGGGCTGTCGATGTTGTCGATGATTCGCTCGGTGTGGGAAACGGGGTGTTGAGATGGGCCTCGGCGTCTCGGGGTGGGGCATGAGGCGCTCGGTCTCGGCTTGGTAGATGGGCTTAGTTTCGGGGACGAGGGGGACCTGAATCGCCGCCATTGACGTTGCCGAGCTAAGAAGGGCAACGGACAACGGGCAACGTGTCTATTAGCTTGGAAGAAGGATAGTGGCATGGGATGGCGGATTCTAGGCTTGGTCGAGAGGGACTGACGATGGAGGCGTGGCTGACGATGGCAGGCATGGCTGGCGACAGCCGAGCCCGTCCAGGATGTCGACACTCGGTTGCAATTTTAGCGTGGCCGGCCACGCTGGCGGCGGCTGTCAGAAGTCGAGACGAGTTTAGTGCCTTGTTAGCGGCCTGGGGGGGGGATGACTTGAAGGCTGAGGCGCATTCTAGGTGGCTCTCGTTGACCAGCCCGGGGAGGGGCCCGGAGTGCGCTCCGAGGACAGAGGTCTGGTCCAACGCCAACCTGCTTACCCCCAATCCCGTAGTTACACCAGTCCCCGTACTTGAACGGTTTTCCTGCGAGCGCTGCTTGTACTACCTACCTACCTACCTACCTGGATACATAGGTACCTAGTCATGTTGGTAAAGGCTGCAAGAATTGGTATCCAAATACGTCTGTACCAGTAAAGTATCCAAATACAATTACAGAGTTACAGAGCGCTTCAGTAGTTACCTGCAGCAAAGTTGCCCCTCGAACCGGACAACACAGCCTCGACTCGAGGTTCCAACAAAGGAAGGCTTCTAGAAAATAAAAGGAGCAAGTACACACCTTGACAATTCTGGCCTGCTGGTACAGCACCACGGTAGTTATGCGCCAGACCGCCGTGATTCGGAGGCTTTTTCGAAGCAAACCTTGAACTCAGGGCGTCGCATCTTCGGCGCTAGCACCCGCTAAAAACGTTGGCCACGCGCCGAGCACACCGCTAAGGCTCGTTGGAGGGGGGGAGATTTCCCCTCCACCATTTGCTCATTCTTTTTTTATCCATTCCATCTTGTTCCATGAAAAATCGCAAAAACTCATCAAAAATCGTGAATGCTGTCTATTTTCAAAATCAAATTTCCTTTTTAATGGTGAGGATGCTCAAGAAGAACATCGGTGAGCACAGCAAAACGACGCGATGGAGGGACAAAATAAGCCCAACGCGAGCCCCATTTTTCCTTTGTGATTTTTCAGTCTTTGTCTGTCCTCTTCTTTTCTTTTCTTCCTCCCGCAACCATCCCCACCACCACCACAAAAGAAAAAAACCAACCATCGTGGCCGCTCCCCCCTCTATTCTTCGTCTTCCCGTGACCGTTGGCTTCTGCGAGAGACCCCCCTTGGCCATCCACTCCCACATCTCCCGCACTTTGCAAAGGGAGCGACGCCATTGGCCCCAGACCCTTCTCAGACAAAGGTGACGCCATGCAGACAGCAAACAGGTGGTTATCCGTCGCACACACTCGCAAAAGGCTAAAAGATGTTGCAGAAATAGTTACAAATGGTCTCAAGGCTTCCGGCCCCAGAAAATCTCCACATCGTCTATATTCAATTTCCCGATGGTGAAGGTGTTGATGAGCAAACGGACCACGGTGCTTTGGTAGCCCTGCATCAGCTGAGGCTTTCTGCTCGTCTGCCGCTGCTCACAATACCAGACCGTCCAAGATATGGTCCATGCGACGCTGAGAACCGTTCTTGATCGAGTCCGCCGAGGCCGCGGATCAGAGTCGCACAACGCGTGGCTGTTTCAAGAATTGTCCGGTAAAGCTCACCTCTTTACCCACTAGCAGCAAGCTAATGCCAGTACTATGGGGTACCAGCAGTGTGCGTCCGTAATCGGTACGTATCCGTACATCACTTTTAGCAACAAGCCAGCTCCGAGACATCTATCCGAAACACTGTACCTCATAAATACGGGCAACGGCGAGTTAGGGGCCCGATGCCGATCTATCCAAGCTCCATCATCCGCCCCAGTAACCAGTACGGAGTACGAATTAGTTATCGGGCCATCGGCGCGGAGCATCGCAAACTGCTCGACAACGTCGACAGCTATGACGCTCTAGCAGTTTTCAAATGGCTCCAACTGCCGATGCTCTACTGTATCTACTGAATCGGTCCATCTCGTTGCTCCTGGCAGACAACCCGAAAGGCACCTTGTCAACATGGCACAGGCTTCGGCCACGATCAAGCTAGCCCACTACCTAACTACAAGAGTAACATTGGGGCTCTTACTTATTCGTAAAACGGTAGCCGACACATCAGACCAAAATCGAAGAGCCTCAAAACAAGCTCGTGTAACATAACGTTACATGCGCACCACCTACACAGCCGATGATGACAACGTTCCAAGGCGCTGGAATCCCGATATATTAATCACCCTGCATTGCACGAGGGGGACGGTTCTGCATTCTGCATCACCCAGTCAGGGGCTTGTCGCCAGTGAGCAGGCAACCGTATCTTGACTGCTCGACGGGGTCGCCGACTTCCATCTTCCCAAAAGAGCAGGCTGCCCGAGGAAATAGGAGGCCAGAAACATTATTCCTCGATCTGCCCAGCTAAAAACTTCCCCCACCCCGCAGCAGGTGGCGCCTGCCTGGCCCCTAGTCTGGATGCCATCCGCCACCATCTGTTCGAATGCAAACCCCCCCCCCCCCCTCCTCTTTGGACGATGCGAGAGTAACTCGTTACAGCAAGCCACACGTCTAGACTAGAACCAGTTGGTCCCTTGGACCCCGTCGCGATAACTTGAGGGTGCGGTGCGACGGTGAGTGCTGGTACGCTAAAAACGGCCACCGAGCTTCCACAGAAGCTTCCACAGAGCTTCCAACTTGAAGAGCATACATGTACATATGTCTCAGTGATTGAAGCAACAGCGTCGTCTAACATGACTAAAAGTTGCTACGCGCCGCAAAGTTTCTATGCAGGAAGAAGATGCAGCCATCCGGAACCAGATGTAAAGCCGGTGGGGTAATATGGCTCTTGTGTACCTATTATTAGGCCCAGTCCGTGGCTGGCCACCTATGTATTTGTAAGTTTTGGCTAACGGCTCAATGGATCTGCTCATCCTTGATAATATTTATGAGAAAGCCAAGAGGATAGAGTAGCACGGTGGGAGCACAACACACACACCAAGAGAACAACATCACTAGCACCGCCGCAGACAAAACTCGTGGCCGCCCCGAACCGAAGCAGCGTGGGCTAATAGACGAAAAAAGCTAAGCCCTGACCGATCCGTCGCAGGCTGCTGGTGGATCAAGGACCTGGCCAAAAACGGACTGGCAAATTGCGCGAGAAAGCTTGGCTGCTCGAGTTCGCTTGTCGGCGCGTGGCGGCCGCTCCTAGTAAGTCGTGACTGCACCTTGCCGCATCGGAGGTGGCCGGCCGTTTCTTGACACCGGACCGTTGGTGATACGGCCCCGTTGGTGATACGGCCCCGTTGGTGATACGGCCGTCTATTTATTAGCTTTTTTACTGCAATGGCCTCAAAAAAGCTGGCTACCACCATCGTGACTCGATCGTGACCTGTCGTAAAACCGAAGGAGAGGTGAGACACAAACATCGCGTAGTTCTCTCTGCCGAGTTCCGTGAAGCCCGATAGTAGCCCACAGGCGATTTTGGTAGGGCAATTTTGCCGTACCTACTAGTGGCTTGGCTTACGCACCCCTCAGGGAGAAATGTCGCAATTTTTTTTTTCAACTTGACAAGACAAAGCAGGGGAGACGACACGAGTTTAGTGGAATGAGGGCTAAATGTTGAAAAGACGACGACGGGCTCGAACGCTGATGGAGCAGGCCCCGATGTCAAGGCGGCCCGGCGAAAGTTGGCGCGGGGGATGACACTAACGCACAAGAACTAGCGCGCACTAACAACAATGACTGCTGCCTGCTGCGGGTCCAGTTCTAATTCGTAACCAATGCACCATGATAGCATTTAGGCTCGCAATCTTGTGACGAAGGGGGCGGGTGTAAAAAAGTTACTTGTGGCGTTTGGGGGTTGGCCCCATCGCCGCCATGGTCAGCTGGGGCTGGTGTGTAAGTTGTGCAGGAGGTGAGCATAACAGGACAGGGTCGGCATTTAATTCGACCAAACAAAAAGAACAAAGATCGCGCTAGTGTCAATTTACTCTCAACGTATTTGTCGATTCGTCTAGCTATCGTTCGTCAGCCCAGACCGAACAAGCACGTGGTAACTAGATTTTTACTCCGCCACCGGCGCCCTTTGTCGCCATTTACCCCGAGATGGTATCGCGCGGTCACTATGCTACGAAGTTGCGCAAAAATGAAGAAACGAGATAGAATTGCCGAAAGATGCGCCTAGGGAATAAACTGTAGACTAAAATCCAAGTCCTCGAGAACGATTGTCGAGGGGGTATTGCCTCCGTTGGGAAAACATGAAATCCAGAAAACGCCATTTGTCCACCCTGATTGCTCAGCCATTTCTTCGCGAAGTAGACTCCAGTAGCTAGACAAGACCTGAGTGTTGCCATCTAATTTCAATCTCACTGACAGCAAAGAAATTTTTAGTATAAAAAGAAAAGGAAGAAAGAAATTCATGTCAATCAAAACGTATAGTGGAAGTCTTCATGAGGATTATACTCGGGGCTGCTTGAAAGGGCAAACACTGAGGGGAGAGTGGTTAGCAGGTGTCAGAATTACACATATATCAAGACTTACGTCGGTCTGTACTTGATGGCGGCGTGCATTGGCTCAGTACAGCGTCAAAGTCCCACGGACAGTCAATGTCGAAGGCCTGATAGTCCGCCACACCGTCCAAGCTCAAGACGACGGGCGATGAGTCTGTCATGGTATAGCCAGGGTGGGAGGTAGGCCGTGTGCCAAAGCCAGGATCGCTACCGAAAGACGAGGCAGGGGAACAAGCAGCGGCATCGTCCGTGACAATGTTGTAATAGTAGGGGCAAAAGTAAGATTCGGAGGCTGCGACTGACGAGGGCTCAGCGGCTGAAGCAGGTACAGTAGGTAGCATACCCGTAGAATGCGACTGGGGTGAAATCGAAGGCAAGAGAGCAGCGAGCTGTGTTGGAGGGGTGGATATGGAGGTGCAAGTGGACGGCGTTGCCGTGTCTTCTGAGTTGCGCGGGGTCCCGCAACACGGGGTTGAGGCTTCCAGGCTTGGAGTGTAGATGGGGACGTCTAATTGAGCAGCGGATCCTTCTTGCTCGGGTACTTGGGCTCGTTCAGAGATGCTGGGGGGGAATCGCTCGTGATCTGGTCTGATGGAGCCGCGCTCTGCGATGTAGATTGTTGAAGTAAGAGCCGAACGGTTATCCTGAGCCAGAAGGGCCTCCAGCAAGAAGATATTCTCATCTGGCATGTATCCCAACTCAATCATTCCTTGAAAAAGCTCCAGCTCCGAGTCTGGACACGTTCTGGTGGTTTCTTTAGGAGCTCGGAGCTCATCTTTCTGAACAAGCATCTTGGTACCTTGTTCGGTATCTTCGACTGCCCAGCCCAGAACCTGAAGGTACTCATCAGGAGGTAAAATGTCCATTGCCGGACAAGCAGCCATCAGAAATGAGGAGAGGGGAGCCCTCTTCTTTCCCATCTCATCGCGAATGAAAGAATATACCTTCGCGATCATTGCCCAGCGATTTCTGAACGGGTCTTTATTCCAGAGTGTCGTGAGGAAGCCGGACGCCGCCTTTTGTTGCGACTCTGGAAATAGTTTCACGTAGTAGCCTTTTAATCATTGGAGTTAGATTTGTTCTCGAGGGAAATTAATATTCTGCACTCACTTCTGAATGCGATGAAAGCATTCAATGGTCGTTTTGCGCGGTCTCCGGCCTGCTTGCTGTTGCTTCTCTTCTGTGGCAAGGCTCGTTGCGGCTCCGTGAAATGAAGGGTCGATTGAGGCTTGGAGTATTTTGTCGAATTGTTCTCCTTTTCTTTGTCTTCGAAGCACTTTGCGGCGATCTGCAATATTGTCTCCTCTTGCAGATGACGGAGAATTGTATGTGAAGAGACGGTTGAGAGCCGCCTAAGCAGCTCTTGATGCTCAGTGTCGCTCGATCTGTGTTCCATTTTGTCTGGGGAAATGGCAATTGAGGTAATGTTGTGATGTAGGATGCATCGAAAACTTTGGGGGGGAGTGGTCATTGAAGTGTTTTTTTAGAGTCGAACAGGAAAGGTTGTGCTCAATTGGAAGTGAGATACTCCTGGAGGGCAGGTGAGCTGGGAGGGTGTGTACTCAAGCGCCACCCCTGCGAGTCTAGGGTCGGGGGGGTGAATCTTTCAGGTGCCACCTGGCCCCGCTACAGAGTGGCTCGGTCACCCGGACTCCCGATTGCAGAGCTCAGCCATCCGCTGGACAGAGGAGTAGTAGCCTTGGCCTTCGGTACGCCAATGGGTTTTACAAACGCGCCATCAAATAATGGAAAATTGGGTATTTCAATTTCTTAACCCTCACTAAAATTCATGAGAAATAGATCCCCCTCCACCTCGTCTGGTTCGGCTTCAAATCTGAGTGCCCGTGCTGTGCTCGTAATAAACGGCAGCGACAAATGTCCTCGTAGATCGTTGATGTTCTTTTTGACCTTCTCGAATTAGTATTATGTGCTCATTAGGGTGTAGTTAATTACGTACCATGGGAATGTTATACAGATACTCTTGTTCAATGTCTTCAATCTGTTCTGCGGACTGTTTTGTCAGATAGGTGTCACGCATCGAAACAGATCTACGTACATTCTCTGTGTGTTCTTTCATTGGGTAGGGCAAACATGTCTCAGTTGCCAGTTTGGAGAATTGTGCCACCCTCTCGCTATCAGAAAGAGTGACTCTTTGTCGGCGTGTCTGCCAGGTGTTAGTCGGACAGGTACGGGGGAGGCAGACATCGTACCTGGTCAAATTTGGAGCGCAGCTCAGAATAATATATCTCCCAAGGCTCGGCTAAAGAGAGACAAGAGCTTGGAAGTCGATATCGAATCTCAGTTTTGATTTTCTTGCAGGGGAAATATGGTTGCTGTGTATTCCTCATGAATTTATTCCAAGCAGAACCGGGGGTCTTTCGACTAGGATGCCAAAGCGACGCCACAGACCAGTTCTCTTGTCCAACCTTACTCAAGAGCCGCTTTCCAGCATGATCAATTTTAACCTCAGATGTAGTTGTTCCGAACTCAGCGGACGGCGAGTGTGTGTATTTTGAAGCGCCATCTTGAGCCAATTGCCAGGTGGTTCTCAGATATAATCGCATCGCTTCGTTATCTTTCAGGACTGATACCAGCAAATTTGAAGATTCTCTGATGCTAATTTTCGGTATAATCATGAAAGCTCCGAATAAAATTGCAGTGGCGGCGTTTGCCACTAAAGTCCCTAACCGCAAAGTTGGGCTTTCAGGACGGGACCATGTCTCAGATGTCAAGAGCATTGCTATGAGACCGAGGTTCGCTATTTCGTGTTTCTCAGCTGCATATTGTCGATTCCATCTCAGTATTGTCGCGCCGTCCTCCTGCTCTATCTCTGCGTCCGGCGGCAAGCCATGGTGAGGATCTCGGGTTGAGATTGGCACTGCGCTAATGTACCAGTGGGCGATCGCTTCTTTGACCAGCAGGACGGGGTCGATCGTCTCTTCTACGCCGAGCGCAACTATTCGGTTTATTATAATGTTGTCGTCTCGGGGGTTCCATAGTAGGCTCTCGATCGCGTAGATGACATCTTCTAGTACATCTAGGTGCACTTGGTTAGCGACAAAGTATCAAACCGACCAGAGACCGCGTACCCTGCAGGCACGGTAGTTTCTCTTCCCTTCCCCTGTTCTTTTCCAGAGAAACTCGTAAAGCATGGCATCGGATTGAGTCGATGGCAGATTCTGAATCTACAATGCACTCGTCCTCGGTCCAGAACGGACTGAAGCTGAAAATACTGTCCATGTCTACTAGTCGTGAAACAATACGAGGGCGGGAGGTCGCAAAATAATATTGGTGAGGGTGTTTTGGGAACAGAACTCAGGGAAGCGAAGGAAATACTTTGAACAACTGAGCAACGACGTGGAGCTGCAGCCCAACACAAGTGAAGCGCCGTCCCAGTTTACGCTGCTTTACAAACACCACCAGGTCTCCTGCAAGAATTTACCTTTCACGGATAGCGCCCTGCCGCGAGACAACGAAGAACCCCTCACGCTTCTTTCTCCCCACGTCTTACAGAAGAGGCGTAGCTGGATGAGAACGAGTTTTGCTTTTTTTCCTACTATATATTGTCTTTTCTTTGGTCTTTTTACTATGAAGAGCAACAGGCTTCGGGGCACGCAAAAAATGACTGGCACATGGATTTGGATTTGATGCTTTTTTTTTTCGGACAAGATACCAGGCGCATCAACTTTTCAGGGTGGACCCATCGTATTTTACCTCTCAAATGATGACTTTTTTTAATTGCAATACGAAACGCCTCTCTCACAAAGAACCATCTCTTTCTTTCTTCTCACTGTGTGAATTAATCAGCGGTCAGCCACCGCTTCTTTCGCAACGGCCATGAACGCAGATACACGCGCGGAGAACATGTAGATTCACTGCTCCACACCAAGCTCGCCCACGGCGCACGATTGCCAGGCTCTACATCTATACGGTGCCCGTGATCAGTTCTGCGTGCTGGCTTCACTTTGTGCTGGGTATAAATAGAATCTCCTAGAAGTGGACTCATTCAAGCGAATGGTATATCGTGGTCCCAAGGTGGCGTTGCTACCGACGTTGGCCTGGAACGCGCTGCTTTGGGGCACTCTGATCCATCTCACTTTACCCTCACCCTCGCACAAGGACGGCGGCCCCTGTCGTGTGCACCATCACGGCGCATACTCCCCTCTTTCGAGCCAAGGTACAGATCATCCGTATCCGAATGTCTTTCACCTTGGCCAGCGCCGCCCCCCCACCATCCGGCCCCTGCACATGCAGCCTCCTCTGGCGTTGCACAGCATGACAATACCCAGCGACCTGCCATCTGGTACTGAGTGGGTATGACAAACCAAAGACGCAATGATTTGTGTTACTCTTCAGCTTTGCCCTGGCTGAAATGGGGTCGAGGCAGATGGCTTCTGCGCTGTGACGACATGGATGTCCAACGAGCGCCTGGCTCCAGACCCTTGGCTCCAAATCCTGTGGCTGCAAATCCTCGGCTCCGACACAACCATGCTGCAAATCGAAATCGACATGGGGCCGCCATACTCGTCTATCAGACGTCTTGTGTTGCTTATGCATCTTCATTCATTCTACATCTTCGTAAACAAACGTGTCTCGGCAATAATCGCCTCACGAGCCGTTCAGTGAGGCGGCGCTGTCCAGTCGCTGCTCCAGATAAACGTTCCGCATCGCCACTCAGTGTCTCGTTCCTTGTCACCCGATGGCCCCAGCGGCCGAGGACAAATGTAAAACGAACGTCCTGTAAGAGTTGCAAATCGCAAACAGTTAGTCTAAACCTCACGTTGATCAACAGCCTCTCCGGCCAACACTAAAAACAAAACAATAAAAAACAATAAAAACAAACTGGAGGGGGCGCGTACCACAGTTGACACCCGGTTTTTTTGTCACCAAGCTAATGCACGGTTCATCGTGCTCGCATTTCGGAACCACTCGCTTGCCAAGCAGCTTTGACCACGAGTCTTTCGCTTCAATTGGGTCAAAAACCTTTGCCGGAGAAAGTCCCTTGGTTGTGATGCTTGATGAGCCCGACATGATTGGCGATGGTGTTCGTGTTTGCCGACGTACCCCGTTGGCTAGAGGTGCCTCCTGCGCCCGTACAGGCACTCGCCCACTGCCTGCAGGAACCTGCTCAGCCACCGATGTCACAGAATTATTCTCAAGAGAAGCAACAGTCTTGGGCTTGAAAAATCCTTGCAGTGTTGTTTGTCCAGTCTTTGTCTTAGTGTCGCGGGAGTTTTTGCCTCTCTTGTTTGTCGGGAGTGCCGCTTGAGCTGGCCCGTCGGGACGTCTCTTCTTGGTTTGGCTTCCCCGCTGCAGATTCACGTTATTCGTACCCCCTACCGATACCAGCGGTGCTGCGGCCTCAAAACAGTTTGTGCTCTCTGCGCCACTGCTTGCAGTCGTGCCCGAGTTCCGCGCTGTGTAGGCAGCCATATCCGCGTTTCGTATTTGCAACGACTGTCCACCAATTTTCTCAGGATGCAGCAAGGTCTGTGACGCCTTGCTGGTAAACATTTCCCGTATATTTCGACGACGATCAAACTCCGGAATCAGCTTGGCTGAGAGGCGCAGCGCGTCCCGTTGTTCCCAGTCCCGCACCCTCCGCCCAGTTTCAAACATGTTGCTGGGATTCATAGCTTCTGCCAGAGTCATTTCCGTGCCGTTCTTTGTAACCTTGTCGCTCATCGTTGCATATACGGGGCAGTGATCTGACCCCATCAACCCTTCTTGGATATTCGAGTCCACGATCCAGTCTTTGATCCCATCGCTGCACAAGATGTAATCGATTCGGCTACCCACATTGGCAGGCCGAGTGTTTCTCTTTGTATCCCAGCATGTGTGCATACCTACCCGTCTCGGATGAAAGCAGCGGCATATATCCCACAAAACAGCATGTTCACGGCCCGTGTCTCGGTCGCCAATGACGGTTCCTTCAAACACTAGTTGGTTGAATATCCGTCGCGCTGGCAACGACTGCCATTCGTCCATTGTCATTCCCTCTTTGATGAGACCTTCAGCGACATTGGAGCTGTCCAGTTCACTGCGAACAATGTTCAAATCTCCCGTGAGAATCACCTGTTTGCCTGCGGTAATGAGGTTTCGTATCCGGGCATCCAAAGCCTCCACAAAGCTTTGTCTAAATTCGATCCGTGACTCATCACGGTTAGCAGGGCTGTAAACTCCAAACAGCACAAAGGCGGGAAACTCTAGAACAACGCATCGTCCTTCCGAATCGAGCAATGCTTCATCTACATTCCCACTCAGCTGGTTCGACGTTGGGTATCCACCAATTCGCTGATCCTCGGGTAGTTCTCGATACGGTGTGTTGCTTTTTGGCGGGCAAAGTATTCCCAATACGCCTTCTTCCGCAAGAACCGGTGCGCACGTCGCATTCCTGGTGTAAATGGCAACTCCGGAGTAGCCTGGGTGTGTCAGCGACAGCCCTGCTTTATCAGTACCGTCGACGTACCTTTTTTGTGCTGGGGGAGACTGAAATACACATCCCAGCCTGGGACAAGAACCATGTCGTCTTGCAAGTCCTTGCGCTGGATCTTGGTCTCTTGCATAACTACAATGTCGGCCTCGAGAATGTCAAACATGGCCTGAATGGTCAGCGGGAGATGCTTGATCCTGGAAAGAAGCACTCACCTGAAACGTACGCTTCTCTCGCCATGGCTGATACCCAAAGGGATTCCTGAATCCTTAGTTTAACGCCCATCAACCAGTCCGAGGCCACACGAACCGGATGCCATTCACTGCAACATGTTAGTTTCCGCGCGGACTATTGCTGTTTCTAACACGTACCATTCCAGGTAGTAATTCTGAACACCATTTTGGCACTGCTTGTAGAGCTCTGCGATGATCGTGGCGGTTTCACTCCAGCACCGGCAAATCGGCTCTCGCCCACTTCCGATCCACCACTGTCGGGTGCGGAAACAGCATTGGCAGGGCAAACGTCTGGTGTGGAGATAGAGTAGCTTGAGCTCTCAATGCTTTTCTCATAGGAGTCAAAGGCCGCTAATAGTAAGGTAGACGTACGACGGGTCTTTTGTACCAGATTTTTCATCCGGCATGCAGATGGAATCCCGTTTGCCCCACGATCGCGCTTGTTTGATGACGATGCCGCTCAGCGCGGAATCCGCGCGGAGTCACGTGCACCACTAGAAGTTGGCGCCTCAATCTCCAGGCACCCATCATCATTTGGAGCCGAGCTTCATCGAAAATGGTCTGACTAGCCAAACCTGCACATCCGCAACCGTCGTCATCAAGAATCACCATCACCATGTTTGCCGCCCGACAGGTTTCTCGCAACGCCCCGCGCTTTGCCGCCCAGGCTCGCGCTGGTGCTCAGCGCCGCTTCGCCAGCTCCGCCTCCGAGAACGAATTCATCAAGGAACGCCAACACATCAAGGACCACGCCAAGGGCACAACCGGTAAGCCCCATTGAGTTCCCGGGAGCCGATGGAGACGTTTTGCACTTATTGTAGAATTTTGCTAATGTCTTGACAGAGCTCTGGAGGAAAATTTCCGTCTAGTAAGTCGTCTTGATGCCCTCCCGAAAACTGCCGAACGAAAATAAGCCTCATTGAAGCCAACCGACGAATTTGCTGCGACGTCGACAGGGAATGGACTCAATGCCCGCAAGTTCAGCATAGCTAACAAACCTGTAGCGGTGTCGCCCCTTGCATCGTCGCCGCCGGCGCCAACGCCTACTACCTGTGGAACGAGCACTGGGAGCACTGGAGTCACATGCCCGCTCTGGAGGAACGCACCGAGTACGCCTACCAGAACATCCGTACCAAGAACTACCAGTGGGGTAACGGCGACAAGGTGAGCTTCAAGTTTTGCTCTTGAGACACTGACATTGAGGCTAACACTCTATAGACTCTTTTGTAAGTTCAACTTGAAAACATTCTCCTGACGCGATTCTGCCGGCTGCAGAAATATGTCAGGTGTTGTTGAACGATTTCACGAAATAAAGTGCTAACGAAGGGAATAGCTGGAACGACGATGTCAACTACCACAACAAGGATAAGGTCGCGTAAGGACCAAAATGGCGGTATAACGTAGCATGTTAGTGAATTGTTGGAGTGTTCCATCGGGACTCAACTTGTACTTATTTCTTAGAGAAGAACCAAAGATTCCTTTTGTGGTCACATAAACTGCCGCATTTGCATACTTGTAACATTCCTTACTTGAGGCGGTCCAAAGATGATTGGTACCAATTGCCACCAAGCAATGACGTACAGTCATGGCCAACTGGCGCTGGGCTCAGATGATCGAAACTCTGCCTTCGCCCATTTCAGGAGATGTACATCGCCTTGAAATGGAATTGGCGAGAGCCTCAGAGGGTGTTGCAGCGGTGTCGTTGAAGTTGCCTGTGACTGCACCCGAGGAATGCCCGGGCCGTTGCACCAAACGCGTCCACCTGCCCCACGACATGTTTTCCACTTGTCAAGCACAGCTTCGTAGCACTTGCATCGATGAAAACAACATGATTCTTGGTCGTTTTGTGCCGGACCAAAATCACATATGCTTGGCGTTGGAATTTCTCCGATTGCGCAGCGGTCGCGTAACTCGTCAACGTGCGTTGTATACACCCCACTCGGAGCGTTCTTCAACAACACCGGCCACCGCAAACTTAATCTCCGAATCCCGTATCTATCACCATGGCTCGATACCTGAATCCAGCCAAGATTGGCCTCCTTGTACTCATTCAGCTTTATGTTGAAGAGGCTATTCCTGGCGATGCCATCGTTCCGGTTCTGTCATTCATCACCTCACATACCATAGGCCATGAAGCTGGCAACCCACCAACCACGCAGGCAAGCCGCTGGGGCAAGGCTGAGCGCACCGTCAGTCTAATCATCACTATCAAGGATTTTGAGAAGCTGCTAGGAAGCTTTCCCTTCGTCATGGGCATGCCGGGCCGGAAGCTGTGGGATCAATTCCTCACAAGGCTGTGGGACCTAAATTCCCTGGACGCCCTCTATGACTTTTTTGAGAACCTGGAGCTTCTCCTGGCCAAGACGAAAGAGGAGTCGCGCAGACTCAGCGAGGCGGGTATTCCCGATATGGAAGAAGGCATTCAAATTGCCCGCAACTCGCCGTTTGGTGCCTTTGTTCGCCGCGCCATGGTCGAGTACCAACGACTGCGGTTTCATGACTGTGCAGAGCTGTGGAAGGATTTTGTGCGATACAGACAGCCTACAGCGCACCATCAAAAGCGAAAGAGTTCGAGTTTCGGGAAACTGAGCTTTGACAATGTCTTGTTCACTGGCGCGGCTGAGGAGGGCTGGGACCCAGAAAGTGTTTCTGCCCTGACGTCGGTAACATACGACGATATGCTCACTGGCGATCGACTTGGTACAGTGGCAGTTAGCACTGATGACGTCGAGGTGCTTCTTGACTTTCAGATTGAGCAGATGCAGAGTATGTCGCTCACTCGCTCGCTCCATTGATGGCAAACGCTAACAGGACGCAGGATATGGCAACAGAGTACCGTTGGAGACGATTCACCAATTCCAGGACCTTCTTCAGGCCAGTTTCCTAGTTCCAAGCCTAACCCATTATCTAAGGTGAGTTTCCGCTGCGCAAATGAAGACGTCGCTAATCGAAGTAGCTTTCTAAATGCATGGAGGGCTGGGGACTATCCCTCCGCATTTGACCTACTGCATCGCTATTTCGACTATACCATGCAATATCGCGATCGCTTGTTTTATCAATATGCGCTCATGAACTTGGCAGTTTTGCAGGCGGACTTTGGCTGCCACTGGGATGCCGTCACCACAATGCTCGAAACTGTCACAACGGCCCGCGAGAACAAGGACATGACATGTCTCAATTTTGCGTTAAACTGGCTCTTCCACTTTGGCCGAGCTCATCCCAGTCTGGTCCGGGATCTCGAGTCTGACAGCCTTCTCGGGACAGGTAAAGAAAGCTTGGCGTATCTTCGCGTCAAGTCAAAGGAATCGGGCATGGGAGCGTTGTGGAGCTCTGTCCTACTCAGCGAAGCAAAGCTATGCTTGATCAATGGGGAGAGCGTTGCTACAACTGTCGAGTACATTGTCCGCAGCTCGCATCTTATTGTCACGCGAAACATGAAGAACATGTTTGGTGCGCAGCTATCGCTTTACGCCGCTCTTTGGAGCCGAATCGGGGTCACGCATCTCACAATCGTTACCTGCGAAATGTTCCTTCGTTGTCACAGCCAGCACTCTGTATTTGACGATGAACTCAAGATTGTATGTCGCCTCGGTTTAATCCAAGCCCAGCGTGGTAAATATGATGACGGTCTCAAGCAACTCGAGGGCCTAGACAGCAATTCTCTCCGCTCGTGGAAGCCAAGCCAGTATTGGCACAAGTACAGGGGAATCATCAAGCTCACCAAAGACTTACACCACAATAACTTGTCTGGTGCTCAGGAGTTGCTTGACCAGCTCTTGCAGTCTAAGGATGATGACTTGGAGCCAGACATGACCTTTATGATTGACTCATTGCATATTGACTATCTAACCAGACGGGGAGACTTGCAGGCTGCCTTTGCCAAAGTCAATACTATGATTGACATGATAAAAGACGAAAACAAAGACATTGCAATTCTCGTCAAGCTATTGCTTCTCAAGGTTGCCCTCCTTGACAAGTGTGATCGGACGCAGCGCGGCTTCTCGACGGCCATTCGCGCCGCCAACCTCGCTTGGCGGGCGCGCCTGATACCGCAGTTGTGGGCGGCTATGGGTGCGCTCGCCAACATTATCATCTCGCTGGGGGAATTTGAGGCCGCCATTGAAATGCTCAGCGCAGCCCTCCCGCGGTCCCTCGAATGCGAGATACCGACGCTTACGGCACGGCTATACTCCTATTTAGCGGACGCCAACATGGGCATGGCAGGGCGGATGGAGGCCAAGTCGAGCAAGCGCGGCGAATACATGACGCGGGCACTGGCGGCGGTGCAGCGTTCATTTGATCACTGGTCAAGCGTTGAGGATATCCTGCAGCAATGCGAGACGATAGCGAAGCGGGCCATGATAATGAAGCTTACGGGAGAAATGACACTGGCGGCCGACTACGCAGCCGCATACGTGGCGCTTCGCAAGAATGCAGAGGCGCTGAGTCTGGGCTCGGGGTAATGGAGGCCACGTTTATGATGCATAATAGGAAAGGCGTTTTGGTAATGAATTATAATTTGGGCATTGAGTTGGGCATTGAGTTGGGCAGAGTGTTTGACGCGGGTTTCTTTGTAATGCAATGTAGCAGAAGTAAATTGTGTCAAGAAAGACACTTGCCAGTAGCGGCTCACCGTACGTCTTGGTCCTTTGTCCTATTTCCCGTGCTACCACTTTATATTTTTGCCTTTTTTCGTCTTGAGCCCTCCCTGCTGCTCTAGCTCGGGCACGTCGACGTCCGGGGGGTCGTTTGTCGCCCAGACCCGTTCGATGCAGAGTTCAAATGGTCCCTCAACGCGGTCCGTCAGTCCCACGCCAACCGTCGCCACGCGTTGCCGCAAGATCTCCGTCTGTGGCTCTACGACGAAGCCGTAGTTTGTGCGCACAAAGTCATTCCACTTGATCAGGACCGTTTCCCACTGTCCTGGCCGCTTCGCGAAGAGACGATGCTGGTGCAGGTCGGTGGGCTCGACGCCCTCGGTCTGCACGTTGACAAAGTAGGCGCGGCCGTCGGACTTGATGCGCAGCGCGAGGTAGGTGTAGGGGTCGATGTCCCAGATGGACTTGCCAAAGAGAGTCGGCGCCTGGGTGGGTGTCCGGAAGGCGGCGTACCCTGTGCGCTTGATCTTGAACCGGTCGCTAGGCAGGGCGGTGGATATGGAGCCGTGGAAGCGTGCGTATGATGGAGGTGGTGATGAGGTCGCGGGAGAGGAGAGCGTCGTCGGGGAAGAGACTGTGTAATCGAGTTGTGACTTGGAGGAGCCGCCGATGAGATCGTCGGACATTAGGATGCAGTCGCGTATTGATTCGTCGTCGTTGAATTCGTAGAGAGGGCGTGGCCCTTTGGGTCCCTTGACGGCTTCGAGATTCCATGCTGCCACCGGGTTAGTTTGACATTAGATGGAATGCGCGGTCGGGGGGCGGTACCTATGCTAGACCGACGCTTCAATTCGTCGAAGCTACGCGTCCACAGGCTCTTGCGCAATAGCTGTTGCGTCGTCCGCATTATAATGCTGTGTTTGGGAACGTGGAGAGGGGGAGGATGTAGTCGTATCGTCGAAATTGTGCCCCATTCGCCAAGCGCGTGAGCTGCTCACTGATTGTTGCTGATTGTTGCTGATTGAGTCGCTGTGATATTCCGTCTGACGATGTTCAATTCATAATTTAAAGAGAGGTGCCTACAGGCCCGTATTAGAGAGGTGCCTACAGGCCCGTATTAGCTCTACCCTCCACTAGCACGTGTATGTACTGGAGACCCGAGTCTACACCATACACCACATTCCCCAACTCCCAACGCGTCTAGTTAACCAGAGCGCGAAACAACGGGAGACAACCTCGTTAACATAGGAGGGCGCATATAGAATAGTCTGGAGGCAATTCCCAGTAAACTGGACGTGTAATCACCTCGATTAAAAATGCATGATCTCTATAGGGTAGCCACGTACCAGCTGTTATCCCAAGCTCCACACTAGTAACTGTCAGAAAAAAACCGGCCCTGTCTCAACGCTTCCATCAATCGTCAACTTTTCTCCAACTATAGGCCCCAACGACGCAAAATATAGCGAAATCTAGTCGAATTTGACGAAAATACTGCACAAACGACACTGTCAACGACAATGGCGTCAAGAGCCATGGCGTCGCTCCGCCGGCCAGCGACGCAGTTTGCTGTCGCCGCGGCGCCTAGGAGCAGCCTGGTGCCAGCTCGCACACCCTGGGCCGGGACGAATCGCAGCTACGCCCAGATCTCGCGGGACAAGATCACCCGGGCCATGAGCCAGCAGCAGAAGCTGGGCGAGCGCGGCGCGACCAAGGAGCAGACCATGTCGCAAATGCAAAAGGCGGCCGCCATGGACGTGTTCAAGGACGGCGGCGGGCCTCTCTTTCCCGGTACGTTGAGTCTATTCTTGCGATTATGGCCAAGGAAACTTGGTTCCAAACCAATAAAAAGTCCAAAACGGGAAAAAATCATGCTAATCCGGACACGAACCACAAACAGGCACGTTCGTCCCGATCCCCTTTTCGCAACGCCCCAAGAACCCCCTCGACCTCGCGCGGTACCAGTGGTGGCGGCTCAAGAGCTACGCGCAGTGCGTGCTGTCGCTGCTGACGATTAAGCTGCGCTCCATGCCGAACTGGACGACGCGGCCGCAGTGGAAGGTGCACCGGGGCCGGATCGCGCCGACGGCGCGCGCCATGTACCGCGAGGTGCTCGAGGCCTTTGCGGCGGGCGACAAGGCGACGGTGGCGCGGCTGTGCATGCCGCGCTTCGCCGCGCAGCTGCACGCGGCCATGGACCGGCGCAGCCCGCACGAGACGGTGCGCTTCGAGCACGTCAAGGACACGCGCAGGCTCGTGTACCCGCGCATCGCCAGCCACCTCATCCACGCCATCAATCCGTACGACAAGACGGTGCTGACGGAGCAGGCCGTCGTCGCGCTGTCGTCGCAGCAGCAGCTGTCGCGGCACCGCAAGGGCGCCGCCGCCGCGGACGACATCATCCCGGGCAGCCTCCGCGTCCAGGACAAGATTGAGTACGTCGTGCTGGCCCGCGCCACGGATACCAAGACGTACCCGAGTACGCAGTGGCGCATATGGGGCACCACGGGCGGCACGACGCCCGAGGCGTACAGGGCGGAGCAGGCGGTCATTCTCAAGGAGACGGCGCACCGGGCGGGCTGGAAAGACAGGGTCTAGGCGGGAGACGGCGTGTGATGGGGAGGAAGCAGGAGTGCCGCTGTGTACGCACACACAACTCAATCATGTATAACAAGGAATGCGCATGTATATTCCAGGGAAAAGCGATGGCTTAATTTTGTACTATATAAGACTGACGGCATCGAAAAACATGCCAGTAAGCCATCCTTGTCCGAAAAAAATTCAATCATCATAGCCCGTCGGGCCAAAACCCTGCTATGTACACCCATTTGCAAATCTATTCAACTCTCTTCCCGACCTGTGTGTTTGAACGGCGAGTAGAAGCGGATTTTACACCACTCTATACCTTGCCATCTAGAAAAACTTGCCAGCGGAAGTCGAGATGGTCTGCTCGACGACCTCGCTATCGCTGCTCAGGGGACGGACGGTATCCAGCGGCTTGTCCAGGGCGTCAAAGACGCCGCCCGTGATCTTGGCCTTGCCATACTGGAACCCAAGGCGGCAGACGAGCGCAATGAAGCCCCAGACGAGACCGCCAAAGGGCGCCGCGACAAAGGCGCCAAAGACGGACCAGTCCTGGGCGTAGAGGCCCTCCTCGAGCAGGATGAGGCGGGCGCCGCGGTATGCGTCGCGGTAGTAGCAGGCGCCAAAGATGAAGACGGTAAAGATGCCGCCGAGGCTGCCGACGACGAACTCGAAGCCGCGCCAGAACCAGCACTGCGGGAGCAGGCCGAGCACGAGCACGGGAATGGCGGCTGAGGACACGAGATCCGAGATGAGAAAGATTTGCAGAATCGAGGGCGCCTTGAGGGCGAGAACGACGACGGGGACAATGAGCACGACGACGCCGACGCGGATGAACCAAATGTTGAGGCGGTTGCGGAAGAGGTCGTTGGAGGCGGACGAGACCATGGCGGACTGCAGCGAGTCAAACGCGGCGGTGCTCAGGCTGACGACCATGACGAGCACGATGCCGACGACCCACGCGGGCAGCTGCTCAAGGAGCACAAAGAAGGCGAGAGAGCCGCCCTGCGGCGGGTCGCCGGGCCAGGCGCCGGACCACGCGGCGATGAGGCCGGTGCTGCCGACGAGGGTGAGCACGCAGAGAATGACGAGCATGGCCATTGTGACGCCGATGCGCAGGTCCTTGTCCGTCTTGGAGGAAAAGGTGCGGAGCCAAAAGTTGGACAAGAAAAAGTCATTGGTGAGGATGGCGACGGGGAGGATGTAGAGCAGCTGCCAGCCGAGCAGGTTAGCCTTGGTGAGGCCGGACGAGTCAATGAGCTCCGTCTTGATTTCCGTCTTGACGCCAATGGTAATGGTGGCGATGATGATGAGGCCGACCACCATGCCGCCCTGAATGACGTCGGTGAGGAAGGAAATTTTAAACCCGCCGAGGGACGTGTAAATGGTGGTGACGACGCACTGCACGATGACGACGGGGAGGCCATCGAGCCCGGTCAGGGTGCTCACGACCTGGCCGATGGCGGAGAGCTCAGCAACCATGTAAAGGAAGAGCGTGACGAGGGTGAGAAAGCTGAGGAAGAGCATGGCAACAGTGCCGTAGCGCTGGCGCGTCCACTCGGTGAGCACGAAGCCCTCCGGGCAGCGCCGGCGGATGACGGGCCCGAGGTAGCCAAAGACGAGCATGGGCAGGGCGGATGCGAGCGCGTACACGACGACGCCCTGGACGCCGGCGATGGTGGCGAGCTCCGGGTAGGAAAAGAGGATACCGGAGCCGAGGGCTTGTTGGGTGTGTTAGTGAGACAAATGGGGGAGAGGAGGGAGGAAGGGAGAGGGGAGGTTGGAGCGGCAAGCACGTTTCTCACGCAAGCATTAACTTGATCGAGTATCACGGTGTAATCTCAGCCTCGCGTTGGCGCGCCCAGGACAGCATCTCCCATATCGACGACAGTGGACGAATATGGGTTGGATCCCGCCGTTAGGCACGTTCAGCTCAGCGCCCGTAGTGAGCCGCATCCTCTCTTCTCGCCCGAGAAATGTTGAGTGGATTCAAAGAAAAAAAGCTGCGGTGACAGCCCTGAAGTGGTGAGAGGATGTTTGGACATCCCCCGAGTTAGTATCGCCTACACGGTAGGCAGGTAGCTCTCTACCAAAACAACAATTTCTCGAGACAAGTCGAGAAGACGAAGGAGATTTTGATCGAGTAGAGTACGAACCTGCATCACGAAGTTTGCTTTTCCAGTCATTGAGCGTCTTGCAGTCAATAGTGTCCCGTGCTAGGGGCCGAAGGCGACTCGGAGAGAGTGCCGGGCAGACTTTTGCTGCTACCGCTCCAAGGAGGGACGGGGAAATCGAGGCACGCAAGAGCGGATGCTTTGCGCCTTACTCACCAGAGGCGATGAAATTGAGGGCGAGAGGAAAGGCTGCGAGCGGTATCAGTACATATTCTCTCTATCAGGGACGCGGGAATCAAGGGCTGCCGTGCGTGTGCAATGGGCGGAAAAGCACAAGCAAGGTGAGAGAGTCCTGACCAGTCTGGGTGCCGTTGCTGGACAAGAATTCCGTCTTGGCCTGGTTTCGCAACTTCCAGGCAATACCGGTTCCCATGATGCTGGCATCACGACATGTTAGCATTTCCTTTTACAAACAAAAATTGAAGGCAAAACGTACAGAAAGACGCCATAGGTCAGATAGATGATGGCGTTGGACGCCGGAAATGATGGTACGCCCATGACGACTGCGGGAGCTGGAGAATCGTCGGAAAAGGAAGGGTATTTCTCCTTGCTGGAACGGTGATTCGTACAATGGCGACAGAAAAATATGTGCCAGGAATTATTGAGCAGATATGCATGTAGCAAGTTCTCAGCTTGGGATGGCGAGTGTTTTTCAGTCGCTGTTAGGCCCGCTTTTACAGCCGTTCTATAAATTTTTACAGGCATCTCTCCAACGCGACGATCCGCTAAAGCTTTACCTGTTGTCAAGAACCCCCCACTGCGTACAGTGGGTGTTAAATGAGGCGAGCCAGCTGAGGACTGGCGCCAAGGGACCAACTTGGGCAGAAAAAATTCTCAAATTTCGAACCTGGATAAGACTAAAATGAAGAATGATAACTAATGTTCCTGTCGTTCCCTGATAACCCTAATCATTGTTTTTTCTCTCTGAAATAAATCGCTCTTTCCTGGGGCCAATTTGGGTGGCGTATGTGCCAGCCAGTTGGACCCGTCGTTCTGTCTCATTAATAACGTGGCCCGAACTTCTTTTCTCTGGCCGTTTGTTGTCCTGTTCTTTCCGTGGAAATCCATTTTCGTAAAATGGAAAAGATTAAAGCCGCAAATATGCGACATTTTCCCCTTGAAGCTTCGAAATGAAATGAAATGAATAAAAAAACATTAAAACAATCCAACCAACGATTCAAATTTCGCCTCTTTGAGCATTTTGTTTTCGCTCACTTTTGCTCCTGGACTGGCTCAGTGGGAGTCTGTCCGCCGGAAGAAGAAGACTGTGCATCAGCGACAGCCTCCGCCTGCGCATATGATGCTGCTGCGGGCGGTGCTTGCATCTGCGGCGGCGGCGGCATCATGTGAGGAGGTGACGCCATGGGATACATGTCGTACATGCCTGGGTAGTACGGCGGTCCTGGGCTGTACCCTGGGTACATGACGCCAGGCGTACCATGAGGGGTCATAGGCCCGTATGGCGACATGGGCGGGCCATAGTGGTACGGGGAGAACGGGGGCATCCAGCCCATGGCCATGTGCTGGTGCTGCTGCATGGCCATGGGTGTCTCCATGTTGCTGTACGCAAAGTGGCCGCCGGCAGCATGGCCGTTGCCGTGTGTCTTTTTGGGGGTAGGGGTGAAGAGGTTGCCTTCACCCGCGACGGTCTGGGCCGCCTCCTCGATTGCCCGGGGCGTCTGGTCCGGGTCCGCAGGAATACCGGCGTGCTTGTCAACGGCGACCGGAGGCGGATCAAACATGGTGTGCAGGGGCGAGACGGGCTCCATGACGGGTGCGTGGCGACGACGGGGAAACGTCGCGTGCGAGTAGTTGGCCGAGCGCATGGGGAGGTTGCGTCGGGGCGTCTCAAACGTGCGAGACTGCTTCCTGTCGACGCGAACGCGGAAGCCATTGATGTCCGTGTTGTTCTGTAAACTGTTAGTTATGCCGTGTCAAAGACAGGTGTGCGGGGAGGGTTGTACGTACAAACGCCTCGATGGCGTCGTCCGCCGAGTCGGGGCGAGAAAGCTCGACAAATGCAAAGCAAGTCATTTTGCCTACTTGGTTAGCTTGGAGGCTTTGCTGGGTTGCTGCGCTCTGCCTACTTGGACTTCCTGGCACGGGCTTCTTGAAGAGCACGACGGCAATGACCTCGCCGCATGCACTGACGAGATTGGTGAGTGTCTCCTCGGTCATATTGATGGGGAGATTGCCCATGTAGATGGATCGCCTGTCGCGGTCGTACTGACTCAGGAACCGCTCCTTGTTGGGGCTGCCGGCCTTGACGTCCGGCTTAGGGTTGCTGGACGCCTTGGGGTCAAATGGAATCACTTTGAACTTGCGGTTTCCACGGAAAGTCTGCGACTGGTTAGCCATGCATTTGGGTTGCATGAGTGTGAAGCTTGCTTACCAGAGGCACGTCGCGCCTTGGGTCGTACATTTTGTACCTGACGACCATGGTTGGAGGGAGACGCATCGAGTGCTGCATGCTGGCCTCGAGCTCTTCCGCCTCGGCTACTTCGCCGAGGGAGCTCATGAGAGCGATCGCTTCGTCGGCAGTGACGGCATCTCCAGAGTGTTTGTACACAATGAATGTTGCTGTTCGCTGTTAGTCTTGGAAGCTACAAATAAGTGGTAGCAGACTTACTATGGGCCTTGGCCATTTCAGTGCGGCATTGCCGGCCGAGGATATAAGTGTCTCTGCCGCATTCCTTGGCCTTTTTTGCGTGTTCGTCGCACTACGATGGTCAGAAATGCCAAGTGTGCGTGTGTGTAGTCAAACTCACAGTAAATTGGCAAAATGCAAAAGGCATATGGCGCTGGTCGCGGCGAATCTTAACGAAGACTGGTCCATACTTGGAAAAGGCTCGAGTGACTTCGTACTCGAGAGTCTTGTCGTCGTACAATTGAGCAAGACTGCCTTGTTAGTGGGCGTCGGTGCATGGCGGTAGGGGCGATTGGAGGACTTACTTGGCGGCAAAGATGCAGGCCGTGGGGGGATAAATTCCCTGTGCGTCCACGGACGGGATTTTGGTCTCTGGAGATTCTTCGTCGTGATCGATGGCGCCATCCCTATCACTGACATGAGCTCCGGAGACGACCGAGTCGTCGTCCTCAGCAAAGACGTCGTCGTCAGTGTTGGCGCCAACCTGAAAGGAGTCGGCGCTGCCGGGACGGGATCTGGCAGCCTCGGAAGCCGATCTTTTGGCAAACAGCCTGAGATTCATTAGTGTTACGGCATGAAGAAAACAGGGGTAGGTTGTGATACATACCGCTTGCCGGCAGGAGATGGGGTCAAACTTCCGCAGGTTAGACGAGCACCTGCAAGAGTGTTAGTGTCCCATGTTGCCACAGCATTTTGAGCCGCAAACACAAAGGAAAAAGCGGCGAAAGTGAATAACAGAGAGGGAGATGAGAGTTTGTAGCCAAAAAAAAAACAACTGGTACACACCATTAGAGTCCTTACCTCTAGCGCGGTCCTCTTCGTCGGAGGAAGACAGATCGAGCAAGGGCTCGCAGGAGACGGACTTGCGAATAGTTCGCTCACCATCGCGCCTATGGTGTCTTCTGTAGCGAGAGAGAGGCTTCATAATGAAATTGGAGAGCTATGTTCGGCTTGGTCAACGCTGAGTCTGGAAAATGTAAGACGGATAGACGAGGCGGGCAGCAGCAAACGGCAAACAGGGAGCATGCCGAGCGTGAGGTGGCTCACATGTATAGGTATGTGCAGAGGAAAGAAGCACGAACCTCGAGAGTGCTTGGAAAAGATCCAAAATCAAGAGCAGGAGATGCGGCTATTCAATTGCCAGAGAGTCTCCAAAGAATGTTTGCGTTGTTTGTCAGCTGCAGGAGTGAGGCTGCAGGATACACAAGATGCGGAAGGGTGCAGGTGAGACAAGGAGAAAAGAGGTGCGTGAAGAGGAAAGAAGAGAGATTCGAGTACTTGTGCGAATGCAAATTGAATCGAAAGAAGGCTGAGTTGCAAATTTTCTGGTGGTGAGCAATGAAGATGCACAAGTTGGGTCGGGTTGGTGGGAGGATGCAGAAGAAGAGTGAATTAGGCACGCTTGATCGGGGGCGGCGTGTTAATCAGCTGCAGCAACCTAAGTACACAATCAAGATGGAACTGCAAGGTAGAAACTACGGAAATAAGGCAGAGAAAAAAGAGAAAACATTCGGCCCTTTTGGGAAAACAGCTGGCGGGCATCGTGATAGCGGCAAGTCGAGGTGAGTGTCAGGCCGGGTACCCGGGTGGCTGTATTTTGGGGACATTGAGAACGTGACGCGCATATTTTTGGCACAAAAATGCTGGGGTTTCTTGGCTAGAAGAGTATATTTAATTTTACATGCATGCGCATTGCAGGAGAAAAACGTGTTTTTGCTTGTCCGTTTGGTGACGTGGGGGAGCATGGGGGTGTTGGCGGTGCGGGAAGGCTCTGGCTCTGGGGGTCGTGACAAGGTGAAGAAGAGGCTGGTGATTGTGATGAAGAAGACTATGGCGACGATAATTCAGCAACGTTGGTGATGATGTCGGAGATGACTAATTTGATTTCATCGCGAGCAAAGACATGTGTCGGAGAGGCTGCGTTGTGTAACATGTTGGCGCCCGCACTAGTTGATGAGCCCAGCCAGCCAACCCGCGGAGTAGCGAGCTCAATGGAACAATTCAAGGAATTACTTGGATACCTACTCTGGTTAACGATGTAGGTAAACACAGTCTTGTCTCGGAATCAGGCCACGATGGTCGTCCGAGCCAAGCCCTGCCAGCTGGCAACAACCGCCAGGGTTGGAGGCGAGCAAACGGGCGCACAATAGCACGACAGGGAGATCGACGATCGATGGTATACCGGCGTATTTCAGAACGAGAAAAAGCAAGTTTTGACAAATAGTGCAGAAACGGCCAAACCAATTGCAGGGATATGAAATATAATAAACCAAGTAAAGACTCGGCTTGGGGCTGAATGTTCCTGGCTTTGAGGCGGTCAGAGTCGACAAACGGAGGGTGGGTGAGAGAATGACCACGCGAGAAGCGAAAAAGAAGAGGGCCAAAAATAGGACAAGAACAAAAGTTTTAAAATAACAGCAATAATACAAATTGTACAGCCAATACCCGCCAGAAGATTGACAGTGCCAAATCACCGCTTTTGCACAGTGCCCTCTCATGCAAACAGCTCACCGCATACCTGGCTGGCGGATGTTTTACGATGAGGCGGAGCAACATCCGTCGAACAAATGAGAAAAGGCCTCTTCATCAACATCCAACTTGCAATTTATTAATATTGATTACCCCGGAAGTTCGCCGCCATGCTTCCCAACCACAAATCTGCGAATAGACGGGCCAGCAAGCACACTTGGCTCGTCCCGAGTCCACCGGAAGTTGGCCCGCCCACCCACCACCACCCACACCAAGGAACAACACGCGAATCACATATGCACGACGCACGGCTACAGATTGTCAAGTGGGAAAAAAGAAGCGAGCAAGGGGAAATGAAGAAACAGGAAGGGATGCATCCCACCAAGCCACCCTTTTTCCCCGTGACGGCGCCATCGACAAGCCCATGTTTTATTTTCTTCTTGGACCTGGGTCGACCGTTGTTGGCCCTAGTTACCGCTTCGGTAGCCTCGCTGGTCGCTGGTCCGCACCGGATCGCCCCAGCCTTATTTCGGCCGGTCACTGACTAACCAGGTCCATGCACCTAGATAGCTGGTCCGTCTTTTCATCATCAATTGCAAGCCGTCCAATTTTCTCAAATCCCCTCCTCTCCCGCAAAGCCTCTACCAATAGCCGCCATCTTTTCAACTCCTGGCTCACAGCCCACTCCCACGACACACACCCTGGTCAACCACCATCTTTGGCCGGGCCGTCGTTCAATTCCCTCACTGCCCAGATCATAGCACCACACCCTCTCCCCCCCCCTCCAAAAAAGCCACCGGACCAGAAACTGCCCTCCCCTTTCTCCTCCTACCACACTCAACCCGTACGAGGAAGCAAGAGAGAGAGAAAGTCCGACAAATCACGGCAGAGGAGTTCGGAGCTCTCCGTTCTTTATCCCCTTTCGGTGGCTTGGCTTCTCGCCTTTGTGTCTTCCCGCGCAGTGCGCGGCGCCCGCGCGCGACCAACGAGCCCATGGGCGCTGGCGGGCTGCTCCACCGAGGAGCCTCGCCCAGCCCGTCGTCGACCTCGTCGCAGCCACCGCCTACGATGATCACGACGACGACGAGCGATTTTGACGGGAGCATGGCAAGAGGTGGAGGAGGAGGCGGGGCCGGCAGCGGAACGCGGACCACAGCCTCGACCGGACCCACGACGGCCCCCCGATCCCATCTCTATACAGCGTCACCGCCGACGACGACACCCAAGAGCACCCGCGCTGCCGCCGCGCCGCCGCAGCCGTCCATGCTGCAGCCACGCGTCGCCGTCGTCCTCAACGTGCCCGCCAAGTGGCATCCGTGGCTCTTTGCCCTCCGTTTGCTCTCCTGCCTACCCGCCGCCTGGTGGGGGCTGCCTTCGGCGCTGCACCTGCTGCTGCGCGTCCTCCCCGCCGGTCCGCCCGAGCAGCGCGACGCACTTGCCTCGCTGTATCGCGGCGACGGCCGGGCCGAGATGTATGCTCTCACCGAGACGGGCCTGGCCACGATATGGGTATGTTGCAGAAAGAGGCCTGACCAGGTCACCGCCCTTTCACATGTCAGGAACGAAGCTCTCTAACGGAACGGTTGTGCGAATAGTCATTTGCTTGCGGATATCTATCTTTCTTCTTTACTGATTGCTTAATGTCTCGGTGGTATGTATCCCGGTCTGCCTCGAATCGTTGGTCACTGGCTAACCCGCTCAGGCTCATCAACTATACCCCCCAAGCCACCATTGTCCGACTCCTCACCGTCGACGTCATCAACGCCTACCTCACCCTCACTACCCTCTCCCTCTGCGGCGGGTTCCGGGACCCGCGTCTGCTGCTTCCTGGCTGGATCGGCATCGCAACAGTACGTTTCCTCTCCGACACCAAACTCGACCAAGGGTTAAGAAGTGACGCGAAGCTAACTGTCAACAGACACTCACCGTCTGCTACCACATTAGCCACCAGCGCATCAATATCCGCAAAGAAACCTCCACCTCGGTCAACGTCTTCTCCATCGCCAGCTACCTGAGCATGGTTGCCCTCCTCGCCCACATGCTGGCCTTTCAGCCCGACTACCCCGCCATGCCCGTCGTTGTCCACGGCCGCCGCCTTTGGGGTGACCTGCTGCACTACATGGCGCAGATCAAAGGCACAATTGAACGTGAGAGGGCAGAGTTGTAAGACAACGAGGGCTGGCTGTTTTATTGGCTATGCAAGTTGAAAATTGGCGCTGTTTTCTTGTCCATTTCTCGTTTCTCGTTTCCTTATTCCCCCATAGAAAGTTCTGATCCCCCCGTCAAAGTTGTACCTTGCCAGCCTCGCAGGAGCAATTCGCGGAACTCGTTTGTTAGCAGCGGTCCTGCTTTCAACGTCTATAATTCCATAGTGCAGGACTCGGTGTTAATACCGTGTTTCACCTGCACATGTCTGCAGCTGCATGAACCGACCGAGTCACGGCAAACAATGGCAAATACCAGTACCATCGCCTACATGCATCTGATTATCCACGTCAGAGCTACACAAACGTCGGGCTGGGGGTATCATATTTGTATTGCCCTAGACTACGACCGGGCTTGCCCTAACTGCTAGTAAAACGAGCGACCGAAGAGCAAAAGCGAACATCTTGGCCCGTAGCATAATCAGGTTGTCGCGTCAGAACGCTAAGCTAAAGCATGTTTTGTCCTCTCTTCCAACTATAACCATGTTGAGGTATTAAAGTGAAACAGAGGCTTGCGTGCCTCGCTGCGACGAAGATTGCAGGCCAATACCAAGTGTTGGTAGCCCCCGAGTTTCTCGAAAAAATCACGACTGCATCTCCTCATTCTTCTCGCACATTGGTGGATTGGTCCGTCGTCCCTAGAGGCGCTCGTGGGAAATCACGTTTCCCAAGCCCCGGCCAGACTGCTGCGAAAGAGTGCATGCAGTACTTGTCATGACCGAGATGCGATGCTTTCTAGTCGGGGGGGAAGGCTCATCCCCAAACACGCCCTGTGGATGCGGCCCGCATGCGAATCGCTGTAGAGACGGTCTGCAGCTGCATGTTGCCGGCAGGGCGACGGCGCCACAGGCCAACTTAGAAACCGTGGACTTTGATAGTCTTGGGGTCTAGCTCAAGGCCCTCCTTCTTGTCGATGAGAAAGTCCTGGACATCTTTGCGCTGATCGCCCTGGAGCTGGATCACCTCTCCCATCTCGGAGTCTGCGACAATGGTGCCATTGCAAGCTATTGTAAACGTTGCGTTAGTGGTTGTGTGTGAGTGAAAGAGTCGTTCTCGGATCGTTGAGCGACGTTTGAAAGCATTTTACACTTTGGTCTAGCCAACTAGTGGAGAGTAAAAAGTGTGTAAAGTAGAGAGACGTACCAAACTTCTTCTTGATGACCTTGAGAATTTTCTTCTGGTCAAATTTCTTCGGAAGACCCTGGACCGTGGTCAAAGTCTTGCGACCATTACGCTCTGCACCACCGTGTTAGTAAGAGAGTCGTTGGGGCGAGACCCTCGGCCACCGCGCACGCGACCATGGGTCTGTCGAGGTTGCGCGGGGTTATGAGGCGAGCGGGATTAAAACGTACGCTGAATGCGTATATGAATGTAATTCTGAGTCTGTTTGTTGACTTCTCCGGTGTCCTCGTCGGCTTCGGCGAAGGGGTCTGCAAGCATGTGTTGGTCAGCAAAGCGTCCAAAGTGAGGCGACAGATGCAACGAGGTTGCTGTGGTGGTGGGCTGGTGGCCGGACGCGGGGTCGTGTCTTGGGGCGTCGCACAGACAGCAATCGGTTGACAAAGCTGCCAGAGACGATGGGAAGTAGGAGAAAGGGACAAAAGAAGACCTAGCTCCGTAGTCAAGATAATCGTAACGTACCGTAAGACTTGAGATTTTCGATGGACATAAACTCGGAGGTACCTGGGTAACCTTGGGAAATGGGTTTTGCGGTGGGGGAGGGGACGAGCGACCGACGGCTTTCTGAAGCGGTCTCGCTGGGAGCTGATAGTTTCTTGGAGGGGAGAGGGTCTGCTGTTGATGCGAGAGCTGGGCTGCGAGGGCGCGAGAGAAGCTGGCGAAGCTGGCTTGTTTGCTGGGTTGTTGGTGGTTTGGGTGCAGGAGGCAAATTGGTGTGTGCGCCCGGTGGCACGTATTTATTAGAATCGGGAAAGGAAGTAGGGAGAAGTAGACTTTGCCTGCACCAGCCACAGGAGTCACCGGGCTACAGCGGGCTTTCGCGGTCCTGAGCACTAATCAGGCCTGCATTTTGGGTGCTGTTGGGGCAGTGAGTGGCTAATGTGTGGCTGGTGGCGGGGCAAAGGCGGGACCGTTGTGTAAAATTTGGCTTTTGATGCCACTCTTGATGCTGCAAGGTGCCCTGTACTTGACGCTGGATCGCCTGGCCGCGAGCAGGTGGGGCACACAGGCCTTAACGCTAGAGATACTTGAAGCTACCTAAGGTACCTTAGTACAATTGCAGTGTTGGAGGAACGGTATCTAGGTGCGATGGCAATGGTCATGCTGGCTTTGATCAGTAATTTGGTTAAATCATCTTCACAGAAATCTATAGGAAATATAGAGCTTTGCACTTTTTACTGAACTATTGGCAGGTGTCAAACAGACAACTGCTCATGGTGTTTGTACTACAGGTGAATGCATTAAAAGATATTTGTGCCTGGATTTCAAGGCATCACGCATCACCTGCACCGCCTCACCGGTGCCGCTCACTGTGCCTCACCACCCAATTATGTACATCACATGCCCAAAATCATGAGACAATGTACCTATCACTTTGCCCTCATCCATTGAATCAGACCTCCATGGTCATGATTGTTACCTCTCGAGTATTGCCTGGACTAGTCGTGCATCTCCCTGCAGTCTCCGCACCTGTCCATCCATTCATCGACAGCCTTGCAGGAATCCATCGATCTTGCCCGGAATATTCATAGTCACAGCTTTCATCAACTATGTAGAAGACACGTTGTCGCTGTTGTATACTTGGGAAAGAGAGACTCACAGGTACGCTCATGTCTGGCACGAGTGTTGGTCATGCGCAGAATGAGCGACCTACCCTGTAAATATCGGTCTTCCCCACGATATCGTCGCTATGATGGCTTAATTAAAGTTCGTCTGAAACTACATAAAGGCATCAAATGCCAAGAAAGCAAAGCCCGGGGAGGTGTTACGCTTGGCAATCGGGCAAGGTATCACCACGTTCGCCAATACGGACATGCCCGCTGCAATCTGAACGGCTCGCTGACGCTCAGAAACTACAATGTGGTGGAAACGCTAGTGTCTGCAGAGGCCCCATGAGCTTTTACATTTGTACTACTTGAGATACGTTTACATTTGTACCACTTGAGATACGTTTACATTTGTACTACTTGAGATACGGCATGCAACGATTGTAGACTGTGACTTCAATGTATGCTGTGTCGACTGTTGACGTCTGGGTACATGGCTGTTAGGTCAGATCGCAATGGCACTGACACTCCAATTTTTGGAAGCGTTTACCATGGTGAGGATTTCTTAGGAAGAGAAAATTCCATTGCTGAAATGGGATAAGCAAGTACAGGCGCGCCTCAACTTGGCGGCTCCGCCATCACCGAAACAAACTCGGATGTTGTGGTGACATGCGAGCTGGACCTTCATCGCTGAACATATACTTTCTGTTAGCTTGAATATATAGACTAGACATATGTGATACAGAAGGTAAGATAACACTCACAATTTGCTAATATATTCGAACGATTACTCTCCGCTGTAGCCAGCCCCACGTCTAAGATTGGCGACGTTTGCTATATAACACGCTTAGTATTCCTAGTCCACAAGTCTAATAGCATGTGTCGAGTTATTTGTTCTACGCAATCATTTATTTTGAACTGAAAAGAGTTGACTGTAAACATTTGAGGTCTGACAGGGACCCCCTTCAAGCCGGAATGAATTGGCATGCTCATATGGAGCGAAGACACAACAATGAATTAGCAAGATGAGGTTACCGGACCAGATCAACCACTCTGAGCCTTGGAGCCAGTCGGACCATTTTCCATTCGCCGAGTACAAGTTGCTTGACAAACGTCGAATTCTGGCTGAACGACCGCGGCGGCGCGATGACACAGTCGGAAGCTGACAAAGGCGAGGACAATAATACAATAATATAACGAAAGGAGTAGGTTCTTTTCAAACTTGCGTCGGGTTCTTTTTGATAATCCCCGCTAAAAAACGGACTCGTTGCCGTTCTCCCGCGTCGCGATGCAAATGAACATGTCAAAGAAACCTCGTGAATCTGATGGGAAAATGGTGCAGCTCTCAAAGTAGAAGCTTCTCAGGGCGACACAAAGCGAGAATCTTCTCCTTCCTTATTGTGCCATGTTAACATGCTTCTCTGCGGGCGTAATAGTCCGTCCATGTGCCGCGCCTGCCTAATTCAGATGGGGGATCCCGTAATATGTGGCCTGGACCCGACGATAAACGCTCCAACATGCCGACCGACTTACAATGGCTTGTATAAAATGACCGAAGTAACTATGTGGTGGCAAAATGGAGGAGATATTACCTAGCTGATAGAGAGTACATCATCGTTATTAACACAAGATGCAATTGCTCATGTTGACGGCCGTTCTTGGCCTTGTGGCTACCGGGGAGGCCTTCCCCAGAATTGTCAAGCCGATTAGGCCTATGAGGACTATGTCGGAAACTGGCCAGAATCCAAACTCGAGTGACGCGACGCAGGCGTACTTTGACCAGCTCATCGACCACAGCCGTCCGGAGCTCGGTACCTTCAAGCAGCGGTACTACTACAGCACCAAGTACTATAAGGGCCCGGGCTCGCCTGTGTCCCTCGATGCGCCGTCCGAGGCGGCCCTGCCACCCGAGTACGTGGACCTGACCAACCGCACCATGATCGGGTTCATCGCGCAGAACCTGGGCGGCGCGGCCCTTGCCCTCGAGCACCGCTTCTACGGCGAGAGCACCCCCGTCAAGGGCACCCCGAACACGGAGACATTCCAGCCGCTGACGCTGGAAAACTCGATTGATGACCTCGTCTATTTCGCGAGAAACGTCAAGCTCCCATTTGACACTGAAGGCATGTCGCACCCCGACCGAGCGCCGTGGACGCTGAGCGGCTGCTCGTACTCGGGCGCGTTGTCGGCGTGGACCGAGAGGCTCGCGCCGGGCACATTTTGGGCGTACCAGGCTGGAAGTGCTGTCGTAGAGGCACGCAACAGCCTCTGGCAGTACTATAAGGTGATTGGGGATGCGCTGCCGCAAAACTGCTCAGCCGACTGGCGGCTCGTCATGGAGCACATTGACGACGTGCTCATGAACGGCAGCGATTGCAGAAAGACGGAGCTGAAGCGCCACTTGGGAGCGGCAAATGCCACCGACGAGGAGGCTGCCGAGACCGCAACGCGTTGGTTGCCTCAGTGGCAGCGTCAGCAGTACTCCTCTGGCTACTCTATGGTTTTCAAAGTCTGCGACTTCATCGAGGTACATTGCAATCGCTGCATTGGCTACTGCTTACTAGCAGCGTTGCCGATCCTGACACTATACTCATTCTCTTCCATGTAGAATCAACTGCCCGAAAAGTACGAGGCTGCACCAGGGCCCGACGGGCTTGGGCTGGAAAAGGCACTGCAAGGCTACTTGCGCTGGCAAGACTCACTCAATACCCCGTCTCACGTCGACCAGGCGGACGATGGCCTGGTAGACCCTTGGCTATGGCAACTCTGTAATGAACCGTAAGACAATCAAGACCAGCCAACTACCCGATTTCAACTGCCAACTAACAAAATTGACAGGTTCCAGTGGTGGCCCACGGAGAAGCCCGGTGAGCCCCTCCACATCACCACCGGCTACGACACGGAGGAGTCCGCGCGGAAGGAGGACTGCATCGATATATTCCCCGACGTCGGCAAGTATAAGGTCGGCATCAAGCTGGGCCGCGATGAGACCACAGTGAACCGTCTGACGGGTGGGTGGGATAACAACAACGCCACACGGCTGGTCTGGGTCAATGCCGAGCTCGACCCATGGCTGTTCGCGACCGTCTCCTCGCCCGACAGACCTGGCGGCCCGCTGGAGGGCACGGATGACGCGCCCCTGTACTGGCTGCCCGGCGCTGCGCATTGCAACGACTACAGGACGGAGAATTACAACGTCAACGAGGATGCGCGCGCCATGTTTGACGGCGTGGCGGACAACATGAAGAGGTGGGCGGCTGACTTTTACATGCAGCACAACATCACACGCGACTTCTAAGTAGGGTCACACGCGCGGGGGAACATGTCAAGTGAGAGAAATGGGGATCTAGCTGGCTTATACATACGTACATGCTTGGTCGAAACAAGTACATAATCTTGAGTACACATATATTCTACGTGCCAATGAGCCGACGTCCTCGAGAAGCTGCTGGCTCATCGTGGGTCTAAACTGCAAGTCTGTTACAATAGCATAAAGTAGGAGAAAAGGTACACCGGTACATTTGACATATCAATTGACAAAGAAATCAAGGCCTGGCTGCAAGCAGCAAATCATATTGTCTGTTGTCTTGGTTGGATGCGCCACTACTAACCCCGCTGCGAGAGCACCCTCGGGATCCTTCTCAAATTGACGCATCACCTCGCCAAGTATAGCGAAAGACAATACACGATAGACATGATGGACAAGGAGCCGTCAAAAACCACCCGAGAATTCTTACTTGCTCAGGTCAAGGAAGATCCCGGGCTGCCTCGACCGCAGCCGACGACATCATTCTGGCAGGTCCCGCCACACGCAACACTCGCGGACAAGCAGTCTTCCCAGCTCCCCGCCAACACCGATATTGCAATTATCGGATCCGGCATAACAGGGTGCAGCGTGGCCAAGCACATCCTGAACATTTCGTCGCGCTCGGCCGGCTCCGACGCAGTGACGGTGACGGTCTTTGAGGCGCGCACGCTGGTGAGCGGCGCGACAGGCCGCAACGGGGGCCTGCTGACCTCGTTTGTGCCGGAAGAGTTTGCGGATCTTGTCGAGCACTACGGTGCGGAGGAGGCCGTCAAGATTGCGCGCTTTGCCAAGCGCAGCCTGGACAAGGTGCACGAGCTGGCGAACGCGTCGCCGGAGCGCAAGGAACGGAGCCAGGTGCGGCCGTTGCGCGATGTCGTCTGCTTCAGCGACCCCGGCGACTTTGCGGAAGCGAAAAGGTCGTGGCGCTTGTACGAGGAGCACATCCCAGAGGACAGGGGCAAGACAGAATTTCTCTCCCCGGCGGAGGCAGCGCAGGTACGCTCAGCCATGTGACTTGATCGGTTGAAAGCTGATGGGGTGCTAGAAGTACAATGTCCGCGCAACGGCGGGAGCTTTGACGTTCCCAAACGGCGCTGGCTGGCCGTATCGGCTGATTACGGATGTATGGTCCCAGCTGTGGGAGCAATATCAGTCCATATTGAGCATCGAAACCAAGACGCCGGTCGAGAACATTACGTATGAGGCCAGCAACGCGGTGTATCCATACACATTGCACACACCGCGAGGCGTGGTCAGGGCCGCCAAGGTGATCCATGCGACGAATGGGTACGCTGGCCACTTGTTACCGGCTCTTCGCGGCAGCATCTACCCGCTGCGCGGGAGCATGTCGGTGCAACGAGGGACACCAGAGTTTGGCCGTCACGGCAGCAGGCTGACGTGGAGCATGACCAACAAGAGAACCTACGAGCCGGAGACGGACGTGCTGGAAGCGGGCACGTACTACGCACACCAGAATGCGATTACGGGGGACATGTTTATCGGTGGCGAAAAGACCACGGCGAGCGCCTTCTTCGTCGCCGACGACAGCGAGGTCAACGCGCACTGCCGGGCCAACTTTGCGACGCTGCTGCCGCGCTACTTTGTCCGGGGCTGGGACGAGGGCGGCGGCGGCCCGGAGATATGCGCGATGTGGACGGGCATCATGGGCTTCACGGGAGACCGGCTGCCGCTGGTCGGGCCGCTGCCGGCGAGCGCGACGAGGCAACGAGGCGGCGACGGCGAGTGGATCGCGGCGGGCTTCAACGGCTACGGCATGTCGCTGTGCTGGGCGTGCGGCGAGGCGGTGGCCAGGATGGTGCTCGGGATGGACGTGGCGGACTGGCTGCCGGCGGCGTTTCTGGCGACGAGGAAGCGGATCGAGCAGCCGGCGCAGCGAGGAGCGCTGAACGCGGTTCTAGAATTGCTGGATGCGTGACGAGGTAACTGATGGGTACGAATGAATGGGGCGATACCTTGAACCCATATTGGTCGTAATAGAAACTTCTCACCGTGTCGACAAACGGACGTGCATGTTGATAGCAGGGCGGCGTTATCGATTTTCGTGCATTGCATGTCTGGGCAAGGCGAGAGGAGTGAGGAGGAGTCAGAGGAGAAATCCACAGCGCTCGTTGCCTTTGTGGACACTGGACTGGCCTTGCGAACCACTTTCCGCGCGCTGCATCGGACTGTTTTTGGAATCAAGGTGGCCAAGAATCAGGGCAGGGGGTCCATCTTGGCATTCCTACCTACCTATATATCGTATCGTTATTAGTTAGGGTACTTGAAGAAGGAGCGCAACAAGGCTGTGGCAGATGTCATGTCATTCAATATGTCAAAGGTTTGCTAGTGGCGTCCACAGTATCATGGAGCTGTCCACCCACACCATGTGCTCACAGGTACCAAGCAAGTTGCCAAGCTGGGCAGTTAGTAACTACAGTTGGTAGGTACCTACGGAATAAATTGCGAGGGAGTTGGTGATGGCAAGGGCACTCAAATCAGGCGGGCGCTAAATGGTTGAGGCGCTATAATTGACGTATTATAGCCAAAAAGTCCGTGGGAGAAAGTTTACAGGGAATGCATCACATTATTACAGGGGACATGACACAAAAACGCCCGGGCTTATAGGGCTTACAGGCTGTTATCGAAGATATGGGGAGCCTGTGAATGAAAGCATCGGAATCAGCAGTGGCAGCTCTTGCACTTAACACATTCAAATTAATGTACACGCATGCAGAACAAATTTCCATCACATTGGCGCGCTGGAAAGGGGCTTGGATTTAGTTACTCTATTAATTTCCGAACTTCTCTCTTCTCCTTGTCCAACAAAACAATGGCGGCCCGATGGACAATCACTGCGGATTTTGCCCTGCTTCGATGCTGTTGTCCTCTACTCCATCCGATCCGATGATACGATCATCCACAGAACACAGAACTCCCCAACACCAGCATGATCACTACTAGCATCCCAGGGCTCCATGTGCGCGTGAAGAGACAATTTCACTTCCGAAAAGCTTGACCTTCTCGGCTCCCCACCAGGCACTAGTCCAGGGACAACTCCCCAGTCTGTCAGCCTCTAGGCAGGGAGGGGCACATAACTTGATTGTTGACAGGATGAGAAACTATGCTGTATGGGGCAGGCGTGGCGCAAAGGCTGCTGCGCGCGGAAATATTGCAGACGAATCTGCCCTTCTTTGGCCGTTGGCTGGCTGGCAGCAAAGGGGTGGTCGACTTTTTCACGAGTGCCCTAGTTACAAGGTGGGAGCTGAGTGCTCGCTTGTGATCTGCATACTGACATCTTTGGCAGGCGAATTTGGCCGGCGACTTAAATTTAATAAGTTCCTGAGACAAGGAAAACCGGCGATTGCCTCTTTTGGATACTGTCAGCTCCTTGGCAGAAACCCCAAGCAAAACCTCGTTCTACTTGACACCACCCGAGCACCCAACGGCCAACCCAGGCACACGCATAACCCGGCTACGCTACTCCTGCACTTGAGCCTCCAGCTATTCCTGTTCCTGAACGAGGCGCTCCTCCGCCAGCCCTTCGTTGGTCCCAGCTAGTTCACGATATCCACACATGCTCCTTCTCGACCCGTTCGTCGCCGCCATGATCCATCCCACCGACGCCGCCCACGCCAATAATACCACAGCCTGGCTGGCCTTCCCAAATCTCCCCTCGGAGCAAAATGCCTCCTCCTTCGGTCGACCCGCTCCATCTAGGCATCTGGACAGGGTGGTGCGTGGGCAAAAGTCGAGAGAGAGCGAACCGCCATGGCACGCCGCGCCACTCTCACACCCACCTTTCTGCTGACGCCTTGCCCGTCCGTTAACTAGTCTGCAACTACCGCTGGCTGGCTGAACGAGCCGGAGATCGTGGGAGAGGCCGCACAGTGAAAAGGGCGGCTACTCCGCTCCTTCAGCTTGATGGCGTCCCTTCCTCTCATCAACTCTCTCTCTTTCAACGTAGAGACTCAGCAGGCTCGGATACTAGGCCTTCTTGTAGACGCTTTCGTCTACGTCCTTTCATTCATACCAAACGACCGACCACACCACAGTCTTTTATAACCCCCCAGGTTTCGACCAAATTACAATCTTTTACTACACAATGGTTTCCAAATTCCTTGCCGCTCTCGCCGTTGCTGGCCTGGCCTCGGCCGCCGGCACCAACGTTGCCAAGTTCAACGCTTACTGGGTAGGACACACCACCATGACGCCAATGGCAGTCACCCGGAAACTCTTCATTGACTAACATGCTTTGATCGCACAATACAGGGCCAGTCTGGTCCTTACGACGAGAGTCTCAAGCAACGCTGTGACGAGGGTGCCGACTACATCAGCCTGTCCTTTGTCACCTCGTCCCCCGAGAACAACCCTTCTGGGTATCCCGGCATCGGCTTTGCCGCTCACTGCTGGGCTGATTCTTTCGAGGTGGACGGCAAGCCGACCAACCTGCTCAGCCACTGCCAAACCATCATTGATGATCTCGAGTACTGCCGTAGCAAGGGCATCAAGATGCTCCTCTCCATTGGCGGTGTCTGGGACCAGAAGACATCCGACTACCGCGTCAGCACCGAGAAGAACGGCCGCGACTTTGCCGACTTTCTCTGGGGTGCCTTTGGCCCTTACGATGCGTCCTGGAAGGGCCCTCGCCCCTTTGACAGCCAGACCGACCCTACCAAGCACAGCGCCATTGACGGCTTCGACTTTGATCTCGAGCTGCCCCAGGTCGACGGCAAAAACTTTGACAACAAGCCCTGGATCGCCATGGCCGACCAGTTCCGCTCCCACAGCAAGGACGTCATCATCACCGGCGCCCCCCAGTGCCCGACCTCCCCCCAGTGGTTCGCTATGAAGGAGATGATCCAAAAGACCCAGTTCGATGCCCTCTTCATCCAGTTCTACAACAACATCGGGTGTGATCTGGTTGATGGCAACGACCCCCTGAACCCCAGCGAAAACTTCAACTACAACGAGTGGGAAACCATCATCGCCTCCAGCGAGAAGAGCAAGAACGCCAAGCTCTTTGTTGGCATCCCTGCCGCGCCCGAGCCCCTCAACTTGTGGTCTGGCTACGTCACTCCTAAGGAGCTCGAGCCCATCATCTGCAACATTGCCAAGCGTCCCTCGTTTGGTGGTATTTCCATCTGGGACATGTGGACCGGCAAGAACAACATCATCGATGGCAAGTCCTTCAACGAGCACGTCCAGGATATTCTCAGCAAGTGCGGTGACCACACCACCACTACTACTACTACTACTACGACGACGACAACCTCTACGACCTCGAGCACCACGAGCACCACGACGACTACGACGACTAGCTCTTCCAGCACCACCACTACCACCTCGTCCAGCTCTAGCATTCCCACCTCGACTAGCACCAGCACCTCGACCTCGTCTTCCACCAGCAGCCAGTCCACCTCTAGCTCCAGCACGTCCTCTGTGAGCTCCAGCTCCAGCTCCGCTATTCCTACCGGCTCGAGCTCCAGCTCTTCTGTTGTTCCTACTGGTAGCTCCAGCTCCTCTAGCAGCTCTGTTGTCCCTACTGGCAGCTCCAGCTCCGCTCTTCCTACCGGCTCGAGCTCCAGCTCTTCTGTTGTTCCTACTGGTAGCTCCAGCTCTTCTAGCAGCTCTGTTGTCCCCACTGGCAGCTCCAGCTCATCTGTTGTCCCTACTGGCAGCTCCAGCTCCAGCTCTTCTGTTGTTCCTACTGGCAGCTCCAGCTCCTCCGGCTCTGTTGCTCCTACTGGTAGCTCCAGCTCCAGCTCCAGCTCTTCTGTTGTCCCAACTGGCGGTTCCAGCTCCTCCAGCTCTTCTGTCCAGACCAGCAGCAGCACCAGCTCCTCTGCCGTTCCTACCGGCTCCAGCTCCAGCTCCGCTGTTCCTACTTCTCAGTCTAGCTCCTCCATCTCTATCTCGACTGGAACCGGCTTCCCTACCTCGGCTTCTAGCTCCAGCGTCATCCTCACCACTGGTCCTGCGACCACGGCTCCTCCCGTGACCTCGGCACCCTGGACCAACACCACCACGACGTCGCAGGAGATGACCACCAGCACCGTGTTCACGACCACGACCCGCACCATCACCTCGTGTGCGCCTACCGTGACCAACTGCCCTGCCCGTGTCGTCACCGAGACCATTGCTCTGTATACGACCGTCTGCCCCGTCACCCAGACCAACCAGCCCCCCAAGCCGACCGCCACTGCCAGCCAGCCCACCGAGGAGATGACTACCAGCACCGTCTACACCACCACCACTTACACCATCAGCAAGTGCCCTCCCAGCGTCACCAACTGCCCCATCGGCCATGTGACGACTGAGACCATCTCGGTTTCGACGACTGTCTGCCCCGTCACCAAGACCAACGAGGTTCCTCAGCCTACCCAGCCCGCTGGCAAGCCCACGGGCCAGCAGCCTTCCGGCCAGCAGCCTTCCGGCCAGCAGCCTTCCGGCCAGCAGCCTTCCGGCCAGCAGCCTTCCGGCCAGCAGCCTTCCGGCCAGCAGCCTTCCGGCCAGCAGCCTTCCGGCCAGCAGCCTTCCGGCCAGCAGCCTTCCGGCCAGCAGCCTTCCGGCCAGCAGCCTTCGGCCAGCAAGTCCACCCAGTCCCTGACCACTACCACCCTGCACAGCACCAAGACCATCTTCAAGACGCTGTCCCTGGCCCCCGAGACCACCCTCACCGTCGTACCCGTGAAGCCTACCGGCAACCAGTGCCCTGGCGGCCCCAACTGCGCTCCCGTCAGCACTGGCGCTCCCGTCGGCACTGGCGCTCCTTCGGCTCCCGTTGTCAAACCTACCACTCCCATCGTTACCGGTGGTGCTTCCTCTATTACCGCTGGTCTGGTCGCTCTCGTGGCTGCCCAGATCTTCCTCTTGTAAAAAAGGAGACAAGGATACTAAAATTGGAATTTCATTGTTACTTATACTTGTGTGTTTGATCTCATGATAGAAAGCATTTCCTTACATTTCGGATTTATTCACGTGGGGTCGCCTCCCTTTTCCCTTCTTCATTGGTTTACTCGACTCTCTGTCCCTAGCCTGTATTTAATGCTTGTCTTGCGGACAAGCTTAGGGGTAGCTATATAGGCTCAAGTATACTGAATTCTTGTCTCTGAATCTTGATGTATGTACATGTGGTAGATATACAAAGGCATGCTCGTGTTAGCTATGTACATGTGTCGAGGCAGCCTAGTAGCGGGTTGGTTCCGTGGTCACTTCTGAGGACTGAAAGTGTGATAGTCCAACTTGTAATTGACATCCTCCAGCACTTCCTGCAGCAATGAAAACACAAGCTCGCTGTGCTGGCCCCATTGCAACCTCTTAATCAGGGCGTCGCGCTCCTGCCGAAGCACGTCCGCCGGCACCCGCATCAAATCGCACTGATCCCGTAGTAGCCGGTATGCGATGTCGTTCGGCGTCTGCGCCTGTACGATAGCGTTGCGCAGGAAGTCAACGTGATACTCCCACGGCAGGCTGCGCGTCGCGCTGTCCGGCGCCTCGAGGTTGATCCCCCCGTGAACGAGCCACAGCAGCCGCCTCTGGCGTTCCTCGTTCCACGGACCCGTTACCAGCGGTACGGGCAGACGCACGTCAGGATGCACGTGACGGACGACGGTGCGCACCGGGAGGTGTCGGTGGCGAGTAAAAGTCTGGTATGCGGCGTCGAAATACCGCGTGGCGTCAAAGAGGCCATACCCGCCGGCGCTGAGCGGGATGTGCGGCTCGTACCAGCGGTGGCGGGCGTAGGTGTCGGCCCACGTCTGCTGGGCGCGCAGGATCAAGTCCATGTCTACCCAAGGAAGCTCGAGAAGAGCGCTCTGTAGAGAACAATGTTAGTAATGTGACGAGGGAAAAGAGCACGAGGTGGGCGTGGCTTACTTGGAGCTCGGGGTCGCCATCGCATGGAAAGTATTTTGCTTCCTGCGGACTGCGCGCTCCCCTGGCATCGTCTTTCGGCTTGGGGCCCTCGAGCACTTCACGAAAGGGAACCCCAAACCACTGGTCCCACGTGTCGTGGAAGCCCCAAATGAAGAAGCGCAGCAACGTCGCACGAGACGACAGCTTGGCGCCAACGACGGGGCTGCACTGCGGGAGCGCCACGCTGCCGCTGTACAGGAGAATTTTCTCGAGAATCTCGGTGGGAAGCCTGTCAAGGGTGGTGCGCGGCTGCCGCTGCCGCATATGCTTGACGTCCTGGAGGGAGCGCAGCATCTTGGACGGCCGCGGCGTGGTCGAAGTGGCGGTGTTTGATGCCTTGCGTTTGCCCCTGATACGGACGGGCGTGAGTTTCATGCTCGAGTGCCAGGGAAGGAGTTATCTCGCGCAGGACAAAAGGGGAGGATCGGATGTGAAGTGACGAGCTCATGGATGCACCTGCGATGTGTGACGGCGGTGTTTAAGTAGGTAGGTAGGCGACGGCGACACTAAGCAGGTGAGAGTAGCATCCTTTCCAAAGTGAATCATATATGATAGAGATTGAGGACACAGGGAATCAAACGAAAGCCACATGTAGTCGAATTTTGTGTGAAATATTACAACATTGTGCTGTACAACAACGAAATGATTCGTAGTTGAGGCGAGGAAGTTGCAGTGGCGGACTGAATAGCGAAGTGGCCCGTGCACGCGCTATAAACTTTTTTGGTCGTGGCCTCGAAAGTGAGGGCGCGAATGCACCAAAGAGCCTCCAACGCCGACGACAAACTCCATACGACCCCGTCGCTTGGTCCATCATTCGGGCAACCTCCCAAATAGCTTTGCGTTTCTGTCGGCGATCTCTATGACGACGAAACCACTCGACCGCGCAACCACTGCAGCATTGTAGCGCAAACATTGACGGACGGCGCGATGCGCTCCCCCGTGCCGTCGCGCAGTCTCCTGCGTTTTCTACGCACACAGTCCGAGACGGCCTTTTTCACACCGAGCCACGTCCGAGGCACCAAGTTGAGCGGCACACGCATCTGCGGCCGCGTCCGGCTATACCATCCATACACACATCTATGCACAGCTACATCCGAACCGACACCGCAGCCCGTGGTGGCCCTCGAAGCGTCACTATGGCCGTTTGCCTGTCAGCGCCGGGCGCTCAGCTCCACGACTCAGACGCGCGGATGGCACAAGTCTGGGAGTACTGGGAAGAAAAGTAACGCTAGTGATGACCCGGCGAGTTCGTGGCAAGAGAGGCTCTGGGGCATGGCGGCGCGGCGCGGCTTCAAGCCGCTCAAGCCGGATGATCTCCCCGGGCACGACGACCTGGAGCACGGCTCCATGTTCAACAGCCGGCGCGTCATGACGGCCAAGGCGGCGGCAGAACCGCGACTGCGCTGCACCGAGGTGGACGAGCACGGGCAGGTGATTCTCGTCGACGGCGAGTTTAAAAAGTCGGAGCTCATTGCCAAGGTATGTCCCCCCCGTCGCGAATGACAAGACTACAATGATGCTGACAAGAACTAGTACGGCCTACTCCCCCGCGATTTGCGCAAGATTGACTCGTCCAACCTCCCACACATCCTCGTCCGGCCCGAAGCCATCCTGCTCAACCTGCTGCATCTCAAGGTACTCATCAAGAGCGACCGCGTACTGCTCTTTGACGTGTACGGCTCCAAGACGTCGTACCCGCAGTCGGCATTTATGTACGACTTGCAGGGCAAGCTGCAGCAGCGCAACCCGCCGGGGTCGCCCGGCCTGCCGTACGAGTTTCGCGCGCTTGAAGCGGTGCTGACGTCGGTCACGTCGGAGATGGAAGCCGACTTTGAGGCGGTGCGCGAGCCCGGCATGCACATCCTCAGCGAACTCGAAGATGACATTGACCGCCACAAGCTGCGCGTGCTGCTCATCTTGTCCAAACGTATTAGCACGTTTGAGCAAAAGGCCAAGCTGGTCCGCGACGCCATTGAGGAGCTGCTCGAGGCGGATGATGATTTGGGTGACATGTACTTGTCGGAGAAGAAGAGCGAGTCGACGAGGGCGGCGGATGACCACACGGAAGTGGAGATGCTGCTGGAGTCGTATCATAAAATTGCCGACGAGATTGTGCAGGAGGCAGGCAACCTTGTCTCTGGCATCCGAAACACGGAAGAAATGTACGTTGGACCATCGAACATTACAAACATCAACAGCCATACTGACTACTACATGCAGTGTCCGCGCCATCCTCGACGCCAACCGCAACTCGCTCATGCTGTTGGACCTCAAGTTCAGCGTGGGCACGCTCGGGCTGGCCATGGGCACCTTTCTCGCGGGCCTGTACGGCATGAACCTGGAAAACTTCATCGAGGCGACTAATTGGGGATTTGGCGTCGTGACGTCGACGTCGGTCGTCTTTTCGCTCCTCGTCTGCTGGTACGGGCTCGTCAAGCTGCGGCGCGTGCAGCGCATCAAGATGGGGGGCAGCGAGCGCGCGCTGGGCCTGCCGCGCGGGTACCGGCACTACCAGGAAGAGGGCGCCATCGGGCTGTTGGATTCGCGTAATCGCGAGATGCTGCGCCGGCTGCACTCGCAAAAGGCGGCGCCGAAGAAGACGACGTCTTGGTTCTGGTAAGCAGGGCTGTGGACAAGCAGCCGCACCACGCACCACGTACCACACAACCTCTGTATCATTACAAAATCTCTCTGTACAGCATATAGATGGCGTTGCAATATTTGCGCAAGGAAGAAACGGGAAAATGATGCATCATTTATTTTGGGGAGGATTTCTTTTTACATACACTCATCTCCGCCATGGCACGGCACATTGGTTCTGTATACTATTATTCCTTGGACACGTACTTAATTATCCTGCTCTACATACATACACCTTGCATTAAATCCACACCGCCTTGAAATTAAATACAGAAACACGTGCCGTTTGAATGCCGTTTGTTAGGCCGTTGCCGATTTGCCGATCTCCTAGGTCCGCGCGCCCCCTGTTCAACCTTGCTCTTTTTTTCTCGTGTATCATGAGACGAGGCGTCGCGAGTGGTGACGTCAGGATTCTTTCACTGCTGCACGATTTTTTATATTAAATCACAACAAACGCTCAGTCAAAAACGTGCACCTTTCAACATCTGCATTCTTTCTCTCCAATATCGCTTTGGAGTTTCGCTTAAATTATCCCTTTTATCAATACAACCACTTGTCCTTGACACAAATCGCCATCATGGGAGCCGTTATATCTTGTGTAAGTGGCACCCCCGAGCTAAATCCTTCGCTTCCCTAGCCTAGCCGTCCCCCCCCTCCCCCCAAAACTTTGTTGTCGGTGCTAACGGAAGCTTTTTTTCTTCTTCTAGATCCAATCGTTATTCAATGCCATTGCCGGCTGCATCATGGCCATTGTGCACGGCGTCATTTCCATTTGCAAGGCCATCCTCGACGCCATCCTGGCCTTTTTCGCCATCATCCTCAGCTGCCTCACCTGCGGAAAGTGCGGCGGGCGGCGAAAAGTAGGATCGAGTCATGTGTAGCTTGGCTCGCGTCGGTTTCTGTCTTGGGGCAATTCTCCCCATCTTTCTCGTCGACTCTTTCGATTTGATACCCCTTATTGCGCGCTCGTGAGCTTCTCCTCGCATGCAAGGCGGGAAATGGATTTTGCACTGTGTGGCTATTCTGAGACTACTAGGTAGCAGGTAGCAGGTAGCAGGTAGCAGGTTAGCATGATCAATGCTGGAATTTTCTCATATTGTTTCTCTGGATACTGCTTTCTATAATGTCAATCTGACTTTGCACATGTCTACACAGCTATGCCTACCATGCCGTCCGATACACTCTCCGTGTTTGTCGTATCTGTATCTGCCTCGTCGTCCATGTCGGAACCTTCACTGCTGTAGCTCGCTTAATCGTCGTCACTGCTCAAACTTGTAGAACTTTGCCGCGTTCCTGCCCGTTTCATCGCCGACAGCATCGATGACGACTGAGCAAGCAGTGTTGCTGGTGTGTCAAACTCCATCAACTCGCCCTTTTGTAAAACCGCAACCTTGTCGTAGCGCTCGATATATCCCAGGCGATGAACTACCGAAAGCACAGTTTTGCCTGCGAATTCAGTCTCTAGCACTTGTTGCATGATTTCTTCCGTCTTGTGATCGACGCTATTATGCATTAGATGGGCTTTCTTAGATGAAGGTGTTTATGCAAAAAGACGTTGACGCTTACCTGCTTGTAGCTTCGTCGAGTATGAGAATCGGACTCTTTCTCACCATGGCTCTGGCCATGCAAATCAACTGCCGCTCGCCTACGGACCAGGATGTCAGAGGCATCTCGGAGTCGATGCCGCCTGCGGCCTCGATACGCTCCCAGAGTCCAAGTCGCTCGAGAGATGCAGTGATATCCTCGTCTGTTGCGACTTCAAATGGATCGACGTTTTGGCGCACCGTTCCGGGCATCAAAAAGGGCTCTTGGGGAACGATATTGACGAGAGCACGAAGCTCGTTCGGTATCAAATTGTGGATATCAACATTGTCAATGATTAGCTCTCCGTCGATGTGAATCATGTGGAGGAGGCTTAGAATGAGCGACGTCTTGCCACTGCCGGACCGACCACAGATGGCAACCTTTTCGCCCGCCTTGATTGACAGCGTCAGGCCCTTGAGAGCTGCAGGCCCGGATTCTCTGTACAGAACGAACATTAGAGATCAAGAAAGGTAAGCTAGAGGAGTTATTCTTACTTGTAGGAAGCAATGACGCTTCTGAATTCGATGTTACCCTTGTTTGGCCAGTTCGGGGGAGGGCTCTCGGGCTGCACGATGCCCAGCTCTTCCTCCTCAGGCACAGTATTGTCCTTGAAGTCCTTGATGCGACCCACAGCGCCAATTGAAGTTTCGAGCGAAGTCCACATTTTAATCAGCTGGGTCAAAGCAGAGTTGAAAGTCATGACGGTGACGAGGGAGACACCAACGCTTCCCGGCGAAAACTTGTCGCGCCAGGTGACGACAATCGCAATGAGTATCAGGACCAAGGCAGACACAATGGCATCCAAAACAAGAGCAAGCCACTGCTGGATGCAGAAGAGCAAGTACACTGGTCTCTGCGAGCGATTGAGAAGCCGCTGCAGATTCAGCTGGCAAGACTGCTGCCAGCCAAACGCCCTCAATGTGGCAGCGCCATTTTTGGACTCGAGGAACTGAAGATAGACGGGCGCCTTGGCTTCAATGTCAAGCAGTCTTACCTGCCGCGATGTGCGAAGATAGATGCGCTGGACCATGTAAATGACGGCGAGGAACAAGGGCAACGACGCCGTCAGATAGCGGCCAAACACGGCCAGCAGCAGCATCTTGGCGATGCATTCCAACAGCGCAACCAGGTAGTTGACAATGATGATTGGAAGCTCAATGCCAATCAGTTCCATGTCCTGGCTGAATCGGTTCGTGATGTTACCGACGTCCGTCTCCTGGAAGAAGAGCAACGGCGCACGAATGACGGCCGTCAGAAGGTCCGTATGGAGGTTTCTCGAGGAAACGGAGATCATGTTGACAAAGACGAGCCAGCAGAGGAAGAGCAGAAGCAGGCCGGAGAGGACACCCAATGCCGCGTACACACCGAGGTACAGGCCGTTGTTGGCATGACCGGGAGACCTGGCGTTGGCCGAGGACCAGAGATCAATCCAGACGACGCCGAATTCGCTGCAGAAAGTGTGCAGTGCGGCACCGGCAAGCAGCATAATGACCTTCCAATACCCAGAAGAGTGCATGTAGTAGCGGTACACGGAAGGAACTCCGCGTGTGCGTTTGAGATCTGCTGCCTCCTCATTCAGTGCCGATAGTCTATCCTCGGCAGTCTCGATTCTGGTGAGGGGTTGGGCTTGCGCGCTGGCGGGCTTGCTTTCCTCGCTGTCCTCGTCATCAGCCTCGGTGAGCTCCTCAATCTGAAATCCAGAAGAGAAGCCGTTGCTAGGCTGCAGTGATGCTACGGTCCGCGACTCGACGATAGTACCCTGGTCAATGACCAGAACGTCATCCGCCTGCATCATGAGGTATTTGGAGTGCGTGACAAGAATGATGGTGCATCCATTGCGCCGTAAAAGACCGGTCGAGCCAAACAGCTTCTCTGAAATATGGGCAACGTTGGCATTGTCAACACCGCTGAAGACATCATCCAGCAAGATGACGGGCTCTCTTGAAAAGACGGCGCGGGCTAGACTCACGCGCTGCCTTTGGCCACCGCTGAGCTTACTTCCATTGTCGCCAATGTCCGTCTGATCGCCACCAGGTAGGCTGTTGATGTCGTTCTCTAACCCGCAGGCTGACACGACAGTCTGATACCAAGAATCGTCAACCGCAGCTGAAGAGCCATAGGTGATGTTGCTCTTGAGGGTCCCATTCACCAGCCATGGCACCTGAGAGCAGTACGCCGCGGAAGCAAAACTGCGTTCTGTACGGCCGCCGAGATCGACAGTCTCTCCGAGTATGCTCTCAAGCAATGTCGATTTACCACTGCCCGTGCGACCGACGATGGCAGTAAAGCGCCCTCTGAGGATGAACGCATTGAGATGCTGGAGCGCGGCCGGGCGGGATTTGGCCCAAGCAAAGTCTTGGTTGACGAATTTCACTACAAACTCGCTAGAGCCTACAGTCTTACCTTGCATCATTTGAAGAGAGATTCCGGACGCATTGTTTTCGGCAACGCGAACATCGCCAGCCGGCGGCAGCAGACCGGGATGGGTGGGCTGGCGGTAGAATTCTTGCAATCGGTCGAAGCTGCTGAGGCATTGATAGACGCTGGGTATGGCTTGGATAAGCATAAGTGTGGGCTCCGTCAGGAGCGCAATCAGAGACAAGGATGTGAATGCCTTGGCGGCCAGGAAGGAAGTATCGTGGCGGGCGTTGGCAATGGCGACAAAGACGATGAATGTCACCACGGGAGCAAACGTGAGCGGCGCATTCGCTGCCCAAGTTAGCCAAGAAGAAGAAGAAGAAGAAGAAGAAGTGAAAGCCTCTGGACTTACAGAAGAAAATCTGCCCAATTAGTGTCCATCGATAGCGAGTGGAATTTTCGATTTCTACGTCTCGTGCCTTGTAGATGACGGAGAACATCTTGGGGCTGAGACCCAGCATCTTGACGGTCCTCATGTTGGCCAGCATGTTGGTGGTGAGACGCAATCGCTCCTCTACCTTTTCGATCCATATTCTCTGGTACTTCTTGGCGAGGGAGGCAATGACAAAGGCTAAACAGACAAAAGCTACGAGATCCATGTCAGCTATGCACGGCCAAAAGACTGGCGCGGCAAGACTTACAGAAAACGAGAAGACCTGGGACGACGCAGGCCACAAAGATTTGTCTCTCTAGCAGATAGACGGCAATGATTATCTCAATGGGCGTCGCCCACACTTCGTGAATGGTGCGAAAGCCGGTCGAAATTCGCTCCACGTCGGCGCCCATGAGAGCCAGGCCATCGATGGCCAGGTCGAGGGAGCGACACTCTACCGTTTGCTGGTAGATGATGGATATCAAGCCGCCACGAAGGCGGATGATGAATCTGTTCAAGTAGTAACGATACAGCGCCATGGAAATCTGCAAGGGTCAGCACAGTCGTTCGGGGAACAGGGGGATACGCACAGCCATGCCGGCGTACACGAGGGCATAAGCGCCCAGAAGCCCATTGCCGATATTTTGCGGTGCTTGCCTGTTTCCGATGAAATCAAGCACGTTGTTGATCATGAAAGGCTGGGCAAACTTGAAGCCGATGAGGAAGAGGCGGGGGATGATGGCGGAAATGAATGACCAGGCAAAGGCGCGACCGCAGGCTACGACAAAGGCATTCTTTTTGAGCAAGTCGGCTATTTGCATGAGTTAATATGAAGACAATTACTTATCATGTACGAATGACGCACCCTTGTCCAAATGGATTTGTAATTTTTGGTGCAGCTTGTCTGCAGAGATGCGGTAGTCGAGCTCCGGAAGGTCCTCGACGGTGAGAAAATGACGGTAACCACGAGACAGCGTCCCGAGGACCCAGACATAGCCGGTAATCCCCCAGAAGCCGAGAAAGGGCTCCGGGCCCGAGTGCGCCAGCTTCTCGGGGTGCCGCAGGCTGGCCCTCTTGCCGGTCGACTCGAGGACCAGGACGGCGACGGTGAGCGCCAGCGCCGCCGTCTGGAGCGCGGACGCGGCGGCATTTTGCGGGACGAGCCAGAGGGTGCGCGCGCGCGCGGCACCGAGCGGCACGAGCGCGGACAGGTACAGGGTGAGCGCCGTCGACGGCTGCTCGGAGCAGTGGTGCTGCACCCAGGACAGCGCAACAGCCACGCATGTCGCGACGAGGGACAGGGCGTCGGCGGCGAGGGACGCGCTCGTGCGCACTCGCTCGTTGCGGACCCGGAGGCCGAGAAAAGTAGCCTGGAGGACGACGAGGGCGGACAAGACGACCTGAGCGATGGTGTTGTTAGTGGGCGTACTTGCGCAAGGGGGGGGTGTAGTTGCAGTACCAGTTTGAGGCCGAGCAGACGCGAGCTTTTGACAATGCTCTGCTGGCGAGATGCGCTGATCAGGGAGAGCACGGCGATGATGACGAAGACGGCATTGGGAACGACTCCAAAGACGACGTCTTCAAAGTAGAGCGTAAAGTCGAATGAGCGACAGGCGGTGTCGACGCGTGGGCCAAACTGGGCATCGCAGGAGACCATCTTTGGAAAACGGCACTCTTCTCTTTGATGTAGTCAGTCGTTTACACGATACCTGTGAATTAGGGAGAAATAAGAGAGCAACTCGCTCGCCGTTTTATCTCTCGGACCGGCTCCGGACTAGGAAGCACCGGGCCCGCCATGACAGCCTGATGGTCCAGTCATGGCTGGTTCTTGGGAACTTGCGAATGGCGTTTGTCTCGTACGGCGGCGGGCATATTCGTATGGTATTCGCGTCCCCAGCCTTACGCGGTGGATCCGAAAGGCTTGTGTACCCGGGGAGAGCCAAATGAGGGAGGATGGATGGGTAAGCTTCCCGGTAGACGCTTCCGTAGGCTTGATTGGGGTGGAAGAGATGCTCGGTCTTTCGCGGCCTGGTGCCATGATGCCTTTCTTTTCTTGTTCTTTTTTCTTAGGAGTTTTACGGTATTTTTCAACATGTTTCGAATCAGCAAAGAGGGAATGCGAATGGATCTGGCATCTCTGGAATTTAGGACGAGTGGATGCATCATGAGGCTGAGATGGAGTTGAGATGGGGTTGGGAGCGAACTAGGCTGCAGCCACGCGTTCCAGAATAGTCGAGATGAGCAAAAGTACGTTGATGGTTGCGTGTCGAGTGAGTCAGCTGTTATGGGCAATTATAAACAAATCATCGTCAAGGAGCCATGTCATCGTGCACGATGTAGTAGGGTTGGGCGCGAAAGTAGTCGGGCACTATTGAACCACCTGGAGTTGAGATTTAGCATACTCGGACACTCTCAATTCACGTTTAGGCACAAATAGCATGAAAAAGCGGCATCATCATGCAATACCGTGTAGTGAGCGGTGCGTGGTAGCTAGTCACAGTTGGGCCTCGACGTAGTTTGACGCGACGTTGGTCAATCATTCTGGTGATGGAGTCAAGTCATCGATAAGAACAAGAACAATTGGGATAATAATTCCCAGCCCTCACTGTGACATACACAGTGAGAGTCTACTTGGTGGAGAGTCAATACCCAATTTGGAAAACAGGCTTGCAGCTGCTGTAAGTCATGCCCGTCATCATGCCGGCGGCCCAGGGCAGCGGCGCACATGACATCAGAGTGTCGCGGATGGGCAGACATGAGCTCTGTAACTGCCTACAGAATAGTCATAATTCAAGGTAGCTGACGAATGCGCCAGCTGGTGGCGGTTTTGTTGGAACAAAAGCTTGCTCTGCGGGGAAGAGTATTATTAGCTTGATTTTGGGGCAAAAGTCAACGTCATCCGGCCATCTCAAACGTTATTTATGCCCCCTCTACCATATCCGCCTACGACTCCAACACACCACTTTGCAACTTCCATCTCTACAACACACAATACACAACACCTACTAAATCAACCATCAAACCCAACATCATCAGCATCATGGACTCTTCCAAGGACCAAAAGAACAACGAGGTACGATAGAATACCCCTCTTTCACTGCCTCCGCCCGCCACTAACAACACCACCCAGGGCGAGAAGCAATTCTCCATCCAGCCCATCAAGGAAAAGATTGAGCCCGAACTCGCCGCGCACAAGGCCCACGGCCCTGCCATTGTCCAAAATATTCCCGCCCAAGAAGGCACCAAGGAAGACCGCGCCGAGCGCAAGGCCGAGCTCAACAAATAGACGCCCCCGATGATGTCACGACGGAATGCGACGACGTGCGAGACATGGCGATGCTAGAGCGTCGCGCAATACGTTCCATGCGGCAAGATATAAACATATTATATATATAGGCTCTAATACACAAGAAGAATTCGTTTCTACCACATTGAAACTTCCCCTCCTCTGCGATGTGAAGTGCGGGGTGTTGTTTGCGCCTAAAAGTTCACGGCGGGGTCCATGTTAGTGAGCTTATAGCGCTCTTGCCGCCGAAACACCTGGTATCTCATCCACTGCAACCACTGAAGCGAACCTGAATCTGCGCTAAAAGCCCTGAAGCGTCCACTAAAGCTTCCAGCATCGCATCACCCCCCAAGGTTCCGCTTCAACATCCTCGTCAAGCTTCGACATGCCAGCCCTCCAAACGCACCGCGCCGAATGTCGACAAACAATGCGCCCCAACCAGTGAAGCTATCACTGCCCCTGGTCCGCCCATCCTCGCTCTCCTCCCCCAGCTCCGCCTCGCTAATTGGCCCCAGGAATACCAGCAGGCACTCTTCCAAGAGCTTCGTTCCGAAGATGAGCTCGTCGTGCTCGCCCGCGGCCTCGGCCTCATGCGCCTCGTCACCAACCTGCTCCACTCGTACGACGCGGCCGGCAACAACCTCATCGTCATTGTCGGCGCCGAGGACCGCGAGAACGGATGGATCGGCGAGGCGCTGGCCGAGCACGCCGCCATCAGCGCCTCCCCCAAGGCCCGCGGGCTCACTGTCGTCAATACCGACTTTCAGAGCGTCGGCGCCCGCGAAAAGATGTATGCTGGCGGCGGCATATTCAGCATCACCTCGAGAATATTAGTCGTCGACTTGTTGACGGGTCTGCTGAATCCAGAGACCATTACCGGCTTGATCGTGCTGCACGCCGACCGCATCGTCGCCACGTCACTGGAAGCATTTATTCTCCGCGTCTACCGCCAGAAGAACAAGGTTGGCTTCCTAAAGGCCTTTGCGGACAATCCTGATCCCTTTACCATTGGCTTCTCCCCCCTGGCCTCGAGGATGCGAAACCTCTTCCTCAAAAAGGCGTCGCTCTGGCCGCGCTTCCACGTCACTGTCGCCCAGTCGCTCGAAGGCAAAAAAAAGGCAGAGGTGATTGAGCTCGAGGTGCCAATGACCGAGTACATGACGGATATCCAAAATGCCATCATGGAGTGTGTCGAGATTAGCATCCACGAGCTGAAAAAGGGCAACCCGGGCCTGGAAATGGACGACTGGAATCTCGACAGCGCCCTACTCAAAAACTTCGACGTCATTGTCCGCCGCCAGCTCGACCCCAACTGGCATCGCGTCAGTTGGAAGACGAAGCAAATCGTCAGCGATTTGACAGTTTTGCGAGGGCTTTTGAATTACGTCGTCACCTACGATCCCGTCTCGTTTCTGCAGCACCTCGACACAATACACGCGGCACATTCCCCGCCTCCAGGCTCGACGCGGCAGACGCAATCCCCATGGCTGTTTCTGGACGCGGCGCAGACCCTATTTGAGACGGCACGGAAACGCGTCTATGCGGCCAGCATTAAGCAGATCTCGCAAGAAGAAAACATTGACTCTTTGCGGCCGGTCCTAGAAGAGCTCCCGAAATGGAGCATGCTCGCGGAAGTACTCGAGGAAATCGACCGCGACCTTTACTTTGAGCCACACGCGAGGGATGATTCCAACGGCACGATTTTAATCATGTGCTCCAATGTAGACACTTGTCGTCAATTACGAGACTATCTGCAGACAATGCACGTCAAGCCAAAACTGCCCACCACAAATTCCGACGATGAGGAGGATGCGCATAAGCCATCGGCCATCTTCATGATGCGCCGCCGACTGCGCAATTACTTGCGCTGGAAGAAACAGTTCGCCGTCGTCAACGCTTCCCTTTTTACGGAAAATAACAAGGCCCTCAATAGCGCCACCGACTCTCGGCCCGGACACGGAGGCATACGCGGCGGGCGTGCGCCGTCCAATAAACGCCGGCGGCAGCGTGGCGGTGGCAATATGGCTGTCAGCATGTCGAGGGCCGAGAACGGTAGCATATCGCAGTTTTTCGAGAAGCCCAACGAGGTGGCCGAGCTCATGGCCGAAGTGCAGATCACAGAGGAAGAGGCCAAGCAAAAGGACGACGTGATTGCCGATCCGCTCGACAACATGGAAGACTATTATCAGCTCTACGACATGCAGGATCTGGTCGTCATCCACGCCTATGACGGCGACCAGGATGAGCACGTGCTGGAAGAGGTCAAGCCTCGCTACATCATCATGTACGAGCCCGATGCGTCCTTTATCCGCCGCGTCGAAGTCTACCGTTCCTCGCACAACGACCGCAACGTCCGCGTCTACTTCCTCTACTACGGAGGCTCCATCGAGGAGCAGCGCTACCTCACGTCTGTGCGCCGCGAAAAAGACGCCTTCACCAAGCTTATCAAGGAGCGAGCGGGCATGTCCCTCGTCATGACGGTCGACCCGCACGGCATCCAAGACCCGCAGGAAGCGTTCTTGCGGACTGTTAACACGCGCATCGCCGGCGGCGGCCGTCTCGCGGCGACGGCCGAGCCGCCGCGCGTTGTTGTGGACGTGCGCGAGTTCCGCTCTTCGCTGCCGTCGCTCCTCCACGGCCGCGCCATGGTCGTTGTGCCGTGCATGCTGACGGTCGGCGACTACATCCTGTCACCGACCATTTGCGTCGAGCGCAAGAGCATCAGCGACCTCGTCTCCTCCTTCAAAGACGGCCGCCTCTTCACCCAGGCCGAGACCATGTTCCAGCACTACAAGAACCCGATGCTGCTCATCGAGTTTGACCAGAACAAGTCATTTACGCTGGAGCCCTTTGCCGACCTGTCGGGGAGCCTGAGCAGCGTGTCGGCGACCAACGTGTCATCGGACCTGCAGAGCAAGCTGGTGCTGCTGACGCTCGCGTTTCCCAAGCTCCGCATCATCTGGTCCTCGTCGCCGTACCAGACGGCCGAGATCTTTGAGTCGCTCAAGACGCAGGAGGCCGAGCCGGATCCGCTGGCGGCTGTCCGCGCCGGGCTCGACAAGGACGCGCGCGCAGAGGACCAGGTGTTCAACCAGGAGCCGCAGGATATGCTGGCGGTGGTACCGGGCGTCACGCCGCAGAATATCAAGAACATTATTGTCAATACGGAGAATGTTAAGGAGGTGGCGAACATGACGCCCGAGGAACTGGCGCCGCTGGTGGGCAAGGCGGCCGGAAGGGCGATTCATGCCTTTTTTGACAGAAATGTCATGGAGGAGGAAGATTACTGACGATACCAAGAGATGTACATGTTACACAGTTCCGTTTCAAAAATTCATGCGATGTACGGGCAGTAAGCAATTGCCCTTCGTTGTCACACCCTCTCACCAGCGAGCGCTTCAGCGGGCCGAGTCTTGCACGTTTCGACTTAATTATTTGGGGTAGACTGCACAAACGTCCGCGACGCCCAGCACGCCACGAGAAGATCCTTGGCACTTGCCTCCATCGCCTCGGCGCCTCCCACAATGAGCTGTCCATCACATTCCCTCGCCACCACCACGCCCCTTGCATCCAACCACACCACCTCGCCGCGCGCCTCTCTCCCGCGCCTCGCCGTGTACAGCAGCTCCCTCCGCCAGTCATCGCTCGTCCTGTACCCGCGCCTGTGCATGACGGCCTGCAGGCGCTCCTCCTCGACGCGCGTCAGCGGCCGCCGCAGCGGCGTCATGTGCCAGAAGCCGTACCCGCGGCGCATCGTCTCCACCACGATGGTGCCGCCGGCGAGGCCGCGCCCGCGGATGCACAGCAGCGGTGTTGGGCCGATACTGAACGGCACGCTGAGCTTTTCCCCCGTGTGCAGGGTCAGGTCGTCGTCGTATCTGATCAGGGGCGCGCACGGCGAGGACAGGAGTCGGGCCTCGCCGGGCAGGACGTGGCTGATGGCCAGCTGCCACGGCTGGCCGCTGCGCGTGCGCCGCGGGGAGAGGTGGTAGGCGGCCGAGGCGGGCGTGCTGGATGTGGCGTAGATGAACTTGTCGCCGAGGAGAAAGGACTCGTGCGAGGGAGGAGTGGAGGAGGACGCGCCGATGAGGCGGATGTTGGGCATGCGCGTCAAGGGCAGCGTCTCGGAGAGGTCGAGGGCGGGACGGCGGCCGCTGCTGATGCTGCAAATGGTGGCGGTTTCACTCATGATTGCTGTGGTATCACGAAATATATGCTGTCAAAATTGGATGCAATGGAGGCATGTTGGAATGGAGGCATGTCAACTAATATACTCAACGAAAGCCTTGGCGTTCAGCTTGGACAGTACGCCACACGCACAAGTTCCTTACCCATAAACCGACGTATCCTGCGGGATTAAATACTAGTCTGGGGATATTGTATGCTTCTTCTTGGCAAATGAGGTGGATATTTGGCAATAGTCCGTTTCCAATTCATATTACAGTCCGGGGTAACGAGCGGGACACCGCCCGGCCAGGCTGAGGTAATTATTTCTTTCGTGTAATTAATAGTAACTAAATAATTTATATTAAACGAACGAAGATGAACCAAGTGAGCGCCCGATTATTGTGATGGATATCGAAGCTAATTCTGGTGGCTGCTTATTTTCGCCTAACAATTGCGTCACCACAAATACAAGGCTTGTTCAATCGACGGGGGCTTCATCATGGGTCAATACATATTGATCATTGTTTTGTATGGCTGTATTATTCCAAACTTGTTTTCTTTTCCTTGACTCCGGACGTGTTATCGGCCATCATTTCCTCCTTGGTCATGCAGCTTTTTTTCAGTGTCCTGTATGACTTGGGAATAACCCATGACGACCTCCTTCCTAGCCGCCCACAAAACGCCATTCCAAATATCAATCTGAATCCGCAAACACAGGTATCAAAACACAAAAATAAACCCAAACTCCATCGCCATAACAATCTCTATTGGGTTAGACAGCCCAGTCGTCCAAACATGATGTGTTCGCGGCAGCGTCGAGGGGGTGTCTCTTCACTGTCGCCCGACGAGGTGGTTTGCTCCGACTCATCGTCTGCGTCCTCGCTTCCGGACTGCCACGCTCCACGCTGCTCTTCTGGATGCTCCTCTTCTGGATGCTCCTCTTCTGGATGCTCCTCTTCTGCACGCTCAACTTCTGCATCCTCGCTGGCGGACTGCCACGGCTCAGCGTACCCGCCGAGCCATGCTTCTACAGGCGCGTCGCCCCGGCGAAGACGCATGCAGTAGTCGTCGAGGTCGTTTGATTCCCAGCCAGCGACGCCGCCGCCCCGATCGCATGCATCGTCCGATACCGGCTCACCATCCCACATGGCCGAAGCTGCGCGGTTGCCGTCGAGGCAGCGAGCCAAGAGGGTGCCCATCTTGTCGTCGTCGCTGTCACTGTGGCTGTCCTCGGTGATGTAAGCTCCCTGCTCCGATACCGCGGCCTCGTAGTAGTCCCAGATCAGAACGGGAGACTGCTGCTGCTGTGGCAGTTCTGCCCGGGCGGCATGCTGCTGGTTTTCTGCCAGCGGTGGCTCGTCGACATAGTCCTCTTCGTCGTACCAGGAGTCGTCTTGGCAGATGGGCTGATCATGGTCCAGACACCAGTCCGGGGTGTTGAACCAGTCCGAGGCCCGGAACCAGTTGGCGGCTCTGTTCCAGCGATACTGCCACTCGGGTATGCAGTCCATTGGTTGGAGAAGCAGCGTTTGAAAGTTGTGCCTTCTCAGGCCCCTGCACAATGGGCTCTTCAGCATGCTGTCCCAGCCCATGTCCGCTGGGTCGGGTCGTCGCGCCATGGAGAGGTTCGGCACGCTGGGGTCGCCGCACAGCAGGCTCGGATGCAGGCGGCTGCGGTCCAGGGTCATCTCTTTCCATTCATCGTCTGATGGGTGCGGTTCTTGCACGACCCAGTCGGGGATGTTCGTGAAGGCCGAGGGGCGTTGCCACCACCTCAAGTGGTCGTTGTGAAGGAACATGATGGTGATTCAATATGTGGTAGGGAACTGGGAGAGAAATGTCTGGTTTCAAATCGCAAGGATAGAATGTTTCTAAACTGGATGTCGGTACACTTCTTGTTTACTTTTCGGGGGTACATGGCCAATTTATGCAGCCGATTCATACGACAACTGTGTAAAGAAGATTTGCGGCGCGAGAAGGTTTGCAAGCGCTAGCAGCATTATAGTATCTAGTAGATTGGAAAGCAGATTCGTATGCCTGCCGTTATTATTTGCATTGAAAGTTGAATCAGTATTTACAGGTCCCGCCTCTATTAAAAAAGAACCGGATAGATTGAAAGCATACTGATGTTGTGTTGATCCGTTCCTTGCACAATTGAGAATAGTGTCCAAGTCGAACGGAGTTGGTTCATGGCGGATAACTCTATTTTCCTGACAAGAGAAAAGCAAGAATGACCCCGCCTCCGCAAATTTACCTTTACAAGTTTCGCCAGACGCATTTCGCTTGAAAGGCGTACACTCTAATAAGAGATGCGGTCTCGACAAGCTAAACGCCCTCTAGGGTAGGCAAATGTACTTGTGGTCGCTACGCAAGCTCTGCCGCCCCGGAAGCGCCTCAGCGGGGCTGGCGCTCTTTAGGTGGGACACCGCTGTCGTCAGTGCTTGGCCACCATCAGCAAACAAACTTCCACAGCCCACAGCCTCGCTTGCTCGTCACTCCTTCAACCTCTCCGCCCATTCACCACCCCCCCCACGGCGCCGTCCCTCGACTAACCTACAACACCCCGACGAGCATACTCGCCAATTGCTCAAAGTTGTCGCAAATCGCATCACCGCCCTCTTCTCCGAGGGCTTCCACACCCCCCAAAGCAACCCACAGCCACTGTCGCGCGAGCAGGCTGCCGCCCTTCCCAGGCGCTCCAGCCAGCCATGCCGTCCATCCTCAACGAGGAGGACAAGGAAACCGTGAAGCGGTTCGTCCCCAAGCAGTCCAACAAGATCCAGGCCGTCGCCGTCGCCAAGCTCTACGTCGCCTACCCAGACCCGACGCGATGGACGTACACGGGCCTGCAGGGGGCGCTTGTCCTGTCCAATGACTTGGTGGGCAATACGTACTGGCTCAAGATGGTGGACATTTCGGTACGTACTCTTCACATAGGACACTCCCCCGGCCAAAACTGCTAATGCAAAAACTTAGGCAAGCACCCGCGGCGTCATCTGGGACCAGGAGCTCTTTGACAGCTGGAGCTACAACCAGGACCGCACCTTTTTCCACACCTTTGAGCTCGAGGACTGCCTCGCCGGCCTCAGCTTCGTCGACGAGAAAGAGGCCAAGCAGTTCAAGAAGAAGATGGACGACCGCGAAAAGAACGCGAGCCGCGCCACAAAGTCGACCCCGTTTGGCGGAGCCGGCGCCAACGGCGGACAGCCCAAGGAAAAGCACGGCCTGCTCGGCGGGCTCTTCCACCGCCACTCGTCCGCCCCGACCCCCGAGCCCGCCGTCAGCCCCCGCACGAGCAGCCTCCCGCCGCCCCCGCCCGGCCCGCAGCACTCGTCCTCGACGCTGTCCAACGGCGGCGGCTTCGGGTTGCTGCCCACCGCGTCCGAGTTTGCACTGCTCGACGCCTTTGATCCTCTCTGGCGCGAGCACTTTGGCAAGGACCTCTCCGACAAGGGTCTGACCGACGACTTTATCAAGGAGAACCAGGAATTCATCGTCGACTTCTTGCGCGAGGAGCAAGAAAAGATGAATGGCGAGGGCGATGCGTCGCCTGCTGCGGCACCACCACCACCGCCGCCCGCGCCGCGCACCAACGGCAGCGCCGCAGGTCGTGCGCCTCCCCCTCCTCCCCCTCCACCCGCCGCCAACGGCGGCCCGGCCAAGAGAAACGGGCCGCCTCCGCCGCCGGCACCACGACGATCGATCAAGGCCGACACGTCCACATCCGAAGCGCAATTGCCGTCTCCGCCGGCGTCCCCCCCCGAGCCTGAACGACCCCGGTTCCGCGCGCCGCCGCCGCTGGCCGATGCCGGCAAGTTTGCCAACCTCCCCGAGCCCGTGAAGCGACGACCGGTACCTTCGACACCCGCGGCACCCTCCCACTCGCCTGGCGCGGGACCTCCGCCTCCCCCACGACCTGCAAAGACGCCATTGGAGATCGAGGCACCGCAACGAGCGCATGCCGTCCCCCCTGCCTTTGCCGGGCAGCGTCTGCCATCGGGACCACCAGCACCTGCGTTGCCCACCCGCGGCGGTCCTCCTCCTCCACCACCCCGGAACGAATCGCACGCAGCGCCGGCGCCTCCTCCTCTACCACCGAAAGTCGCCCCCGCCGGCGCACCGCCGCCTCTCCCTCCCTCCAGCTCCCGACCGATTCCACCCCCACCAGCCGCCGTTGTGCCACTGCCACCGCCAGCAGCCGTTGTCCCCCCTCCTCCGCCCCCTCCTCCCCCTTCTTCGGCCGCTCTGCCTCCTCCTCCGCCTCCTCCACCGCCAGGTGCTGCCGCCGCACCGCCCCCTCCTCCCCCATTGCCTCCGACCGGCGGTGCTCCCCCTCCCCCTCCTCCTCCTCCCATGCCATCCCGCGACAGTGGCCCGCCGGCGCCGGCGCTGCCCAAGGCCGAGGGCAGCCGAGCAGCCATGCTGGGCGATATCCAAAAGACGGGCGGTATTGGGGGGCTGAAAAAGGTGGACCGATCCGAGATTCGCGACCGAAGCGCTGTGCAGGTGGGCGGCGGCGACTCGGGTGGTGGTGGTGCCGGCAGCGCGGCGGCCGCTGGTGCGGGTGCTGGTGCAGGCGGCGGCATGGCCGATGCTCTGGCGGCGGCGCTGCAGAAGCGCAAAGACAAGGTGGCCAAGAGTGGTAAGTTATATATCTTGTCTGGTACTCTGGGCTATGTATCCTGAAGCTGACATTGTTACTCTAGATGATGAAGACGACGACGATGAGTGGTAGATGTGGACGAGAGCGTGGTGTGGGACGGGGTGTATAGTTCCAAGCTTCAAGGAAACCATACTGGCGGATTCTAGGCGGTGGTAACCATTATTTTTTATCATCTTCCTTTGTACATTTACCACGCCGGCCTAGAATATTAAAATGAAACAAAAATGAATTAATAGTTATCAGTTGGCCACCTAATTTTACATCTAGGATATACTCATAGAATCAGGGCATTCAGACAAGCAAAATGACCTTGGAAATAAGACGATGACCAGGAAAGCTAGAATGAGATCGAAAATACTCGCTCGATGAATGAAACAGCCAGGTCAGGTTTGTATCTCAAAGTGGTCTATTAAAATGGCAACACGCTAAAAAAACACACACATCACACACGTAAGCAAGGAGACCAATGGAAATAATGACATTTGATTTGATTTGACAGCCATGACGTCTCTCCCACCATGGCCGTCCAAGACGGAAAACGTATTCCACTCCGGATACTGTCGTGGGACCCCCTACCGGTAGAGAACTAACGATAGAGGGTTTGAGAGAGAAGACAGTGTGTACAGTAAGTAAGCCCGAGTTTTCCTAGCTGACGAGGCGGACAAGGTTGAGCTGAGAAGAAGCCCGGAATATTCGGTAGGAGGGATCATAGGGCGGGACGATGCTGGTCAAGGATGCGCGCGCAGAGCCGGCATGCAGTCTTGATGCGTCCCCTTGACAGGGCTGGAGCCAACGACCTTTGTTTTTTTAAATGTCGTCAATGTCCACCTCCTTCTTCTTGTCCTCGTCTGACGACTCCTCGTCCGAGTCGGCGTCACCAAACTCAAAGAAGGCCTCGCCATCCTCGCCGGCGCCAAAGTTGTCGTGCTCGTTGATCTTGGCATTCTCGGGCAGCTCGCCGTACGACTTGAGCGTGCGGGCCTCGTCGGCCGTGTACTTGAGGATGACGTCGCCCTTGTTGTCTTGGAAATCACGCAGCGAGAGGAGGATGATGTCGCCCTGGTTGATCCAGACCTTTTTGCGCATTTTACCGCGAATCTGGGAATGTTAGTATTGGAAAGAGATGAATGTGTATGCGAGCCTGGAGGGGGCGCGTCTGCAGATTTATGTCGTGGTGCTGCTATGCAGAGAGAGAGCCACGAAACTGAGGGAGGGGAATACTGCAGACGTCGCGTCCATCCAGGTCACAGGAATATAAAAAACGTACGTTGGCTAGACGTTTGCTTCCGTCGAAGCAGAGGGCTTCAAGACGACCGTTGCCCAGCATCTTCAGGACCTGGGCGTACTCCTGACCGTCCTCCTTGAAGGTGAGTTCTCGACGCTGGTCATCGTTTTCCTTGGTACCACGACGGCGGTTCTTGCCACCCTGTGAGAGAAGAATATATTAGCAAGATGTCCATTTTCGACATGACATTATTTGTCTCCGTTGTTCACGATGCACATGTCGCAGACGTGTAGCTGAGAGTGCTACCATGTCCCTTCGCGAACCCATGGCGGGGGCGGGGAAGAAGCGCCCGCCACCGAGGGGTTTGGTTTTTGCGCGTGCAGGGTATCGTGCGAGTTTGCGCCGAGCAAAGGCGGATATTCAAAAGCTGACAAACGTACTTTTCCCTTATTCTTAGGCATCTTGAAGTCTGGGTGCTATACCGGTGTTTCTGTTTGGAAGAAAACGAGAGGGTCGCAACAGGCGTTGTTTGTGATGATGTTTTTTGTGTGCAAGGAGGAGTGGGCAGGTGGGCAGCCATTTATTATCTGCTTCCCTCCCTCCCTCACTGGCTGTGCGCTGTGCGCTGCGGCCACACGGTAACTTTACACCCACACTTGGCCGTGCCCGTCTCGAGGCTCGCAAACTCTCTTCTCCTATTAGCTACGATTTTAGAGGGGCGCATCACTTCCATGCTAGCCGCCGATGTTATTGTCAGGCACATACATGGTGCCAGTTCATCAGAGAAAATGCGCCCACAAAGGCCTTTTTTCTTGGTCTGGCCAAGCCCCAGTATGAGTCAATCCGTCGGGCACCAAAGCATGACATGGTGCAGTGGCGAGCGCTATGGCGATACTTACTTTTAGCCCGGATTTATTATGCAAAGACACGTACATCGCTAACGGGGGCTGCTCGTCACAAATGATCCACAGTGAAAAATGTCCCAGTCTGGATTAGCGTGGACTCATGCTTCAATGTGTGGCTCGTAACTAGATGAAGGAGGACATCATCTTCCAAACAAACGGTGAAGCGTGACGAGAACTTTCTTTGGTGGCACGGTATCTGCAACCTAGTTGTCACAAAAGCTGAGCTGACATATTCCCAACATGAGATGACCATGGTCTGCGCTAGGCTGAGTCACACAGCCCTCATGGCGCTCCCACCACGAGGTGTCACAGGAACCTGCTGCCGAAAGCTCCTGATGGCGACTCACTGGACCTCGACACTGTCCACCACAACCGCTCGACACCAGTCCGCAGGCCACAGCCGACCTGATCGCACGCGCAAAGCATCCAAGCCGCCCGCCGTGCGTCCCGTCCCGCGCATGCTCTCCGCCGACGTCGCCAAGTTTATGCGTCCCCGCGACGGGCACCTCACGACGACGCCGGCCAGCGCGGGCTTCTTCCGCGCGCACCCAACCGTCGAGCACGACCACGGGACCATGGTCCGGCTCGACGACGACGCGATCCGGCAGCTGGACCGGGCGTACGGCGTGCGGCTGGCGTGGTCCCCGCGGCACGTCGTGCACCCGCACCGCCTGCGGTTCTTCGACCCCCGCGGACACCCGCTCGCGCCCAAGCTGCGCAGCGACCTGGCGCGCAAGACGCGCGAGACGGCGCTCTGGGCGTTTGCCACGGCCACCGGCGGTGTCAGCGCCGTCGTCTGGCAGCTGACCAAGCGCGAGCTGCTGCGCGCCGTGTTCCGCGGTCTCGCCGCCCGCGGCTACGACGAGCACGGCCGCAAGGCGGACGGCACCGAGCTCCACGGCACGCTGTGGCTGACACTGTGGCAGCCCCAGCACGCGCGCCGCTTGCCGCCGGACAGGTTCGGCGAGGTCGTGGCCGAGACCCTGGACAGGCACTACGCGACGAGGGCAGGGGACGGCGCGCCGGCACCGGTGGCTGATGTTGCCGCTGCGAAAGAGCAAGGCAGGCGGAAAAGGGAAGTAGGCGGCGGCGTCGAGAGGCCTGCGCGTGAGGCAGAACAGTGGAAGCCGCGAGAGCGAGGTAAAAACCGCGACAGGCCGGTGCGGAGCTCCGCCGAAACTGATGGGTCGTCGGTTTGGCAGGCTCGGAAAAGAGGATGAGACGGACCGTGCAAGTGCGGACGATTCGCTGCTCACCATGTAAAACTCTGTAAATTAGGCAACTTTCTCATGTATATCTCTGTACCATCATAATGCAGGGCGTCTGTCGATGTCTCCCGACCAGATTTGATGCTCAAAATCCAGGATCCAATTGTTTGTATTTTGTCTTCCGTTTCAGTGATAATCTGGCACAGCTAGTCAAGCAACCACAAACGAAACAAGTCACGTCTGAGAACCATTCAATATCAGAGAACACCACCCACAGACCTCGTCTTCAGTAGGCAGATGAACGAAAGTGATTATCAATAAGAGAGAAGAGCGAGGAAATGTGGCGCTAATCGAACCTCCACCAGAGCTCCCTCAGCTCTCCGCTCCTCCAAGCTAGGTAGCTTCTAGTACAACCAGTGACGCCATCCACATCGGCTCCCGCCCTCGATTTCTAATCGAAGTCATCCGTTCTCATCATTACCAATCGTTGACCCCCAGCCCCCCCCTTCTCGGGCCAAAAGTCCGCTTCGAAGAAAAGGTTCGGTACATGTCCAGAAAGCTATAAACTAGAGCAACCCCGCACCTCACCAACATGGAAACTGAATACATACTATACTCTCTCCCTCTGCTTGAAATCTCTCGTTTCTTTTCCAATTCATGACATTGCGCCTTGCCGGAATCGCAAAGCACCTGTTCAAAATGGGCGCCACCAAGACTGACATTACCCTCTACACGGTCAACACGCCCAATGGCATCAAGGCCAGCATCCTGCTCGAGGAGCTCAACCTCGCGTACAAGGTGCGTTTTTTTCTCCCCGGCTCCTACTTGTAGCCGATAAGGTCCGAACTGGCGTTGCCGTCCGAACACGCTGACGCAGCACACACACACAGGTCCACGCCATCAAGATGAGCGACAATGAGCAAAAGGAGCCGTGGTTCCTCGCCATCAACCCCAACGGCCGCATCCCGGCCCTCACCGACAAGTGGACCGACGGCAAGGAGCTGCGCATCTTTGAGTCGGGCGCCATCCTGCAGTACCTGACGGAGCGCTACGACACGGACCACAAGGTGTCGTACCCGCGCGACACGCCCGAGTACTGGGAGGTGACGAGCTGGGTATGCCGCGACGTCTTGCGCATTGAGTAGAACATGGGCAATGCTAACACACACCGGCGATAGCTCATGTGGCAGATGGGCGGCCTCGGTCCCATGCAGGGCCAGGCCAACCACTTCAAGCGTAAGCCCGCGAGCAAAAATCGACGAAACCCCGATGGCGTTTGGACTAACAATGATGGGAAACAGGCTACGCGCCCGAACATATCCAGTACGGCGTCGACCGCTACACCAACGAGACGCGCCGTCTCTACCGCACCATGGACGACGCGCTCAAGAAGAATGCGCACGGCGTGCTCGTCGGCGACCGCGTGACCATTGCCGACATTTCCGCCTGGGGCTGGGTAGCCAGCGCGAGTACGTCCCCCCCGTCTCCAACTTGCGCTCGCAGATACTGACCTTGTGTAGAATGGGCGGGCATCGACATTGACGAGTTCCCCGCGCTCAAGAAGTGGCTGCACGAGCTGCTCAAGCGCCCTGGCTTCGAGGCCGGCCGCCACGTGCCCACGCCGCACACGGCGTTTGAACTGGCCAAGCTGAGCGAGCAGGAGCTCGAGGAAAAGGCGCAGTCGTCCAAGGCCTGGGTCCAGGCGGGCATGAAAGCTGATGCGAAGAAGTAAAAAAGTCGAGCACCGGTAGCAAAACCACACAAATATGTGCTAATAATAATGAAAACAAACTCTGAAAGTTGATACACTGTATCTCTATCATTCACCTCTATAATCGCAATCATAAATGACTTTTTCCTTTTGCCCATCCCGTACATCATCTCATCATTCATCACGTCTGTCTTACCGCTGCGCAATCGCCAACCACTGGTCAATCCCCCTCGTCGCCAATCTCGGCAGGCCCTTGAACCTCTTCTCGTCATACGTGTCCTCTAGCGCGCGCCTCAACCGCTTCCCCTTTGCGAGCGCAATGCCGCGCGCGCCGCTTGGGTCTGTGCTCTGCGCAAACTCGGCCGCCTCCCGGGCCAGCGCGCGGCGCTTGGCCCGTACCTCGTCGGGGTCGTGCGCCTCGGCGGCGCACAGCGCACACGTGCACGCGAAGCCCCAAGTTTTGCGCAGCGCGGCCTGGCGGGCGTCGTAGTCGGCGTTTTCGTCGTAGGCATGGAAGATTTCCTCGCCGGCGCGGATGTGCCGCGCGGCGCGAAACACCATCAGGTCGCCGGCGAAATCCTTGACCGCGTTGGCGACGCACGCGTGGTTGACGTACGAGGCGCGCACCCACAGACCGGTCGTCGCGTTGGACACGTCCTCGTCGGGCGACTGCGGGCCGAGCCCAAAGGCGTTGCGCTGCACAATGTGGTGCACCTGGAAGGCGTCCACGACCGGGCCCTCGGCGGTGGAGACGGCGCCTGTATCGCCGAGGCCCTTGTAGGGGCCGCTGTCGAGGCCGAGGACGGCGGGCGCCTGCGACGGGTTGTCGAGTAGTTTCTGCACGACGGCGCGGTGCAGGCCGGCGGGGAAGACGCGGATGGCGCAGTCGTCGTCGAGGTCCACCGTCAGCGCCGTGACGGCCGTGCAGGGCTTGTCCAGGCTCGACACGGTGCAAAACGACTTTTCGCACATGATGAGCTCGCCGGCCTTGAAGTCCCGTGTGGCGAAGAGGCCGCGGCCGGCGCCCGGGCTGTCGCGCACCGTCGTCTTTCCGTCAAAGCTCGCCACGTCGGGCCGTCCCTGGACCCGGGCCAGGCTGGCGACGACCTTTTTCAAGTCGTGGTTGCCCGTTTGGCGCTCCTCAATGCGGCGGGCGGTGCGGCGGATGTTGATGAGCGTCGTCTTGGTGTCGGGCTGCAGGCTGTCCTGGGCGGCAAAGTACGTCTGGGCGTCGGCGAAGGCGCCGAGGGCGTAGGCGGCGCTGCCGGCGCGGTAGTAGGCCTTGGCGTCGAGCGCCTGCTGCTCGGCGGCGGAACCGTGGGTGAGCGAGGCCAGCGCGTCGGACCGGGCCTCGTCGTAGCGGTGCAGGAGGAGGTTGACGTGGGCGCGGTTGCGCCGGATGTCCTGGGACAGGGTGCTCGTCGGGTCGGCGACGGCGATGCCTTGCGTGTAGTAGGCGTGCGCGGAGGCGTACTGCTGCTTGCCGAGCGCCGCGTTGCCCCGGGCCTTGAGCTGCTCGGGCGTGACGGCGGGGGGTTCGGGCTGGTAGTTGTCGCGCCACGAGTCGGGGTGCTCGCTGAATGTAGTGATGACGAGGTCCGAGGGGTGGTTGATGCGGATCACGGGTTCGTTTTCGCCGTTGAGCGTGTAAAAGGGCTCCTTGACGATGAACTCGGAGCCGGATGTGAGGAGGTCCCGGCCCATGCGCTGCTTGTGCAGAAACGTCTCGAGCACCACGACCTGGTCCGGCTCCTCCCCGACGCTCTCCACGACCGCCCACGAGGACGTCTTGAGGGCGACGACGAGTGAGATGCGGTGCACCGTGAGCTTCTTGCCGCGGTGGTGGCTCCCGAGCTGCAGGTCGGCCAGCTTCATCTCGGCGAGGTCCGCTGCGTCGACGGTGCACGGGGGGTACGGCGCGCCAATGGCATAGGTCATCATGGTGTCGTCGCTCTTGGCCTGTGGCGCGCCGAAGCCGAGCGACGACAGGGACATGTCCTGCATCAGAGACGTCGAGGTCGCATGCTGGATGAGGCGCGAGCGATCCTGGGGGGTCCAGGGCGCGCCGGCGCGGGCGGTGCGCTGGGCGGCGTCGTGCTCGAATTTCTGGGTGACACGCTTCGTCTCCTCGGGGGTGAGGAAGACGGTGGTTCGTCCGGCCATGGCTGGGTCGTCAGGATGGGTTTGTTAGGTGAATGTGACAGACACCATAACTGAGAATGTGCGGGTTCGTGAGGATGCGGTGGTTGAAGAATTTTTATGGGGACTTGACGATCCGCCGAGCATGACGATGTAATTGAATCAGTACGATAGTACGGCGTTAATCAATAGGATGAATGGCTATTCTAAAGAAATTTGTTTTCTTCTTTCAGGAACATAGTGAATTCTTCATTCTTGACATTCGGGTTCTATTCGAAAATGGCAGCTGTCTTGGAGACGCTCGAGCCCGTAGTAGTGCTTGCTTGACAAACACTTCCAGGATAACTTTATTCGAGACTACAGATTATTCTAAAATAGTTTGCGCAAAGTCTAAAAGACCAGAAAAAACCAAAAAAAAATGTGACAGAGGCGAGATACCAGAATACAAAGGCCCAGCGACACAAACTTACGATATAAGTAGGCTCCTCGCTGCATCCCCCTCACACTCGGCCGCCACCTTACCCTCAAACTCATCTCTTCAACATGCTATCTGCCAACACAATCCTGCTTCTTCTTAGCGCTGCCAGCCTAGGCCGCAGCCTTCCAGCCAGCGAGGGGCTTATTGGGTCCAGGAAGGAGTGCCGCTACATGACGTCGTGGCAGACGCAAAGGCCAGGCTACAAATGGACCTGGGTGTGCGAGCCAGAGTGCGTCTCGTGGCAGCTTTCCGATAAAACGCGCCCAGAATGCCTCAAAGAGGTGCCTGTCAAGGAGCAGACTCCAGGTATGTCCAAGATCTGTCATCTGATTGCCCACACACACATGGCATAGTGACTGACGGACCATGATCTAGGGGTGACCAAGATGGCGACTTTGCCCCCGCAGCCAACACCCACCGCGATGGAGTAGCGTCTTGCATTATGGAATGGAAACCTGTCCTCATGTCTCGTTGAATGATGCCGAGTTTAATTGTTGACATGTGGGAAGATGGGGAAAAGACTCGTCGCCCTATAGGGCCGCGTGGATGGCGTACGCGGCCGTCTCGAACCACACGGCAACTAGCCTGCGGCCGATCCGAGAGCACACGTAAGGCTGAACGCTGATACGTGCAGGAACCCATCCTACAACTAAAAATAATAAAATACTATTCCATCAATTTCTGCCCATATCATTCCCCTGGCAAAACGGAGAGCGTAGTTTCGACGACTCACATCGCGCCCATGGTTGTCCATCACCGGCTTACAGCCGAGTCCCTCATCGAGACCCCCAAGAGAAGCCCCGTCGTGCCAAACTACAATGGCGAATATGGCCTGTATACCGTCTCGACACACAGAATCGGCTGCGGCACCACGAAGGAGGTTCGAGTGATGCACTTTGAAGACAATCAGTCTGTCCAGCTGACCGACGACGCCAATGTCCACGACGCCCGCTGGATCCCGCACACCAACGATGTGGTCTATCTCAAGTCGACGGAAAATGGACGGACCGAGGTGTTCTTTGCAAGAAGCTTTGGCAAGGACCATTTTAAAATTGCCGAATTTGATGCAGCGCTGTCGAGCCTCAAGCTGAAAGCGCTCGCGGATGGGACCGTCGTCTTCATGGTCGCCGGCCTGTCGGACCACCATGGCCTGCTGTACAACGAAAAGGCAGATCAGAAGCCCGACTCGGTCTTTTTAAAACATGCCAGGTCCGAATTGTAAGTACAACTAAACTCTCCCCGCGGGAGCAGTGTGGTTGACCGGACTCTGCAGTGGAACGAGCTCTACCGTGAGCAGCGATACAGTCTCTGGTACAACGTGCTGCGACACACGAGCAGCCGGAGATGGGAGCTGCCGGAGATCCTCCACAACCTCGTTTCCGAAAACACCATCGAGGCGCCGTACGGCATGTACATGTCCGGTCCGACGCCGGCCGTGGACAACTTCGACCTGGCCGACGGCGGCGTCGCCTTCATCGGCCGCGACCTGGCCCGGACGTCGCCGGAGCAGAGCGAGAACACGTATCCCTACTTTGTCGCCATCGACTCGTACACGCTCCCGCCCGCGCAGAAGCCACAGCCGATTGCCGTGCCGCCCAGCCTGCAAGGACAGGCCTCGTGCATGCGGCTGTCGCCCGACGGCACCACGCTCGGCTTCCTCTTCGCCCGAGAGGGCGGCGACGTCGAGGACCGGCACCTCTACCTGTGCCCGACCAGCACGCTGCAGTCATTCAACTTTTTCCAGCTCGTCAGCCGCACCGTGCCCGCCGACGACTACAACCCGCCGACCCGCTTCGACTTTGCCGGCGACGCCTATTCCTGCGTCTTCATGAGCGAGCGCTGCGGCCGCGTCGTGCTTTCCTACCTGAAGCTCGGCGAGCACCGGAGTCCCGTAACCATTTTCGAGCGTGGCACCGCGGCGGCGTACTACCCGCTCGTGCACGGCGACTGGAGCAGGCTGCTCGTCTCCAGCAGCAGCTTCATTGACTGCAGCCTCTGGCAGGTCGTCGACGTGGATGCGCAACGGGTCGTCCGGACCATCTCGTCCGCCACGCGGGACGGCGAGAAGCTGGGGCTGCACGCGGAAATGGTGTCGGAGCTTTGGTTCGAGGGCTCGGAAAGCGCGCTCATGCATGCGTTTGTCGTGCGCCCGGCCGCATTTGACGTCACAAAGACGTATCCGTGGATCTTGTCGCCGCACGGCGGCCCGGAGGCGGCCTGGACGGACGGCTGGAAGCAGCAGTTTCACGCGGCGGCGTGGGCGGAGCAGGGCTACGTGGTCATCCTGCCAAACATTACCGGCAGTACCGGCTTTGGCACCAAGTTCCGCGACAGTATGTCTTGACCACAAGTGCGGTGACGGAGAGATACTAGGCTAACCTGTCACAGACGTTCGAGGATCGTGGGGTGGACGCCCAGTCGAGGATCTCCTTCAGCTGATGAAGCATCTAGAGACTGTTCCCTATCTCGACCAGGATAAAGCCGTCATCATTGGCGCAAGCTTTGGCGCCTACATGATCAGTTGCCTCTGCAGCCACGAAGTCGTCACCAAGGTAGCGTCCACCCGAAAGTGCTACCCAAGTGCAAAACCACCCGTCACTAACACCGCCCTCTAGTTTTGCGGCGCCATCTGGCACGACGGCATCTTTAGCCTACCCACCTGGCTGCTGCAGACCGACCAGATCGTCCACGATGGCAGCTTCGGTGCGAGCACCTTTCCCTGGATCCAGCCGGCGAACCTCGCGCAGTTCGACCCGGCGCGGCCCGACCGGCTCGCGCAGTTCCGCCACGCACCACCGACGCTCGTGACGAGCGGCGACCGGGACTACCGGTCGCCGACGACGGAGGCGCTGGCTTTTTTTAAGACACTGCGCGGGCAAGGCGCGCCCGCCGCGCTGCTCACGTTTGCCGACGAGGGCCACTGGATCACGGACAGGGAGGAGAATGCGCTGCGCTGGTACAGAACGGCATTTGCGTGGGCAAAGAGCTGTGTCGAGGGCAGGATTCGGCGCGGTGATGTGGACTACAGCATCTCCGAGTAGAGGCCTGGCTTTGTTGCAAGTCCAATACCAGGGTGTGTACGACGTACCTACAGTGGCCAGTTTCAGGAAAGCAAAAGGCCTGTATAATATTGATCTCAAAAGGGGTAGCATAAAATAAGACGGCACGTGAAGTAATAATGTTGAGATGGCAAGATCGGGATCTCGGCGTACCCACACGGGGACGGCTCGATCCCGCGTCGGGCAGTTTAAAGGTCATTCCCGGTCGATGACGTAACGATCGGGTATACAGCTGGACTTTTATTTGGCAAATTTCTCATTCTTTTCAATCATCAAGGCAAGATAAGTTTACGGCACTCACCTGAAGAGTATCTGTTGAAAATGTCCAAAGTACTACAATTTCGTTGCGCGCTCGTCACCGGCGGCGGCGGCGGCATCGGCAAAGCCATGGCCCAGTACTTCATCTCGCAGGGCAAGAAAGTCCTCCTCGCCGGGCGCACAAAGGCCAACCTGGAAGCATCGGCCCAAGAAATCGGCGCCGCCGGCTGCTACGTCCTGGACGTGGGCGACAGCGCCGCCATCCGCACGTTTGCGCAGCAAATCACCCACGAGCATCCCGATCTGGACTGCGTGGTCAACAACGCCGGCGTGCAGCGGCCGCTGACTGTGCTCGGCGACACGGACGACTTCCTCGGCAAAGCCGACGAGGAGATCAACATCAACGTGCGGGGGCCGCTGCACCTGACGATGCACCTGCTGCCGCACCTGCAGCAGCAGCAGCACCCCGTGGTGGTCAACGTGTCGAGCATCCTCGGCTTCGTGCCGTTTGCCGTGGGCAACCCCGTGTACAACGGCACCAAGGCGTGGCTGCACTTTTGGTCGATGAACCTGCGCACGCAGCTGCGGCAGGGAGGGTCGCGCGTGCGCGTCGTCGAGATTGCGCCGCCGACGGTCGGCACCGACTTGCACCGCGACCGCGCCGACCCGGACGACAACAAGAAGGAGAAGAACGACAAGGCGCTGACGGTGGACGAGTTCGTGGCGGACGTGGCGAGGAAGCTGGAGAGCGGCGAGGAGATGATTTCGGCGGGGATGGGGGTCGGGATGGTGGAGGACTGGTATGCGACGTTTGGGAAACGGTATCGAGATGCAGAGGCAGCTAATTAGTTGCCATGTCATGAAAGATGGAGATTTTTAGGATGGAATGAAGCCCCCGCAAAGAACAAGCTGTCGTTTGATGCGTGTCTAGAAGCAATCAAGGCCTTGCGTCATCGTGCAAGTGAATGACCTTCAAGCCCTCGCGTCATCGTGCAAGTGAATGACCGTGAAGCCCTCACGTCATCGTGTAAGTGAATAACCCTCAAGCCCTCGCGTCATAGTGCAAGTGAATGACCGTGAACCCTCCGCGTCATTGTGTAAGTGAATAACCCTCAAGCCCGCGCGTCATCGTGTAAGCCATATAACCGTGAAGCCCTCACGTCATCGTGCAAGTAAACCTTCAACCCCTCGCGTCATCGTGCAAGTGAAACCTTCAAGCCCTCGCGTCATCGTGCAAGTGAAACCTTCAAGCCCTCACGTCATCGTGCAAGTGAATGACCGTCAAACCTCTGCAGAGCGGTGTGCAGCTTTATACGCGGCAGATGTTGGGAAGATCGCTCAGGTGATGACCTATAAATATGCGGACGCGCCTCCTGATGCAACCTCCCTTCTTCATCTATTCAACTCCTCCGCTCCCTTGAAGAACTCGAACTGTTGGAATAGGTGTGTATTCGAATACAATAACAGGGATAAATAACAGGTCAATTATGGTTCTTGATGATTAATTGACCTGTTATGTATCCCTGTTATTGTATTCGAATACCCACCTAATCCAACACATCCAACACTGATCAGTGGTTGTTATAACCACAGATAGTTAGGAAAAAGAAGAGACGGATTGATTACCATTCCTTCCGTGCTAATCAAGGCAAAAGATGACCGTTTGCTGCGGCCTACGAGGATCTCTTGCCTCATCGTCCACCACGAGAAAATTTCCTTCAAAGGGTCTAATTGGAGTGCTTGCTGCCGAATCAACAGCCTGCATTCGACCCAGAACCTTTCCAGAATGATCAACCCGACGAGCCTGATTCCTGACACTCGTCAGCATCACATCAACAAACCACGATCAAACGCACCTTCCGTCGAATCCAAAGTCAGAGAATAAAAAGGGCCGATTTCACAGGAGGCTTCCCAGGATCATCATCCTCAACCAATAACGATAACCATACTCGACGACAGCGACAGCGACGGCGACAGTGACCAGCCTCTTAGCAAGACGAAATCGAAGCGCGCCAAGTCGACGGCCGCCAAGTCGAAGGCCGCCAAGAAGAAGGTGGATAAAGGGAAGGGAAGAGCACCGGCCATCTCGCAACGGCAGACACCATCATCAGACGAGTCAACAAGAACAAGAAATCATAAGGCAACCATCGCCGCCTCTATTTCAGATGACAGCAAACAGGGCGATGATAGAGACCAACTTCATCATCAGGCCAGAGTGGCCAGACCGCTTCGACATTCTCAAAGGCTCTATCACCACGAAGTGGGCAGAAAGACAACCATCAAAGATCAACGCCACCACAACAGATGAGAAAGAGCTCAACGACGCCGTCGTCTGGATACAATGGTATCTAAGCAAGTCGAGGAACCAAGACCTGATCCCGGCGGAGATGCTGAACATGTTCCAAAAACTTCATAATTGACCTGTTATTTATCCTTGTTATTGTATTCGAAGACACACCTATTCCAACAGTTCGTGTTCTTCAAGGGAGCGGAGAAGCTGAATAGATGAAGAAGGGAAGTTGCATTTGAGGCCTGAAATTTGCTGGACAGTGTAAGAGGGTATGGAGGGGAGAATATGTCAGAGGGTCATTTGTACAGTCTCTAGTATAGTGTCCTGCAAATGCCAAAATGCGTCGTACAAATTTCGGGCCTCGTTGCATTAGGAGGCGCGTCTATATTTCCGCAGTATGCGTTGACGATTTATTCATCATTTTCGCAACGCGTAAAGGCAGTCGCGCAAGCGCTGGCGGCCAGCTTACTCGTACCCTTGTGGGCTCACTCGGTCCCTGGAAAACATGCCGACTCCGAATCCAGTTGGCTTTCTTCTCTACCGCACAGGGTACCATCGACTTTCCTCTGACATCAATCGAGCGCTTACAGTCATAGGAGCGCGAAAATGGAAAATACCGCATTTCACTAGACTGCGCAGCTCTAGACGTGGGCTCCATGTGGCGTTGAGCTGACCCGGCACGGAAAGTGAGATGCACCGCGGCACGACATTGATCGGCCAGCGCCTCAACGTGCGACGATCCTCCTGCTCGGCACGCAGCAGCCGCATCATGCAAGGCACATATCAAGTGAGTTCCTTGTCATCGCATCTCTTCCTCTGCCTCTCCCGTGACCTCGACTGACAAAACCGGTGGTGTTGTGCACAGGAGGCCATCACCCTGCTCCGGAGCCGGACGCGGCTCGCCAAGGCGACAAACAGGCCTGACGAGCCACGGCTCAACATCCCCAACAACTACGGCATGCGGGACTGGCTCGCCCAGCTCGGCCACACGGTCCGTCTCCTTATCCCCCGTCCGCATCCCATCGCCATTAACAGACCGGGACCCCGGACACAGGACCCCTCGGCGCTCAACGTCATCCACATCACCGGCACCAAAGGCAAAGGCAGCACCGCCGCCTTTACCGAGTCGCTCCTGCGGCAGCACTTTTCGCGCACCCGACGTGGCGACGCACTGCCGCCCGTACGCATCGGGCTGTACACGTCGCCGCACGTGCTCACCGAGCGCGACCGCATCCGCATCGACTTTGCGCCCGTGTCCGAGGCGCTCTTCGCCGCCGCCTTCTTCGACGTCTGGACGGCGCTGCGCTGCGCCGAGCCCGGCTACACGCCCGGCTACCTGCAGCTGCTCGCGCTGCTGTCCGTCCACATCTTCCGCCAGCAGGGCGTCGACTGCGCCGTCTACGAGGTCCACGCCGGCGGCCGCAAGGACGCGACCAACGTCTTTGACCGCCCGCTGGCGTGCGGCTTTGCGCGCATCGGCCTGGACCACGCGGAGCTGCTCGGACCGGGCGTCGACCGCATCGCGTGGCAAAAGAGCGGCATTATGAAGCCCGGCCGCCCCGCGTTTACCGTGCCGCAGGACGCGCTGCCCGCCGCGGTGCTGCGCGAGCAGGCTGCGCTGACGGGCGCCCCGCTCACCGTCGTCGACGTGCACCACCCCGCGCTGCCTCCCAGCGTCAGCCAGCCGGCACAAAAGGAGAATGCGTCGCTGGCGATTGCGCTGGCCAACGCGGCGCTGGCGGCGCGCGGGGCGTCGCAGCTGTCCGCCGCGGACATTGCGCGCGGCATCGCAGAGTGCGCCTGGCCCGGCCGCTTTCAGCACCTGCGCCGGGACGGCGTGCACTGGTTCCTCGACGCGGCGCACAACGCGCTCAGCATCCCGGTCGCCGTGGGCTGGTTCGCGGCGCGGTCGCGGCTTGTGCAGGACGAGCACGCGGGGCGCCGCTGTCGGCGGGTGCTCGTCTTTGGGCACGCGTCGGATCGGAGCACGGAGCGGCTGGTCGAGGTGCTGCTGGAAGCGGCCGCGCAGCACGACGTGGCGTTTGACCGGGTGATTCTCTCGTCGTATACCCGCTACGGTAAGTTGGGACTGGTGGTGCGGCAGGGATGGCTTCTAACGAGGACAGATATTCCCATACCGGAATCGGTCGCCCAGGAGCAGCTCGCATTCTGGAAGACGGCTAGTCCGGCGACACCGATCCAACACGCCATCACGTCCGAGGCAGCCGTTGGCATGGTCAGGGAGCTTCAGCAGAGTGCCCCGGAAACGCATTGGCAGGTTCTCATCACGGGCTCTGCGCATCTCGTCGGCCAGTCTCTTGGCGCCTTGGGCGGCGAGGAACTCGTTCTGAACACGACATAAAGTTCACTTGATTCTACTAGCAATAAAAATCTCGCCATATTTGTACATTCCAGCCATCTAAACCCACATGTACCCTATCCTCTGCCGCTTCACGTCGACGGCTCGGCTTTACAATCCAGCTCATCCTCGAACGGCTCAGCTTCCTCTTCCCGCGTCCCGTACAGGCTGCCACGCCGCGGTTGCGTCATCAGCCCCGGCAGCATCGGCACATCGTGGTACGCGCGCAGCCGCGGTATCCGCCACCCGTGCCGGGCCAGCCACGCCAGGACGTCGCTGTGCTGCATCGACTGCATATAGAGGGCGCGAAGCTCGGCGTCCTGCGCGTTTTGCCACTGCATCATGGCCTGCCTGGCCGGCGTCAGGGTGACGTTGTGGAGGTGCAGCGGGTGCCGGTACTGGATTTTGTCGTTGAAGAGCCGCTCGGCCATCATGCACGCCTCGGCGCTGCCGTTACCCGTGTTGTGGGTGAAGAGGCGAGGCAAGGTGGCGGTTTGGCCAAGAGGATATATGCCGCCGTAGCTCCAACCGACAATGCTGTCTTTCATATCAGTATCCCAGACTATGAGAGCAGGGGCACACCACGTTACCATTTAATGTTGTAGTTGCTGTCGACAATGATGTTTTCGGCCACGAGGTTGTTGTGAGCGACTGCATAGGTCCGGTCACCTTGGTTTGGACCGAGTATGGCGTCAAGCTGTGTCAACTGGCCCCAGTAGTCCTCTTGGGTAGGCATGCCACCCATACCTGGCGGCCCTCGAGGAGCGCCCATTATTTTGTCGTGGATGAGCTGCATGTAAAATTGCTTGGCCGTCTTGTCGCCTAGCATTTGGGTTAGCCATTCCGACCACAACTCACAAAGAACACCATCTTCTCGAGTTCTTACGGCTCTCCAATGACTTGTCAATCAGTTCCTGCTGCAGCTGGAAAAGCTGCGTCAGAACCCGTATGCGCAGGTCCATCGCCGGGTGGTCCTTTGTCCAGACCAGCGGCTGGCCGGCCACCCACTCCAACACGAGAAACGGCTGCCGGATCGGGTTGTCAAACGACAGGCAAAAGGCGACGCACTTTGGCGCGTACTGGAACCGGACGCTTTCCAGCTTCTGGAGCACGCAGACCTCGCGGCGCACCACGTTTTGGATCGCCTCGGGCTGCATGCCGGCTGGCCACTGCTTCTGCACGCGCACGGCGACCCGGTACGACCCACCGCCGTCGCGGCGGAACCGGTAGAGCACGAAGCGGGCGCCGCAGATTTCAGCTTCAAAGACGAAGCGGCCGCCCAGGCGCAGCGAGTGCAAGGTCCGCTCCAGGTTGGGAAGCGTGAGGCACTGCTGCGGGCGCGCTGGCGGCCCGGGCTGTAGCACGCCGTTGGAGTCAACGAAGTAGTTCATGGCGGCGTTCATTACAATGCGTAACACACCATATGTGGATGTATATTGGAAGACTGAAAATGATACTGGCAATAAAAAATGCCACGGTCGGAAGGGGGGGAGGACAAGCCGCGTTTAAATACTACCAAACCAGCATTCGCACAGACTCCGTACCATGGCTCGGCACAGGAACTATCCTACCTAAGATATTGGTTACATCGAAATACTGATAATCGAATCAGTGGCACGCTTTGCCATACTTTCGCAGCCTGTGGTAGTTGTACGGCAGCGGCGCGAGGAACCCTGCGCCCATGGAGACCAGCGCCGCGAGCCAAAACGCCGGGGAGTCAAACGCCACGGCGCCTCCCGTCAGCGAGTAGTCGACGACGTTTTCGGCCAGTTCCATCGTGACCATGGATATCAAGCTCATGCCCGCCGCCGTCTTTGCAGCCGCCGGCCAGGACAGGCCGTCGCGGCCGAGGCGCAGCAGCACAGTCTCGAGCACCATGGACGTGGATATGCCAGCCGCCACTGCAACAAAGGATGTGTGAGTAACGGAGTAACGTTGGACAGCATCAGATAGTTACCGCCGGGGGACCGAGTTCGTGACAGGGGAGGGACAAGGTGGGTTGGGTGTACGTACTGGCGAGGCCCATGATGGTGGGCATGCCCAGCTCGGGGCATTGAGTCTGCAGAAGCCACATGGCGCTGAAATCACCAGTGGTGCATCCGACGAGGCAGCGGAGCGTGTTGACCGAGGCTCTGCGCCATGTCGTCCGGGACGCCCAGAAGCCTACCGGCTGCTGCTCGCCCTGCGGGAGCTTGCTCTTGCCGGACGCCGCACAGCACTTGTCTGGACGCGCCGTGGTGTGCGCCACCTGTCGAGTCACAAGTCGCGGTACGCTCCTGTAGTTGGGAAATAGGCTCCGGTGCGCTGAGAGGGCTCGGCCGGCTAGCCTTGACGCCGTGTGGCAGTTCATGGCGCGGCGGCGAGAGAAGGGGACAATGCAGCAGGCCGAAGGGAAACGGGTGTCGACGTCGGTGATGCGCTGCACGGTGCCAATGCAGGGACCCGGGGGTGATGCGTGTGACTTGTGGGAGATGATATTGGTTGCGTGGCGGCCGGATGCGAGGATGGCGGGTGGTAGATGGTGATGAAGAAGGGAAACCCTGGCTGACAACGGTGTGTGTGTCCCGCGCCAAAACCTGAGGCCGTCACCAACGCACAAATGACGCAGGAGAGCTGGTACGGCTCGGAGATGGACAACATGTCCGGAAATATCTCCAATAAAACAGAATTTATCAAATTTAATCTTTATCATTTCCCAAACTCAAAATTGGGTTTCAAAGTGCTGCTTAAAAGGATAAATGCGTGTCCCTCTCGCCTATGGCGTCAAGCGCTTGTAGATGAGAAAAGAATCTTCTGGAACACAATAAAAATACCACTTCGCCCTTTTTACGGAGCAAGAAGGGTAAGAGATATAATGTAACGATAACCCTTCCCTACACACAAAAAAAGGGGTATCTAAAAGAGTTCTTACCTCTTCTCAAAGTCTACTGCGACAAAATGCCTCGCTCTTTCCCTTCTTGTTCTCGTCCTTATCCTCCTGCTCCGGTTCCTCTACACAGCTACACGAGCCGTTGTCGAGGCCATCAATGTCTACATTCCACTACTTTCTGCGGCTCCCTAGGGAGCTGCAGCGTCGCATCTGGGAGCTAACGAGCAAGCCGCGCGAGATCGATCTGCGAGGTGGGCACGAAGTCAACGGTACAAGATTGTGCATGCCCTTCGACACGCGGCAGCCGCCCGTGGCCCTACACGTGTGCCGATCCTCACGGGAGCTGCTGGCCCATCCGGGCGGCTACATACGCCTGCCAGCCGATCGTGTGAGGGACAGGGACCTGCGGTCGCTTACGCGAGTGTACATCTGGATGAACCCGAGCGAAGAAACGATCCGGGTGATGGACTGCTGCATGAAGCAGCTGTCCCGCAACCCGTGGGCCGCGCGACTGCGGCGCGTCGCCATCGACATCAGCGACTGGTGGGAGTTCTGGCTCCAGGATTACCAACGCATCACCAGGCCCCGGATACCACTCTTGGGCGGCGACTTCCCTCGGCTCAAAGAGGTGCAACTGTGTGTCCACGGCAGCTGGTTCGACCCTGAGTGGCGCGACCGCGTCCGGTCGCTGACAGAGGCTCTCTACGCGACATGCAGACCAGTCCCGGTCGACTTTCGCGTGCGGTTTCTCATATATGACCGCCTAGCGCCACCAACACGGCACAACTACGGCCGGGTCTTCCTGCTCGACGACATTACGGAGTGGTTGCTTTTCGGCTGGCTGTGGAATTTTTCGAAGCCGGTGGCGTATATTCCGAAATGGAGGCACAGAAATTGCAACTGCCCCATCGGAGCAAATCCAGGGGTTTATAAACTTTCACCCAGAGACAGTCAGCTCTTGTGGTGGATGCCATTGTGCAGTCCTCCGTTCATGCGTTAACAGGGTGACGACATGGGTGGACGGGCTGACGATGCGCAGGGCTTGCTGTTAGCTAATACGATGGAATTGGAGGAATAATGGTAGCGGAAGTTCTCAATGTGTACACTCAGTTGGCAAATGCAAGGCAGCTTGCAGATATAATTCGATTCGTATCAGTAACCATGTGTTGCGAATGACAAATTGGGCTTGGTGTTAATAAATGTCGACCAAGGAAACGTCCTAATCCATTTCATGTACGCCTCACTTTCTCCTGCGCCTCACCAGATCACCACGCATTCCGGTCCCAATTCGGATCTGTTCGGTTCCGTCAGCCATGATCATGCTTGTCCACCAACTTTACCACCACTTACCCTGTACAAAGGCAGCGAGCACCTTGCTACCGGTCTGTAGCAGCGGGTGTCCGACCACAATCTTGAGAAACTTTTCCAGGCCGGCGCGTCGCCCCTCGATCACGTCGTCGCTGAAGCGGTTCGTAAACACCTTGCCAGGCAGCGGCGGGATGGTCACGCGAGCGCTCTCGCGCTCGAGAATGTCGCGAAAGTACTCAAAGTCCGAGTAGCGGCGGCTGACGGAGCTCTGGCGCAGCTTAAAGGCGGGAATGTTGGTGCGGCACAAGATTTCGTAGTCGGTGTACATGGAGCGGCCCATGCCGTGCGTTCGCGGATTGCGCACCTGTCCATCCTGTTAGAGCAGATTTCACAAGGGGGGCTTCGGAGGGGGGGAGGACGACGCGCCTCAATCTCGAGGAAGTTCTCTGGCGGGCCGTAAATCTCGTCAAAGCTCTGCTGGCGCGTATCCGGCATGGCCTGCATGATGGGTCGGTGCAGGTTGGGGCTCTTGCTCTTGGGAGCCGGCGAGGTGGCCGTGGCGGGCGGCGAGGTGGAGGGCTTGTTTGCGCCGGCGCCCTGGCCGGGAGTCTGATTGTCCGACAGCTTGGCGGGTGAAGAGAAGTACAGTGAAGAAGGGTAGCTGCAAGGCGCGGCGCAACTGTCGTGAGTTGTCGCGCACGAGGGGAGGGGGGGGGCCGGTCCGTTATACTGGTTTTGGGTCGTCGCTTTTCGCTTCTGGCGTATTCCAGACGCCTTGGTTAGGCTGTGGCAAAATTAACGATGGCGGCTGTACTGTGGTGTGAGGGAAGAAAAGCGCTCGTTGTCGTCGTTTGGGTTCAAGGGTGAAGCTGTAGAAACGATGCGGAGAGGAGCGTCATTCTGTCTCGGCTGAAGGTGGGGTGTCGAAGACTTTCATTACAGCTTCCAGCATCACGCCCCCGCTTGACCAATCATTCGCCACAAACAACGTGAGGTGGCACGCTGTGCGCTAAATCCTGTGCTGTTCTGTGGAAATGGTAGCAGACATTCCTGGCAGACTACATGTTCTGCTGCTTTGGTATTATTGACATCTCGTCAGCCATTGTGCTATCTTTACACTGCTCCGTCATCGAGCACAGCCCCTCGCTTTCCCGTCTCCTCCCGTCCGAACCCTGTGGTGGAAAATAAAATTTCGCCGCCTTCAGTATGCCATAAGCAAGACCAACAGAAAATCAAATAAACGCCCAACTGCCGTAGAACAGTCCTATTGAATCTCCCATATGAATAAATGTTGTATATCCCAAATTGTGCACCCTGGACCACTGCCCGTCGGGCGCTACTTTTTTTCTGCAAACTTTTGGTGAATGGCGCGAATCTGCTCCTCGACGTTCATGCCCTGGAGATGGCTAATATGCGCCTGGCTCTGGCCATCCGGGTTGCCGTCAAAGCTGTTGATGGCCGCCTTTTTCCTCCGCGCGAGCTCGTCCTCGGAGACGGCCTGGCCGGTCACGGGATCAAAGACGTCGCTGCGCTGACTGGCGAGTCGCTTCAGGTTGTTGGCCACATCGACCTGCGACATATTGGACGGGGCGTGGCGGGCGTCGGATTTGGACTTTTGTTCTTTCCACCGGGGATCCAGTAGTTCAACTAGAATCATGTTAGCGAATTTGGCACTTTGTCATGGGAGACGCGAGCTCACTTCTCATGTGCTCCTCCATTTCATTCAGAGGAATTTGTTGCTTGCAGTTGGGACACATTGCAGTTTGCACCTTTTTGACCTTTTGGGCACCCGGCACATAGTTTTCTCGGATTTTCATCGGAGGTGCACCTCCACGAGCCACACTCTGGGCCTGATGCATACGGGCCTGGGCCTCGGCGCGCTCATGTATTCTGCGATCCTCCTCGAGCTCCTGTGCAGACTTTTGTGGCGGTTGAGGTTGTTGAGGAGCGTAGTGTTGTTGAGCATAGCCAGGGTGAACTGGGAGAGGATAGGCCGGCGCAGGTGCGGGGGCGGCATATCCGTTATAGTCCAGCTCTTCGCCGGGCATGGCCTCTTCGATGCGCAAGTTGGCACTAATGGAGGCGTTGTTTCTGTCTTCCAGAGATGCGTACTGGAGTTCGGAGAGGCTCGTGGGTGGCGGTAAGTTGGCAGTCTCGTCGCTGTCGGTAAAGGTAATGGTCTCGACAATGACAAATTCGCCCCAGTCGATGCGCTCAAACTCTGCCTTGGCCTCTTGTTCCTGTTCTTCCTTCTTGGCCTTTTCTTGCTCCTGGAACTTGATGTATTCGCCTCGTTGCTTTGCGCGCGTGAGCACGTAGAACTTGTCGGCAATGTTCTTCTCGAGCTCGGCCATTTGCTCTTCCTGGAGCTTGCCGCCCTCGCCGCCTAGGCCACCGGCACGTAGTAATGTTGTATATTGATCGATAATGCGTTGGAAAAAGTTGTGGAATGTGTGGTTGGGGATAAGAAACTGAAACTGCGCATTGCCACCCTCGCGCTGGGCGAGCTGGGTCATGAACTGACGCCCATTCTTGGCCACAAAAAGGGCCGTGAGACGGATAATGTCCAAATCCTTTTGGTTGATCCTGGGCATGCGTGCAGAGAACTGAAAGTCGGGCGGTTGAGGAGGCCCTCGGGGCTTTCCGGGCTCCTTGGCAGCTTCTCCTGCGCGACCAGCAGCAACATCTGTTCCGCGGCCAGCGCGCACCTCGGCCAGGCGCCACTGGTAATATGGATGGTAGGCATCTGCGGGGTTCAAGAAACTGAATTTGGGGTTAGTCTGCTCCTTGTCGCGGATACGATCCTCAAAAACGGCACCATTACGCGCGACGTAGCCGGCCGTTTTTTCGAGAATATTGCGAATCTCGCGAGGTGGCAGAACCACGCCGGCGGGGGCTTTGATGTCGTCGAGGACAGCAGCGGCGTCGCCGTTGGTCCCGTTTTCAGCCATGATGAGGACGGGATTGCCCTGAAGCTAGCAATGCGAAATTGGGTCGCTGAATGCAGAGACGCTGGCTGTGGCTGGGAAATTTCGCGATGCGCGAGGCTCGATGCGATAGGCTGTACGAAAGCTCGGTGGTAGGTTAACCCGGGCCGGGAAAGCTTAGTCAGAAACTTGGCTCGCCAATTGACACGTGCACCTGACGATTTAGTTGGTATTAACTATTGGATCATCAAGTTTTAGTTACAGATCTAATAGATAGTTACGGAAGAAGAATTGGGAAGTTGCAGCGGGTTGATGGACGATGCATAATGTCGGGCTTGGAGAATGAGGCATGCGGAAGGCCAAACGCCTGATCCCTTTCTTCATTAGGAAGTTCTAATTCGCATATGTAGGCTGAATCAAAGCGCAGCTCTCGGAGTATCCACTGGGGGAGGCCCCTGATGTGCCTTTGATTTACATGTCATCTGGTGTTGAGCAATGCGTTGCCGATGACGTCCCCGGGAGGAGATTGTCGCGTTGGTGGTATAACGACTTGGTTCAAGAGACAGTTTCACGACACGGAATTTCTTTGGACGCGTGTTAAGTAAGTCGTTGACGCGTCTATGATTTTTAAAGGGTGGCAGATCATAGTGCCGAGGGAGCTGAATCCCATTACAAAGGGCACGGCCAACCGCCCATATTTAGATTGATAAAGCGGCACTGAATGCCCCGCCAAGCGCCACTGTAAGAACAGGTAGCTTTACAGGACTACCTCCTCTCCAGGGCCTTTCAGCGCTACTCCCGCTGAGGCACCAGGCACGCACTAAACCAAGCTTCAGCAGGCTTGCCTTGGTGCATTTCTCCCCCCTAAAGGCAGCGAGCGCTCCCGTCCATCAAGGGGCGGCGTCAGTCAAGGCAAACCTTCGCCCCATCAGGCCAACGTAGCTACATTTCCGTGATGTACGCCGCATCACCAACGCCTCGTCTCCTTTCCCTCCTCCCCCTCCCCCTTTCTCACGCCGATTTGTTTCCCCCCCCTTCACGGCTTTCTGCTTTCTGGTGGACTCGTGGCGTTTCTTGTCCATCTTCTCTTCATCTTCTTCTTGACGGGCTTTGCGCTATAAGCAGTTCCTCTTTTTATTTGGTTCCTGCTTGGCTTTACCCTCTATAGAATTTAACTTCATCACATTCTTTCGCGTTTCCTTATCCCCTTTTATTTTCACCTTTTTTCCAGTCCGAATTGACCGCACTGCTTCGAAAACGTCGACCATCTTCAGTACCTCGACCGGCTCCTTTCCCCGCAGATTTGATACTCTACAATGGCGAGACCGAGCTCGGTCCGGGGCAAAAGCCCCCTGCCGTCAAAGTCCCAGGTTGCGACCGAGGCCAAAGGCACCTCCTACCAGTCTGATGGCGTCGAGGACAATGATGTTTTCCTACTCCCCGGTACTGATTACCTTGTTCTCCTCGTCCTCACCATTGTCGGTGCTGCCGTGCGCATCTTTCGCATCTCACAGCCCACCAGCGTCGTCTTCGACGAAGTCCAGTAAGCCTACGACGCGCCCCCGCGCCAATTGATCATCGCTCGGCCGAGAACTGACGCGCATTTCCTCCAGCTTTGGTGGCTTCGCTTCCAAGTACATCAAGGGGAAGTTCTTCATGGATGTCCACCCTCCTCTGGCCAAGATGTTTATTGCTTTGACTGGCTGGCTGGCTGGTTTCGACGGCGACTTTGACTTCAAGGACATTGGCAAGGATTATTTGGAGCCTGGCGTTCCCTACGTTGCTATGCGCCTCTACCCTGCTATTTGCGGCATCTTTTTGATTCCCTGTATCTTCCTGACTCTCAAAGCTGTCGGCTGCCGTACCTTTACCGCTGCCATGGGTGCCGGCCTCATCATCTTTGGTGCGTTCAGCCGGATCATGTTCGTTAGACGACGCACATTCGCTAACCCACTACTCTGCTACAGAAAACGGTCTCCTGACACAGGCCCGTCTTATCCTTCTCGATGCTCCTCTCGTTGCCGCTACCGCCTTTACCGCCCTCGCCTTCAACTGCTTCACGAATCAGCATGAGCTCGGCCCCTCCAAGGCTTTTAGCGTCACCTGGTGGTTCTGGCTCGCTATGACCGGCCTTGGACTGGGTATCACTGGCAGCATCAAGTGGGTTGGCCTCTTCACTATTGCCTGGGTTGGTGCCTTGACCCTTGTTCAGCTCTGGGTTCTCCTCGGCGATAACAAGAACGTCTCTCTTCCCACCTGGGCCAAGCACTTCTCCGCTCGTGTTTTGTGCCTCATCGTCATTCCCGCCGTCTTCTACATGGGCATGTTCGCTATCCACTTTCTCTGCCTCGTCAACCCCGGTGACGGTGACGGCTTCATGAGCTCCGAGTTCCAGGCCACCCTTAACCACAAGGGCATGAACGATGTTGCCGCCGACGTTCTCATGGGCAGCCGTGTTTCCATCCGCCATGTCAATACCCAGGGTGGCTACCTGCACTCCCACCCTCTCATGTACCCTACCGGCTCCAAGCAACAGCAAATCACTCTCTACCCCCACAAGGACGACAACAACATCTGGCTGCTCGAGAACCAGACCCAGCCGCTTGGAATCGATGGCGAGCCTATCAACGGAACCAACGCCTGGAATAATCTCCCCGAACCTCAATACATCAAGGACGGTAACGTTCTTCGTCTTTTCCACACTCCGACTTCCCGCCGCCTTCACTCCCACGATGTTCGCCCTCCCGTGTCCGAGAATGATTGGCAAAACGAGGTTTCTGCTTACGGTTACGAAGGCTTTGACGGCGATGCCAACGATTACTTCAGAGTTGAGATTGTCAAGAAGCAGTCAGACGGTGCCATTGCCAAGGAGCGTCTCCGCACCATCGAGACCAAGTTCCGCCTTGTCCACCTTATGACTGGTTGTGTTCTCTTCTCCCACAAGGTCAAGCTCCCTGACTGGGCTTCTGAACAGCAGGAAGTTACCTGCGCCAAAGGCGGCAGTCTCCCCAACAGCGTGTGGTATATCGAGCACAACGAGCACCCTCAGCTTGGCGAGGATGCCGAAAAGGTCAACTACCGCAATCCTGGCTTCTTTGGCAAATTCATTGAGCTTCATCAGGTCATGTGGAAGACCAACGCTGGCCTCACCGACTCTCACGCCTGGGACTCTCGCCCCGAGTCTTGGCCTATTCTTCGTCGTGGCATCAACTTCTGGGGCCGCAACCACACCCAGATTTACCTTTTGGGCAACCCCATCATCTGGTGGTCCGTAACCCTCACCGTTGTCATTTGGGTTGCCTTCAAGGGCCTTGCCATCCTTCGCTGGCAGCGCAGCTGCGATGACTACTCCAACCCTACCTTCAAGCGCTTCGACTATGAACTTGGCAGCTCCATCCTCGGCTGGGCTCTGCACTACTTCCCCTTTTTCCTGATGAAGCGCCAGTTGTTCCTTCACCACTACTTCCCGGCGCTCTACTTCGGTGTCATTGCTCTTAGCCAGCTGTTTGATTTTGCCACTGCCCGCTTCGGTGGCCTGGGCAAGAGCCTGCCCGTCGTCAACCGCGCCGCTACGTCTCTGTTCCTGGTCCTCGCCATCGCCGCCTTTGCTCTGTACAGCCCGCTTGCGTACGGCAACGAGTGGACCAAGGGCGAGTGCAACACCCTCAAGCTCCTCTCCAACTGGGATTTTGACTGCAACACCTTTTACGACAAGTACGACGACTACGCCTCGGCCCGCAGCGCGATTCTTAACGTTACTGCCGCCACCGCCCCCTCATCCGAGCCCTCGTCCGCGCCCTCCATCATCGCCCAAGAAGAGAAGATTGAGTTCCGTGATCAGGAAGGCAACCTTTTGAGGACGAGCAGGTCGCCGAGCTCAAGGGCAAGGTGGAATTTGAGACCAAGTACGAGACCAAGACGCGCGTCGTCGACGACCAAGGCGCCGAGATTCCCGCGCCTGAAGGTGGCTGGGAGGGCAAGCTCGGCGGCGCCGGCGTAGCTCCGCCCCATCCCGACGTGGAAGGCGTCGACGAGAAGACTGTCGCCGGCAAGGACGCCGGTGCGGTCAAGGAGTTTGCAGCCAGCCGCGACGGCGAGAAGGAGGCCGAGGGCTCCAAGGCCAAGCCGGCGAGTGAAGGCAAAGAGGCGACTCGCAAGGACGAGTTGTAATTCTTTGTACTCGGGAAAGAACCCCAGATGTAATGGGGATGGCTGATCCCTGGCGCCGTTGGCATGATGATTCTTTGAAAGAGGTCGAAGGGATTTTGTTTCAAATGTAATAGTGGGCGGATGGTAAAACACAAAAGCTATAGTTAATTGTATGTGGTGTCACTTTGTTTATTGTCTTGTTGACATGTCGTTTTCTATTGCAAGAATCACGCCGGTAGCGTCTGGCTTGGGAGAGGATGCATTCAATATACAGCCCGCATGGGATTGATGATGATACGTATCGTTCAAGTGAGGCTTTTGCGTAACGGGTACAATAAAAGTCTAGTGATTAAAGTAGTTTCGTTTTTCCCCCGTCCAACTGCCCGCGCAAAAATAGAAAAAAAAAGGACAAACGCCGGAAATGCAAAAAGAAAACGTCCTGGTAATTGAAACCCTCCTTTGCCACTCCAGAAATGCGCCGCGCAAGAAATGATAGCCAGTGCATGTCAAGATTTGGGGTCGGTGTGGTGGAAATGACCTGCAGAGGTTCATTCGTTGATACGCGCGACCGAGCCATCCATCCATGACCTTTGCTGGTGGGTGTAATGTACAGAAAATGGATGATGTCTGAAAAATAGTAAAACAAAAAGACGACGCTGAGTATATACCCATTCTATCCGCCAGGAAAAGCCTTGCATCTGCTCAAGTCTCGACGATAACGGGCTGTTCAGCGGCCGCTTCTTGCTCAGTGTCCTTGCGGAGCGCCGGTTCGCCGTACTGGCTCACGGGTGTCGGCATGTCCGTTTGCTCGGGCGGCGTGCGCGGCTCCCTGACAGGGGCCTTGTGATCGAATACATGCTTGGCATCACCGGCACTCTTCGCCGTCTGGCCAGCGACGGGTGAAATAGAAGGCACTGTTAATGTGGTGCTAAGGACCTTGTCGACGGATGCAGGCGCTACGTCATCAGTGGGCGATGCTGCTTGCGAGGCAGGAATGACGCCGCCACCTATACGGGACCAAAACATTTGCTCGCGAAGTCGGACGCTTTCCTCCCAGGCCGTCTTCTCGTGGCCTTCGTCATCGGCGCGCCAGTGGCCGTCCTTGACCATTCGCAGGAAGCCCAGGAAGCCACAGGTGGAGCGTACGCGCCCTAGACAGTAGTTGCAAAGCGGGTATCGCTGCGCGGACGGCGACTCGCTCGTGCGGAAGCGGTGATTGCGTAGATATTGCGTCTCTTTGCGGGCCTCGCCGCAAAGGGCGCAGGGAAAGAGCTGCGGCCGGGCTGTTGGTGCATAATTGACATTGGTGGGCACCGGCTCAACGACCAGACTGCCGTCCGTAACAGCAGTAAGGACACTGCGTCGGGCTAGCCAAGACAGGCCAGGAGCAGAATCGAGGCGCAGCGTGGGTTCGATATCCTCAACAATGACGCGCTTGTAAAACTTGGTCTCCTTGAGCGCCGGAATCGGCAGCTGCTGATTGGGTGTCCCCTGGGTGGAAGATGCGGGTGTGTTTGGCGATGGGGGGCCACTGCCGGCGGAAGCGGGGTTCTGGAGCGACGACGTTGAGTTGTTGGACATGTGGCCGCTGGAGGTAGAGCCAGCCAGCCCGAGGCCCAGCGCAGCGAGGCCACCCATTGAGCCAGAAGATATGCGACTGCCAGCGCGCTTGTGGGACTGATGGGCGAGATTAATGAAATCGTCATAGGCGCTGAGGTCATTGCGGAGGACTGGGAGGATGAGGTGCGGAAAGCTCGTAGGGGGCGCGGGTGCGAAGAGGTCGGGCAGAGGCGAGATCGCGGCGGCATCGAGAGGCGGCAAGCGGTCGCTGGTATTTAATCTGGGTAGGCCCGGTGATGAGGGCGCGGTAGTGTTTGTGTGCTGATCGTCATGGGAAGACATGGATTCCATGACGCGCTTGAGCTCGGACAACTGGGTTTGCTGATTTCTAAGCAGGGCTTCGGACTCTTCGAGCTGAGCTTTCAGCAGGTCATTCTTGCGCTGGACAGCGTCTTCACGTTCTTTTGACTCCTCCTTGGCGACAATGACCATTTTGTTAGCCTCTTCGAAGAGAGCCGTGGCCAAGGTCTCGAGCTCTGTCTCGATGCGCTTATTTTCGGCTTCGGTTTCTAGACGTTTAGAGACTTCGTGGTCGAGTTTAGCTTTGATGGCACGCTTGTCGGATTCAACAGTAGATTTGCGAATCCAGACATCGCCGGCCATCATTTCGCGCTGCGTCTCATTTTGTTGCTCGAGCTCATGTATGCGCCCATGTGCGCTCTGCAGTTCTTGGCGGGTAGCGCTGAGAGTGTCATCGAGTGCCGTCTGGTGGTTGATGGCGTTGATAAGTTTTGTGCTGAGAGTGGCGATTTCGTCGCTGAGGTCGGGATGGTGACTGGGGGTACCGGGCTCGTCTTGCTGGTCCTCGGCGTTGCTCACTCGCCGGCTTCGGGGGTCGGGAAGGGTACTCATTTCATCGTTGAGAAAGGTCGCGGAGAGGGAGATTTTGGGGAGTTGTGAAGTAGACTTGGGCGACTTGAGAGATGGTCGTGGTAAGGACGAGGGAGAAGGTGGCGACGGTTTGGAATTTGAGACGGAGGAAAGCGAGCGAAAATGACCACTCAAGGGACGAGCAGATGATGGCCGATGTGAAAGATGCTGCGACCAGCCAGGAACGTGGATAAAACTAGATGGTGTTGCGCAGGCGCAGAGGTCAGCGGGTCTGGGCTAGGTAGTGGCGAGTCGAATAATAATAAGAATGAAAAGTCAAAGTTGATCAATGGGCGGGTAAGGCGCACATGTGTTGTGGCCATGTGGTAAACGGTGTAGTTGGGTGGCGGTGGATTTCTCCGTCGATGGAGATTTGGCAAACCTTCCTTACCTGTCCATGATGGATGCGAGCAGCTCCGGTTTAGGGTCGACGGAAGGACCAAGGCGGAGTGAATTGGCGGATCTGGAGACGCTGAAGAATAAGGAGCGTGCGTGAAATCCGGAGACTGTGGGGGAAGGAAGCCGACGCGGGCAAGCAGACGCGGAGGGAAGCAAGCTGAGAGATGGCGAAGGCGAGGGCGAAGTCGAGGGGGGAGGAAGCAAAAGCTGCTCGGGGCTCGGAGAGCGATGCTGCCAGACAGTGTGGAGAGGGGGAGGAAAATAGGTGGCGGAATTAGGCAGGTCGCTAAAGGTAGCGGGCGAACTGGTCGGACAAATCGGGACAGCGGGCGGGACGCGACAATTGGAGTGCTGATGTGAAGGCAGCAATACAGGTGCAGGCCTTTTCGCGGCGGGTCGGTCGTGAGCGAGGCAGTGAGCAGCTAGTAATCAAAGCGTAAAAGCATGGCGATGACGATGCCGCAACTGTTTTTACTGGCGACGACGACGGTCGTGCCAAGCTAAGCTGCGAGTACAGACGGCTGGTGGAGCGAGGACCAGTGGCGAGTCTGGTCACTGGCGACCTGGCGAGTAATTTGTTCGGAGAGAGCGATTCCCGGGGGAGGTGCGGAAAAGGCGAGACAAGGCGACGCTTGCAAGGTTCCTGTTATTATTATCGCGAGGCTTTGGATGGGTAGCCAGGGCCAGGCTTGGTCGCAACGACGTAACTAGCAAGTTAGCGTCATTATTTCGAGAGTTTGCGAACTGTAGGCGTACCCACGAGGAGTCTGGTGGTCCAATCACCTGGTCTAGGGAAGCGCTGCCTAGTAACGTGAGGGCTCGGGTGAGGTGACTGGCCCGCCGAGATGGTGGCCAAGTGGGAGCGATGTGATAGGGGCGTTGTTTGCTTAGCCGAGAGGCTAAATTGAGTCGAATTGATTAGTTACTGTAGTAAGGATAGAAAGGGGAGGAAAATACAGTAGGAAAAGAAGCATTGACGAGGTCCGGCAAACGAACGAACGATGGGCAGTTGAAGAAGAAATTAACTTATTACAAATAGCAGAGGCATGCGCCTCATTGGCCTCATGATAAGCGCATTGGCATGCAGTCTTCAATACAAATTACAAGAGTGCAGTTGCAGGGGTTACAGGGGGCTGTGGCGCCATAAACTTGCACTGCAATTCACGCCCTAAAACTCTCCCGTTATGCCGTAGTTAGATAGATGGGTTCTTGCAGGCTGTTTGTAACCTTGATGCAGCCCACAGCAATGTGTACCCACGCTGATGCATCTCTTGCCTGCGTAACTGTTACTCCATTGTACCTCGCTGCAAGCTGCCAGCTGCCAGCTGCCAAGTTGCAAACAAAACACCTGCCCGTTGCCCAACATCACACAAGACGTTCAACAAATCTTACAACCATCATTGACCAACTCCCTTCTATTTATCGCTCGACCGATTCATTCCATCTCATGTACGAATTAAATACGTACCTATGTATGTACCCCCATACATCCACCCCAACTGAAACCCCCACACCACACTGCGCATCGTCCCGCCACTGGCCACACCAGATCCAACAAAAAGCAACACCTACAGAGCATTCACTCATTGTGCGACTGTCACGGACTCTCCTACCACAGTCTCGCAGCTGGCCGTTGTTTGATCCTCCGTCTCGTCTCGACAATTCCCATCACGACTTTCGTCCCGCACGGCCTCAATCCCACAAAAAGTCTTTCTCGCCGTCTCAACTCGCCCCACGACCTCTCCTTTTACGCGTCTCTTGAGTTTGACCTACGAGAACAAGTTGCCGATCCCTAGTCAAAGACGCTCGCTAGCCTACCGCCGCCTCGCCTCGCTGCAGTTGTTCACTGACTTTTGAAACTTGCTTCTCCCGTCGTCGATACCTGCAGTCAAGTGTTCCAATTTTGCGCCCTAAATTGCAGAAGAGTCAATAACCAGGCACCATCACTTGTGCCTTCTTTGCACCGAGACATGTTATCGAGGGATGCCTGTCCTGCGTACGGTCCCTGTGCCAGCTGAGCATGACAGCAACCGGGGACCACTAACGAAGACTCGTTCATCATCCACGTGCTTACCATGGCACCACCTGCCCTGCCGTTCTTCCGTCAACGCGATGGCACCGCCTTGCGACCCAAGCTTGGTATTATCCGACTGGTCAAAGTGTCTGCAAGGCACAAGCTCTGAAGCCGCCAAACTCACAAGATTCGTGAGATGCTCTTAAGACTTGTTGATGCGCTCATCTCACTAGGTAGTCACCCGATAAGCCTACCCTCGCGCTGCTGTGCTCATCTGTGTCACAGAGTCAATACAGCGCCCCAGTGCACCAGATGTTTCAACCGCGGTGCAACGGTAGATCCATTCTGGTGCACCTTGTAATCAGGCTATGTAGGGCCCGAATCAGGCACCACCGACTACTCCAGCCGTGATACAGCAGCACAATCGAAAAACAAAATGTAAACGGCTAGTTTCATCAACCAACCCGTACGCTGCTGTCAGCTGTCTTCAATGCATCTCTGATTATCGCTGCCTCGCGCCCGTGTAAGATCTGTAAGTTTAATCGTTGTCAAATCTGCCTAGTTTGCCCGAGGTACCATACCGCTCAAGTAGCCGCCAAGCACCCGCTGGCAAAGCCGAGGCTCGTCAAGCTGCACTTGTATGCTGTTCAAAATCGTCAATAACCTTAATTTTATCATCCAAGTTATACACTCGCATTGCATCGCTTCCTTCAAGACGGATTCACCTTCGAATCGGCTTCAATTAGGCGCGTCCCGTTTCCGGCCGGAACAAGAAGCCCATCACGCAAACTCCGCCACCTTTACAGTATTATTCACCATCATGGCACCCGCGAACATCGTCAAATTTCATGACGCTGTCAGACTTGAAGAATTAGATGACAAAACATTCAAAGTCAGATTCGAGCCCCAGTACTGTATAGGCAACGGTATGTCCGCCACTTGTACAAGTTTAGACAGGGGCTAACCAGCTATGCATAGTCGTCAATGGAGGATACAGCGCATCGTGCATGGCCATCGCCGCCTCCAAGTATTCGGCTAGACGCGGCCAGCCGCATCTAGTCACCTCACAGTACATCTTCCCGGACCGCTGCTCTGTCGGCCAGGCCGTCATTGTCGTCGAGGATGTCAAAAACGGCAAGATGTTGTCCAACCTCCAGGTCAGCATATGGCAAGGGCCGCTCCTCGATGCCGCACCCTGGTTCGACCGCGAAAAGGCGCGCCGGCCGCTGCTCGCCTACATGGTGTTTGCCCACATGGACGACTTTGACTCGTCCTTGACTCTCCCGACCGCGTACAAGACACCCGCCGAGCTAAGCGGCACGTCTGTGCCCGACCCCGACTTTGAGCGTCTCCGCAGGGACAGCCATGACGACAACTGGACCCTCAGTGTCCCGCCTGGCGACTGGACAGAAGACGCCGCCAGCTTACCCGCCAAGGCCATGTACGTGCCTAGAAGAGGCCTCTTCACACCCGGCGTTTTTGACATGTGGGTGCGTCTGACGACGGGCGAGAAGCTCACCCAGCAGTCGCTGCCCTTTGTTGTCGACTTACTCCCGTACGAACTGGATCGCTATCTGTTCGCGCCGGAAGTCAAGGCCATGGTCGACGAGCTTCAGAAACAGGACAAGGCCGAGGCGTCCAAGTCGGGACAGGCCGGCGAGAAAAAGGGCAAGTCGCAGCCGTACTGGTTCGCTACGTTGGCGCTGAATCTGGAGACCAAGGACCTTTTGCCGGAAGAGGGCGTCGAGTGGCTCCACGTGCGCCTTCTCGCCAAGCAGCTGTCGGGCGGAAAGTTTGATCAGGCGATTGAGATTCGAGACGAATCGGGTGACCCCATTATGCTTGGACACACTGTCTCTCTCGCGCTGAAAATGGAGCGCAACACGACAGGGCGGACCAAAGCTGCCCTATAGATGGCGAGTACGACTTGATCTACATGTTGCATAGAAATTAGAGACGAGGTACTTGAATCTTGACTGACACCGAGGCTAAGTTGGCGAAACTACTTTTAGCCTGCATGCACCAGACAGTCCATCTGTTATCATTTGATATATCATTTGACATGATAGGCGGTGATGGCCACGATTTGGGTGATGTGAGAATTTCCCACACGGTAGATATTCGCTACTACTATACAATTTCTCTACCAAGTGAATCTGGTTGTCCTTCACACGTCTAGGTATTCATTGCGAAGCTGAATGCTAAAAGTGCCAGTATATAAGCATATATTGGCGAGTCTCACTATGTAAGCATGGTTAATTAGAAGCAGCCCATCCCAGTCTCGGACCTTTGTCGCCGTCCTCGAAAACGACGTAGGCGGCCGTCATGGAAGGCGAGCCAAACGTGGCCTCGTCGCCGCCATTATAGATGGTGACCGAGTAGCCTCCTTTGTCGTTCTTCTCCTTGAGGTTGGCGCCCGGCACGCGAATCGTGGCATTGCCGACGCCAAACGAGAAATCCGGCAGCTCCGTGTCCTCCGTGATGTCGCCGGACGGGACCTGCTCCCGCCAGGCGTTGTACGCGCTGGTGGGCACGACGAAAGCGGAGCCGCCCGTGTCGACGACGCCGCTGTACTCGAGCGCCACGAAGTCGTCGTCGCCAATCTGGTAGCCGGTCGACGTCATGGACCAGAAGCCGTCCCTGGCGTCGACGTCGGTGTAGGCCAGCTCGCCCGTGTACTGGTCCGCGTCGACGAAGCCGAAGCCGAACGTGCCGTCGGCCTGGTGCTGCAGGTTGACGGTGAAGACGGGCTGGTCGAGGTGCGGCTTGAGCTGGGAAAAGAGCGTCTTTTGCTGCGGCGCGGCCGCGTTGAGGCTGTCGAAGCCGAAGCCGACGATGCCGGACACGGGCACGCCGAGGATGCTCTCGCCGCTCTTCTGCAGGTACACGTCGGTCGCGTACTCGACGCCCTGGCCGCTGACGGCGGCGCCGGCAATCGACACCGTGTCCTGGTAGATGGTGCCCTTGGCGCCCGAGCCGTCCATGTACCGGATCGACCAGTTTCCGTCGCTCACGAGCGTCGCCGTCGAGCTCGCCGTGTGGTTCCACTTGGTCTGCCCGCTGCTGACCTCGCCCCGGACGTCGGCGCCAAACAGCCAGAGATCGCTCGAGCCCGTGTCGAAGAGCAGGTTGATCGTCTGCGGGGGCGTGCCGATGAGCACCTCGGCGTAGTACTCGGCGTCGGGCCGCGCCTTGCTGTTGTAGGCCGGCGTGGTGCTGCCGCCGTCGTCGCGGCCGGCGACGGACGGCACGCGAGCGCCGCCTCCGCCGCGCTGGAAGTGCTCGTTGTACTTGACAGCAACGGTGAATCGGCCCTTTTCGCCGGCGAAGCTCCCAAGGGGTGCCGGTACGGCGGCGGCGCTGGCCAGTGCGGCACAGGCGAGGATGGACTTGAGATGGACCATCGTGAAGGAGGTGAGTGCTGGTCTGCACAAGGATAAAGAGGTGGTAGGTAACGGATGAGAATGTATGCAGGGTTTTGGGGATGCTTGGATCATCCCATGTTCAGAACACGGCCATGATCGTGCCCTTTTATACACAGAGTTCGCCTGCCCCCACGGCGAGCCATCCCATCGCGTGTGCTTGCGCTATGACCCGTCATCGTTGATGCAGGACGACATCAGCAATACAGTTGGGATTCACAGCTTCCAAATGCAAAGACATTTGGCAACCTTGGCCCAAGTAAGCAGCTGGGAGAGGTTCTTCGAGGTCGCGGCTCCGGACTCTGCATCTCCATAACCGTCGGCTTTTCATCGAGCTGCTGTAAGCAGGTTAGCCGTGTTGCGCAGGGAGGAATTGGCGCAAAAATTATCAACCGTTATGCCTTGTTCTACCTCCCCACGCTTTTAGAAAGGCTGGCGGGCTTTATGGCCGGTCGTGGTTGGCGTATGAATTGACCTTCCGGTTCGGGACGGGTCCAAGGTTTCCACCTTCGGTCGGCGGAGTTCGGAGGCGATGGAGCGGGTAGCAGATCGAATGCTCATCTGTCAGGCTAGCCAGAGTTCTCTTGACTCGCCAGCCAAGCAGTTGTCACTTCCCAGCTTCCCACAAAGCCAACGAGGCGCGCCACCACACCGGCAATGAAGAATTGGAAAGCGAGGGACAGTCAACGTCAAATATGACGAGTTACCTCGTAAGGAGTTACCTCGCAAGGAAAGTCTGCAAAAGGTCTTAAATCACCAGCGTGCCGGGGCACCTGCATTCCGTCAAACTCTCCTCCCACACGTCGTGGAATGCGGCACCACCAGATCCCAAGACGGCAGGCTAAGAACCTTTGTGAGCCCAAGAGGATCGCTTCCTGCTTGCTGAGTAACGCCACAGTAATATCACGGAGTGTGCGTGCAATGAACGGCGCCCGCCAATGTAGCCCTCTTCAACTGACTCATGTAGGGCAGGATTGAAACACGTCCCCGAAAAAGCTAAACTACAAGCTTCATGGCGCGAGCGGCAACTTCCTTCGTCGGCGGCGCGGAGTAAACGTTATTGAGTGTATTTAACGGAGGACTCACTCCGGCGGGGTAATGGTCTGCTTGAGAAGGATGGGGAAAACGGAATCGTGCGTCAGCATCACTTTCATCTCTCCCTATTCTCATGCTTGGCGCCCCTGAGAACAACCAGCTCATGTTTAGGCAAGGAATGATGGGATCAGCTGAGCTACTATCGTCGGTCATTTGCTCTGTCAAGCAAGGAAAGAAAGGTACCCTGATTCCAGGTTTCATTTATCTATCACCAAACACAGCCAAATATTACACTGATCCGCTTATTCCGCAACCAAAACAAAAAAAAATTGAACCGAAGATAGAAATCAGCTCAAGCAACGCTATGCAAGAAGCTTTGATATGGGAAAAAAAAAATGTGATATCTAAACGAGGCAGTGGCCTCATAACCAAGAAGAAAAGGACTTTAGAGAAAAAAATAACAAAAATGCTGACAACACAGTAAATCAGCGTAGAATGACTGCAGATATACATATATGGACAATTTCTTCACTCGTGCCAGTCGCCAAAGCCTGGCTCACCATAAGGATTCCACTCCTGGCCTGGGTAACTCGTCGCATTCATCTTGGGGTTCTCCTCCTCCGGGTCGTAGGCAATCTTCTCCTCCTGGGCGTCGATCCGGAGCGTGCGCTGGCGCGCCTCCGCCGTGTCCTCGAGTTCCACGACGTGCTCCGTTGCCGTCGTCACGGCAGCAGCAGCCGCGTTCTTGTCCAGCTTGGTCGTCTCTTCCAGCGAGTCGTCCGAGACCTGGCCCTTGCTCTCGCCCGTCAAGTCTCTAGCGAGAGGGGCGGCGGCGGGGCTGGTGACCTCGATGCTCGCCATGGCGCTTCTGGGGCTGACAATTTCAGCGCTTGATCCAGCAAGAGGCGACACGCTGACCGCCGAAACATGTCGCTCTGTTCCAGGGGAAGCTGGCGACGTCGTCGCGGCCTGCAGCTGCTTATGGCTAATGACAGGCGATTGCTCAGACTTGGGCGACGGCCCGCGCCGGCGGCTGTCGTTGGATATTTGGCTGACGCGGTTGCTGTTGGAAGATTCGAGGCCCATGTGGGCCTCGTCCGGGCGGAGGTGGTTCGCTTGCAAGTCTTTCCGAGCATCTTGCTGTGCCAGTGCTTCCTTTGTAAGCGCCGTGGGCTTTGTGCGAAACTCGTCAGAAGCAGGACTGAGAGGGTTGCTTTCAGTATCATGACGATGCTGAGGGAGAGGCGTTTGAGGCTGTGACTCGGACTGGGGAAGTTGGGAATGAGCCTGTGTAGGCGCAGCTCCATTGCTTTGCAGCTGCTGATTTCCAACAGCGGCGGCGGAAGGCTGATAATGGTTGGCGTCATCATCTTGCTGTGGGTGAGGTGATTGGGGCTGGGAGTATTGAGTCGCAGTATTATACATGGCGGGCACTTGTACGCTACCGTGGCCGTACGTAGAAGTATAACCCTGTGGGGCATATTGATGTTCAGGCTGCTGCTGCTGTAGATGCTGCTGCGGTTGCATATACATGGGCATCAGGTGTTGATAGGGGCCTCGGTTGAAGTGAGCACCCTGGCCCAGAGGCACTTGCTGATATTGCATTTGTTGGGGAGGTATCTGCTGAAACCCAGTCACATTAGGCTGGCCTTGCTGCCGTGTAAAGACCTGGGAATCTGGTGGCTGTCGTCCTGGAGGAGCGCTTCCTGGTGGCATACTCCGCTGCCGCTGCGCTTCAGATGGGCCCTGCGGCTTCGACAGACGCCTAAATGCATTGAACAACATATCGCTAGGCGCGGCCTTGTCTCCCCTATTTGGTCCCTTGCTGGTCGGGGACAACGGGCGCATACTGCCCATCTGGCCAGCCATCTTGGTCCTCAGACCTTTCCACCCCTTGGGCGATGCACTCACTGGACTAGATCGCGGGGCGGGCTGGCTGAAGCCGGGCTGGATGTGCTGCTGCTGCTGGCTGGGGCGTTGCATGGGTTGCTGACCGTACAGGGTGCCAGGAGCCGACTGGCCCATGCCCTGGCGATAGCTGGACCCCGTCAGTCCAGCTCGAGGATCTTGCTGGGGCTGCGGGAGCTGTCCCTGCGGATATCCCCGAGATCCCGCAGAGGGGGGAACCGCGACGGGCAACCTGTTATTATGGACAAGATAACCCCCGGGACTATTTGGGTATTGTGCGGTCGGAGTTTTCTGCTGCTCGTCCTGGGACGGGACATCTGTGACGACACTAGGAGTTATCTGGCTGACATTGGTGTCCCGGCGCAGCATGTCGGAAGTCTCCTCCCCGCCAACCGAAGCAATTGAGAGCGTCACATCGGAGGGTTTGCGAGCATTCTCATTGAATTCTGTCTCGGAATCTGAAAATTCGGACGGCGCAGTGGGAGCTTCACGTGGGGTGCTTGAATCAGCGGTACGCAGCAACAGGTGACTGCCGGCAGTCGCTCCCGCAGTTTCGGCCCTGGTCTCGTTGGCTGTGACAGTACCAGAAGTAGGCGGTCGGTCGATGCCCCATTTGTTTTCACCTGTAGCAAAGAGCGGTTGGGTGGCATCTAAGCGCTGGTCGGGTAGGGTAGGGGCCAAAGCGGCATCGCGGTTCGGTGCCGGGAAATCATCGGCAGCGTGAACCTGACGTGGAGCAGGGGGGATATTTTGCGGCAGATCGGTAGATACAAAGCCGCCTACATCCTGAGCTGGTACTGCGGGCTGTTGCTGTTCGTGCTGCTGGCCCTTGTTGCCAGTGAGACTCGAGAGCAGGTTGGAGAACGAGGCGCGACGGTTGTGCTCGGAACCAGTCGAAATGCCAGAAGAAGGACGGTCCTGGTTGGGCCGTTGAAAGGCTTTGGCAATACCAGAGAAACGCTTCTTCTTGGGTGTAAGCGGCTGTTCGTCGTCTAGTACCTGCTGGTTGGCGAGTCCTGAAGTAGGAGCATCGGACGCGCCACCCTTGTTAGCACCAAAGCCGGCCATGACGCCACCAAACACGGAGCGCTTTCGAGCAGAGCCCAGGTCCTCCGAGGAAGACACGGGCAAGTTCTCGGTCCGAGACCGCTGCAGAGCAGACAGGCCATGCTGAGATCCCTGGTCCATCGAGGCGCGACCGGTAAGCGCGTTGAAGAAACTGGAGCGGCGCTTCTTGCGATCCGGGATCTCCTCTGTACCAAAGCTCGACTCGGAAGCGCCGTCGCCATGCACATCGGCTTGGCGTTGGTTCTCCACAAATGAGTTCCTCCTATCACGCGAGGTGGCACGCACAATCTTGTCACCGATTTCTTTGAAAAGGCCCGAGTTTCGCTTGACACGGCCTCTCTCCTCAGTAGGCGGGCCGACGCCTGGAATTGAGTACTCAAAACCGCTGTGGCGAGGGTTGGCCATCTCTTCGTAGTAGATCTGCGAGGTCGGGCGCTGCGGAGGCTCGTCCTCGTGCTGCGGCGCAAAAAGGCCCGGGTAGCGCTGGGCAGACGAAGGCGGGACATCGGCATTGCGCTGTCGAGCAACGCTTGCGGGTAACGGCGGCGGGGGCATCATCGCTGATTGTCCGGTTTCCTTGTCAAATCCAAAACTCATGGATGGAGAGATAGGGCTGTGGCCGGATCGATTCTTTGCCTGATGCAGAGGCTCCGCCAGGTGGCTCTCCTCTAGTCTCCAGGGGCCAGATTGACCCGGGTACATCATCATCAGTGGGGGTACTGGCTGGTGCATAGGCTGAGGCTGTGAAGATGCCATGACAGGCTGCCGCGCAGATCTGTCGGGAGATTGTTCAGCGGACGAAGTTAAATGCTGCACAGTGACGCCATCCTTGTTCACGGTCTGAGAAGAGAATTCTGCTTGTGCAGCGCCTGTATGCTCGCGACGCGACTGTTGTGGCGCCTCTGGTTGCTCCGGAAGATCTTCCATCACGTCACTTATAGGAAGGCCAGGTACATCGTTACCCTCGTCTTCGTCCAGCGGGAAGCGTTCGGCAGCACGGCGAGTCTTGGACTTCAATCCAAAGGTCGAGGATCTGCGAAGCGGTGGCAACCCGACAAACGAAGATTGTCTCTTGGGCTCATCGCTAGAGTCATCTGGACGTGCAAACATGCCCACTCCGCTGTCTTCCGTAACGGGAGGCGCCCTAGCAGGAGCCTCCGTAGCAGCAGGGTCCTGCGCAGTCTCGGATGGAACCATGCGAATCTGGCTAGCTGGCGGAACAAAGGAAGCCAAAGGTGGCGCCTCGGATGTGCCATGGGCCGCGAATTGGTCGCCACGCACATATTGCTGCGCGGAATGTTGCGCAGGAAGGAGCGACTTGTCTGGGGACGTCTCGCGTAGCAGCGGTGAAACAGGCTCGGGCACTGGAATCTGCGGCGCAATGGTCATGCTGGGCCTTGGAGCAGCTGATTGCTCTTCTCGGGGTTGTTGTCGGGGGTCGTCATGCTCTCTGGAAGAAGAGAATTCGGTGCGCAACTTGCTGCTAAGAACTGCCCAGGAGCCAGAACGGTCGTGCTTCGCTCTGGTCTGCTGTGGTGGATGCGTATCGCCCTATCGAGAACACAACCATTAATATCAGATCGCTTCACGTGCGTGATTTAATGATATCGAGAAAGGGCTTTGAGGTCCGGGATAATAGTTCTCATCGTGATATTCCTGTCTCAACACCCCTCAGCGTCATGAACGCAGTGGTGCAGAAATCCAGTTCAAGCATTATTCATAAATCAATACATAATAAAGAGGATCCATCCTGAGGGAAAGTTGAAGGAAACGGCCCACTCACTATGAGCTGGGTGGTATAAGAAAGAAGCATTAGTGAAATACCTTGTCCCCGCGCAATTTATTCTTGCCCTTGCTGAAAAGTCCCTTGCCCATTTTACCCGCCGAGTGCATCAGCTCCTTGCTCTTGGTTCCGAGTTGGTTTCCAGAGTGACCAAAAGTGCTGCCGCCTACGTTGGACGGCACGGTGATGCCGCCAATGCGGCGACCAGACGTTGCTCCACTGCCAGGAGTACTCGCGTTCAAGTACTGCTGGTAGTAAGGCTGTTGCGCCGTTGACTGAACGCCAGGCGGTAGCCCGGTAGGAGAAGTTGGAGATGGCTGATACGAGTTGAAACTTTTGGAGTGGTGCTCTGGGTGATCCTGGTGCAGACTCGTAAGCCACTTGTCAAGACCGATATCCATGATGGCAAAGGCGACCCTGGTCTCGTTGAATTTGGCAACCCTCTCAGAGGAGTTATTCAGGTTCACAATGTCCTTGAAGGGAGTCACACTGGCGCTGGAATTTCTTGGCATGCTCAAGGCAGAGGCTGGGGTTGGATCAGACAGTCTCATAGCGAGCTGCTCATCCACAGGTGCCGAAATCTCGTTCGACGCAGTTGTCGAGAGGGCCCCTTCGCCCGCAAGGGAGAGACGGTTCGACCCCTGCGAAGTACTATCGCTGCCAACGACGGCTGGAATGATCGCTGCACTGACAGGAGGAGCATTGGACTGTCGATCAGTAAGATCTGGTTGCCGTAGAGGTTCGCTAGGAGGTACAGCCGTTACGGCAAGAGCTGGGGCCGGGGCGGGCGTGGGCTCAGGTGGCGGCGCCGTGGCGGTGGGGGCCGCAGCCTTGGGTGGCCGCTTAGAGGCATCCTCTGCTTCCCAAGAAAATCTTCGGCGAAGATCTGTGCCACCGTGCGAGACAATCGAGGCCTCTGGGAGCTGCTGAGGAGAAGTCGAATGCGGTCCTGAAAGCGCGGCGGGCACCGTTGAAGGCTGACTAGTGGGTACCTGAGGTGAAGGCTGAGTAGCGACCACTAGTGGCGTTGGGGATGAGGTTTCTGGTTTCTCTTCTTCAGTAGACTTTAGAGGCTCCATCACTTTGAGAGGAAGGTCGTGCGATCTAGTTCCTGCAGCAGCTCGGGTGGCCTCCCCTGGCATACTGCTCATTGTCTTGGGCGGCTGAGAAGCAGCTTCAGGCGCGGTACCCGGGTCAGCCCAGTAACTGTCATAGTCTTGGAGGGTGTAGGTGCTCTCTCTGGCGTGGCTTTGCGATGCCTGTGTTCCGCCATCGACCAATCCAGTCTCAACGCTCGGTCTGCTGGCTTGAGTTGGAGAGCTGAGTGTCTTGATAATTTCGTCTCTCAGCATATCACTTTCCTTGACCGGCGAAGACGTGTCTGTCCCAAATGTCGGTTCGCGATGGAGAGGTGGCGGGGGTTCGAAAGATCGTACCGGGCTCTCGTCCTTGCGGACATTCAGAGGCTTCGTCGGGGTGATATCGGTCGCAGCACCAGCCGAATGAGAGCTCGATGCGGTGTCAATGGAGGACCTTCTTGTGGCCCGTTCGGCAGGATCCGATGGCTTGGGTTCCGCTGGCGGCAAGGCAGGTCCCCGTGATTCGGTCATCGTGGTTGCGCCAGCTGGGGGTTGGTGGACTGCCGATTCGATGACCTGAGGCTTAATGGAAGCATGTTCCATGATGGCTGGAGCAACAGCAGCAGCCTTGGTCTTGTCCGCGAAGGTGTTTGGAGCCTCTGCGGGAGAATGGCTCACCTCGTGCGTGGTAGGCTTATCCACTTTTAATTCTGGTGCCACCTCTGGTACCTCTGGAATCCGTTGCGCAGCCATCTTCTCCGATGACAGCATGGAGAATCCACCGGAGAAAAAGTCGGCGCCGAAGACAGACATGCGAGCCAAATCCGGAAGCTTGGGGCTCGTGGATAGGCGCTTAATCTCCTCGTCATTCAGTTCGGGGGCGGCATGCGGCGGCGGCGCTTCTGATCGTGGCAGTGATGCGGCAGGTGGCTGCTGCTGCGACGTTCGGCCCGCGGGCATTGTCAGGTCCTGATAGATAACGTTGCGGCTATCGGTGCGCGGCGCAGGCATTGGCGCACTTGGGGGCTGATACTTGACGGGCTCAGCCATAGGTTTTGCTAACGATACCGAGCTCTGCTTAGACAGGTTGGAGGCGATCTCGGCGCTAGGGCGTGAGCTGTCCATTGATCCGCGGCTCTTTTCATCTTCCATTCGCCTGTAGATATCCGACGGCCGAACAAAGGGAAGAGGCTTGTTCACCGAGGCAGACTGTGGGGTTGTTGATGGTATACTGTCCGGCGGCGAGCGAGGCGACAGAGGGTATGTCGAAGAAGCACCCTGGGGCTGGAAGCCGCCGGCAGATTGCGGTACGGCGGAGGTCGGCTGAGCCAACGACGGGGTATATGATTCCTGGCGAGGCTGCTCATTCGCCGGGGGGGGAAGGCGCGATTGGGGTGGCGGGTAGGGCTGGTGGTGCTGGGGCAGCTGCGATGGCGGATTGGTCTGAATATGCAGCGATGGCACATGAGGGGTATTCTGATGAGCACCATACTGAGGAGTCCGAGGTGATAGGGGCATGGGTGGTTCAATCTCGTCGTCCGTATACTCGTCGGCGCCCCAGTCGTCGCCGTCGTAGTTTTGCGACTTGGCCTCGACCCATTTCTTCGTCTTTTGGCGGCTAACGTTGACCTGGTAGCTGTTGTTGCCAGCCGAGGAAGCGGATCTAGAGCAAATATGTTAGCAACAGTCTGGATAGTCGCGCAGGTCTGAGCCGTGGGTGTCTCGGCACGCACAGGGTGGGCTGGCCGCGGCCGTCCGGCCTGCTATAAGAGCCTTGATCCATGGTGAGAGGGCCGAGTGATGGACAGGCAAGCTATCTCGTCATGCTCGTGCTAGGGTTCGTTGCTCTGTCGGTGCGAATTGCGGGCAAGCATGCGCTCGGCGAAGGCTGCACGGCCCGCGAGATGTCGTCGGCGTGTCGGGCCGCGACAAAGGGGTATTGCGACAGGTAGGTAGGTAGTTAATGATACAGTGCAAGCACCAGTGTAAGAAAGAATGCAAACAAGAGGATGTGGGTGCGACAAAGAAAAAAAATAGAGTAAGTCAATCAACGAGGGTAGGGAAGAGATTTGAAGAAAACGAGACGGGCGGTGGCACGAATGGGAGGTTGGAGAAAAAGAGCCGACGTGGATGATCTCCGTGTCATAGTGGTAAGACATGAGGTGGTGGCCGTGGTGGGAGTGATTGCTGGGCTGGTGGTGTGCAGGAATGGTGGCAGGCTGGCATGTTCCGCAGTTGAGGGTCCACGGTGCCAAGTGCCCAACGACAAGAGCTACAGTGGAATTACTGCTGTACACAGCCTGAGCTGAAGGAGCTCCAGCGCATGCTCAGGGGCTTTTCGCGCTAGCAGGCCCGCTAGCATCCACTAGCAGCAGCAGCAGTCCACTATCAGTCCGTCACGGAATCCACTGTCCAGCCATCACATGTACTGTAACTACAAGAACCGGTGTGGCGCAGCTGGCGATTATTTTTGGAAATTAGATTCTCTCTTTACGGAATACGGTACATTAGACGAAGCATCGGCATTTGCGTCTACACCTGTCGCGTATCACTGACGGCTTCACACTCACCTTATCACCAACTGTCGTCACGTAGGTACGTTGACATGTCCGGGGGCCGCCGCGCTGACTTCTAACCTATGAACATCAGCAGCAATAGATTACCGGACCCGCCGGGACCAGCTGTTCTGTCAGCGCGGCCTTATCCCGCGAGGCGACAGTCTCTTACTGTCGAAAATTTCTTGAGGTCTAAGTATTTGATTGATAGTACTGCTATAACACCAAACGTTTCTTTTACTTGTTTGTGTTTGTGTTTGCGCCTATACTTCACCGTATTCCGCCAACCATGTCGTCATCGTGGCAAGCTGCCGTGGCGAAGCCACTCACTGTGGCACCTGATCCCATTTCATTTGGTGGCTGAAGCACTGGGGAACGGCCGTTCGCAGGTCCGCCCCCGATTTGGCCCGTCCTGGTAAAGACCATTTGCACGACAACAAGCAAACCTCCTTGACGAGATACTCCTCTCAAGTATTCTTTTTCTTCAGAAAAGCATCAGCTTGAGCGTGGTTGTAGAACTTTGATATCTGTTCAATTCTAGCATTTACAAGAACAACAACAGATAATCTCGCAGCCCCAGCCGTGCATAGTGCTGCAAGAATACCACCTTGCGTCAAACAAACCCTGCAACTAGTTATTCGTGAACCGCGTATTGCGATTTATGGCTGTATATCAGATCCGACGTATTGTGCGATTCGATCAAGACTCCCTTTCAAAGTTGCAATGCATCCATTGGTCTCATCCATTGCTCCATTGACAGCGCTCTCATCCAGAAGGCCGGTCGATTCTATTAAGCATCAGCATATAAAGCACATTGTGCAATAGATAACTCAAACCATATTACCTTTCATAATTTTAATATGGGGATTCCGCCGCAGGAATGTAATCACCCAGTTCTTGCCCAGCGGCCGAAGATCTCCTTGAAGAGCGAGTAGCTGCGTCGCCACTTCGCGCACTTGCTTGTGCGTCGGCGGTTCGTTAATGGCCGTCATTGTCGTGATCCAGCCGCCCAGCTGCACCTCTAGCTGCTTGGATAGTCGCTGCTGCGATTCAGCCGCGGCTGCGTGTGTCTTGGTGCCCTTGAGCCGGTGCCTCAGCGTAGATCGCGGCACGCCCCAGCGAGTCGCACTACTGGTGACGCTGACACCACTCTTGACGCTCTGGATCGCGTTCTGGATGTCGGCTTCGTTGGCTTTGCCCATTGCTATTACATCGTTCCCGGCAGACACTGGAGGAGCAAACGGCTGCTCACCAACGGCCCGGCCAAATGGGGGTGAATACTGTTTTGTTGTGGGTCTCCAAGTGTCAAAATTCCAACCAATCGTAGGGCTTCTTTAATCACAAGCCAAATCTCCCAAGCATTTCGCGACTTGCGAGCCCGTCAGCATGATTCCTTTTCCCAGCATCTTCCAGGAAAGCTTCCATCTTCAGTCTTTGCGGCCCGCAATTTTCTCTTCATCTTCATCGCTGCCGATGCGTGCTTTTACTCTGTTCCATTAATTTTGCTTCATTTTTTCTTCTTTTCCCAACGCCCTCATAGCCTGACGCCAGTCCCTCGGCTAAAGCCGCTGCAGCACCACTGCAAGGGGCGAACTGAAAACGTGGTCAAACTCAAACTCGTTGGGCCACCCCAGCCTCATCAGCATTACGTGCGTCTTTGCCGCCAAACACTCGACATCCCACCCGACACGCTCCTTCACAACTTGCTCGAAAGGCATCCCGCGCTGGTCGCTACATGAACCTTTCGCTGCTGCATTTACAACATCAACTTTAATCCGCCGACCATGGCCGCCACGTCGATCCAGGACCGGACCTCCGAGTTCAAGTCGGTCCTCGCCTCCGCGCAGCGCAAGCAAAACGCCAACAAGCTCGGCGCACAACGACGCTCGCTGCTGACCGACTCGCAAAAGGCGGCCGCCAATGGCGACGCCCAGCCCCGACGCTCCGACTTTGCCAGAAAGGCGGCCGAGATTGGCCGCGGCATCTCGTCGACCATGGGCAAGCTGGAGAAGCTCGCGCAACGTGAGTTCCCGGACAGCGCATGTGGTTGATTAGGTATGCTAACAGCTTACAGTGGCCAAGCGACGAACGCTATTCGACGACCGTCCGGTTGAAATCAACGAGCTCACCTTTGTCATCAAGCAGGACTTGTCGTCCCTCAACCAGCAGATCGGCGCCCTCTCGATGATGTCGAAACAGCAGCACCCAAAGGGGGCCGACCAAGAAGGGGAACACAACAAAAACGTCGTCTACCTGCTGCAAGGCAAGCTGACCGACGTGTCCGTCAACTTCAAAGACGTGCTCGAGGCCCGCACCAAGAACATCCAGGCGTCGCGGTCGCGCACCGAAAACTTCATCTCCAACGTGTCGCAGCACGCGCAGCCGTCGCTACAGCAGTCAGCATCGCCGCTGTACGGCACACCGAATCGCGCCTCGCCCGCACCCGGGGCCGATACTCTCTCGCTCAACCCGGTCAGCGACAACCAGTTGCTCATGATGGAGGAGGCGCAGCCGGCCAACACGTATATCCAGCAGCGTGGTGAGGCGATTGAGGCGATTGAGAAGACGATTGGCGAGCTCGGCAGCATCTTTGGCCAGCTGGCGACGATGGTGTCGGAACAAAGCGACATGATTCAGCGGATAGACGCCAACACGGAGGACGTGGTGGACAATGTGGAGGGCGCGCAGCGCGAGCTGCTCAAGTACTGGTCCAGGGTATCGGGCAACCGCTGGCTAATAGCCAAAATGTTTGGCGTGCTGATGATTTTCTTCCTGTGAGTTTGACATGAACATGGATGATGATGAGACGAACGCTAACAACCTTGCAGGCTATGGGTATTGGTGTCCGGTTAGAGTACGTCTGGCGATTTGTTTCATTCTACAGCTTTTCTTTTCTTTCCCTGTTGGGACGGCTCGACGACATACATTGTTTTCTTTGCATCTACACCACGACGGACACATTGGAGGGCGACAGGGCAGCTCAGCCAAATAGAACTAATACAACTGAAGCTTATATTCATCAACTAGTCAATGAGTGACTGATCGAGCTAAGAAGTACACCCACAACCCTGTAGTGGGCAGCCCCGTCGTATTATAAGAAGCTCATTGCGCACTGCCTCGATGCTCGTAGCAGTATGCGGTGTCATAGATGATGAAGCATCGTCCACAACGCTACATGAAACCGCACAGGTGCGATTCTAAGCCATCCAGGTCGACCCACTGCCTCTACCCGCCATGAAGTAGAAGCCCTGAACCAGCGGCTTTCCTCCTCCGGCCACCGGAGCCAGCCCGGCCCCCGCCCCGCCTGCCGGACTTCAACTTGCCCGAGGCAGACCAACGCCCACGCAAGAGAAAGCGGCATCGCCAACGCGCATTGCCCACTGTGGATCTTCGGTCTGAATTCTCCATGGCTCTCTGTCCCAAGCGGCGTCGGTGACCAGAGGGGCCGTTCCCCTCATCAGCGCCGACAGTCTCCAAAAGCGGCTATTGAAGCGGCCCGCCCCCCGCGGGGGTACCCCAGTTCATGGAGGGGGCTTTCTTGGAGGGGCAGATGTCGGCGGCCGAAAAGGTCAGAGTCCAGTTCCTTTTATTATGTACTTTTTGCCCTAGACGTGATCAATTCTCGATTTCCTCTCTTTTTCCTCCATTTTTTTTTTCTTTTCAACAAGCAACGTACTACTCACCATGGCTGCTACTTCATTCCAACTCAACACCGGCAAGGCGATTCCCGCGCTCGGCCTCGGTACGCACTTTCACAGCGCCAGGCCGTTTTCCCTTGTGCTAACAAGAACACCAGGAACCTGGCAGTCCAAGCCCGGCGAGGTCAAGTCGGCCGTCTCGTACGCTCTGCAAAACGGGTACACGCTCGTCGACTGCGCCTACTGCTACGGCAACGAGGCCGAGGTGGGCGAGGGCCTCGCCGAGGCCTTCGCGGCGGGCGTCAGGCGCGACGACGTCTTTGTCATGACCAAGGCGTGGGCGTCGTACAACACGCGCATCGAGCAGTGTCTGGACAAGAGCCTCCGGGCCCTGGGCGTGGACTACGTGGACATGTACCTGATTGTGAGCGCTGCGTGAACAACTGCCCCTTATTGTGGTCGCATCCTGACGTTGGTGGGCAGCACTGGCCTTTGCTACTGAATCCCAATGGTACGGAATACAGTCTTTTCTGCAAGGAGTACAGATCCGAGCTGATTGTGTGCGCAGGCAACGATGACAAGTTCCCGACACTCCCCGACGGCTCGCGCGACATTATCCGCGACTGGAAGCACACCGAAGCCTGGAAGCAGATGGAGGCCCTCCTCGCCACCGGCAAGGTGCGCGGCATTGGCGTGAGCAATGTACGTTTCCGACCCCTTGTCGCCCCCCCCCCCCCCCCCCCAACCCCTACTTTTCTACCTACTCACCTCGCGTGCGCAGTACAGCAAAAATTACCTCGAGGAGCTGCTCGCCAGCTGCACCGTCGTGCCCGCCGTCAACCAGATCGAGAACCACCCGAGCCTGCCGCAGCAGGAAATCGTCGACCTCTGCCGGGCGCAAAACATCCACGTCGTCGCCTACAGCCCGCTCGGCAGCACGGGCAGCCCGCTGTTCTCGGCCGCGCCGGTGGTGGCCATTGCCGAGAAGCGCGGTGTCAGCGCGGCCACGGTGTTGCTGAGCTACCACGGTGTGTTTCGGAACATGCGAACTGATGTATGCGATTGGAAGGACTGACGTGTTTTGCTAGTTGCCCGCGGTTCTACTGTGCTCGCAAAATCGGTGACGCCGGCCCGCATCAGCACCAATGCGGTAATCGTGAAGCTCGACGACGAAGATATGGCGCAGCTGCGCGCCTACTCGGACGACCTCACGGCCAAGGGCGAGTTGAAGCGCTACGTCTACCCGCCTTTTGGAATCGATTTCGGTTTCCCCGACAAGTCGTAAACGGAATGCTCACGCAAAGGGGAACCAATAATATTAGATAGTATACAAAAGCGTACTAAATTTTAATTTTGAATATTCATCGAAACGAACAGCCTGTGATATCTCGCTATGCACCTCATGCCACCCACCGTCTCAACGCCACGAACTCTTTACATAAACACGAATTCATCTACTCCATATCCACCACAACCTTGAGCACCAGCTTGCCCTCGCTGTCCTTGACCTGGCCCGCCATAGCAAACGCCTTGGGGATGTTTTCGATACCCTTGAAGTGGTGCGTGACCAGCGGCGAGAGATCCGGCATGGCGGCGGGGCGGTTGGCGACCAGCTCAATGGCCTTCGCGTACGTGTTGGCGTAGCGAAAGACACCAAGGAGATCGACTTCGCGGAGGGCGGCGGCAGACATGGGAAGGGTGAGGACCGGGGTGCCCATACCGATAATCATGACCTTGCCACCTGGTTTTGTGGCCTAGAAAGGTCAGCGACTATATTAAAAACATCTGTTCCATTGTCGTGACTTACATAAATGGATGCTTGGACGCACGTCTCGACGCCAGTGCATTCATAGACCGCCGAGACTTCACCCACCGCTTCACCCTGGACGGTTGTATTCTTTACCATGTCGGCCACCCTTTGAGCATATGCCAGCTTGTCTTCAATTGTTTGCGGGCGCTCCATAGGTACCAGGACACTCGCATCCGCAAAGCCGTTGTCCACGGCAAAGTCGATGCGGTCCTTTTGAATATCCGCAATGATTACCGTCTTGGCGTTGGCGGCCTTGCTGACCGCCGCGGCCAGCAGACCAACTGCACCGGCACCAAGCACAAGCACGGTCGCGCCCTCGGGCAGATTGGCCCTGTCGCGGGCGTGCATGGCGACGGAGAGGGGCTCGAGCACAGCGCCGAGATCGAGCGAGAGCGTGGCAGGCAGCCTAGCATTGTCAGCACGAGATCCAACCAACATCGGATAATTTGCCTACTTGTGACACCAGCGCGCGGGGTGGTTGACACGCTCCTGCAGGGTGCCCTGGGCGTGAGGAAAGGCCTTGGCCGAACTGCGAAACTTCATGCCGCGGCAGATATTGTAGCGACCGGCGGTGCAGTACTCGCAGGCTTCGCAGGGCAGTCCGACCTCGAGCGCAACGTGGTCACCCGGGGCAAGATCTGTCACAGCGCTGCCAATAGCGACAACGGTGCCGCTCGACTCGTGGCCGAGGGTGAGAGGTTCCCGGACAATGATGTCGCCATTGCGGTAGTGGTTGAAGTAGTGCAGGTCGGAGCCGCAAAGGCCGGTAGCTTGAACTGCAATTTGGACCTCATCGGCGGCGGGATTGGGGAGATCGCGCTCCTCCTAGGATTCATTGTCAGCCTGCCAGGGCGGAAAATTGTACTATTCGTTCAGTGCAGTATGAGTTGACTTACAACACGAAGATCGCGAGCACCGTGGAGGACGGAAGCCTGAACTTTTTGGCTCGACATGATGTGTTGATGTATTTGATACGAGGTCGTTGGTTTGCCAAATGAAATGGAAATTATGAGGAGTGAAGATACAAATGCAGGGAGTTTGTGACTATCGCATAGGATGAATGAATAGAAGATGAGCAATGCAAACGAGCAATCAATGCACCCCGCGCAGGAAAAGAAGCCCCCACCAAACGGCAGCAAGCTCAAACGGCTATTCAAACCCCGCCACCAGCCGGCAGGCTTCGGCGAGAATTGCCCGAAGCGGAGCCTCCGCTAGCGGACCTGGCCCGCCGGCAATTGACGCGGGGCCACTTTACAGCGAGGGTAGGCTGCTGGAGTCCACTGTAATCCACCTCAGCTTTGGGGGTTGGGGAACGCTTGCTGTGCCCCTCCAAGCCTCACATTGTCAAAACCCGCGCGTGGAAACGCTCCCGGCACCTTTACACTCTCGAACACGTAAAGAACTCTGCTCCATTCATATCGCTTGATTCTATTTGTCGGTGTCATCGTCTTTTTTTTAATCAATGGCCTCCAGCATGTTCTCACTCGACGGCCACACGGCCATGGTCACTGGCGGCACGCGGGGCATCGGCCAGGCTGTCGCCGTTGGCCTGGCCGAAGCTGGTGCCGACATTATTCTCGTCCAGGTAACACGCTCCGCTGGTCCCCGGTCCTTAATTGATCTTGTCTGACAATTTGCAGCGCGATGCTAGTGTTGTCGAGACCAAAAATCTCGTCGAGGCGCTGGGTCGCAAGGCCTGGATCTACACGGCCGACATGGCCGTCCAGGAACAGGTCGCCGCCCTGACGCCCAAAATCCTCGCCGACGGCCACGAGATTCGCATCCTGGTCAACTGCGCTGGCATTCAGCGCCGACATCCCTGCGAAGAGTTCCCCGACAGCGATTTCAACGAGGTACATACCGTGCTTTCCCTACATATCAACCAGAAAAGCGATTAACACACACAGGTCATCCAAGTCAACCTCAACGCCGTCTTCACACTCTGCCGCGACGTCGGCGCTCACTTGCTACAGCTCGCGCCGTCCCCCGTCACCGGCCGCCGCGGCAGCGTCATCAACTTCGCCTCCCTGCTCACCTTCCAGGGCGGGCTGACCGTGCCGGCCTACGCGGCGTCCAAGGGCGCCGTCGGGCAACTGACCAAGAGCTTCGCCAACGAGTGGACCAGCAAGGGCATCACGGTCAACGCCATCGCGCCCGGCTACATCGAGACGGAGATGAACACGGCCCTGCTCGGCAACCCGGAGCGCCTGGCCAGCATCAGTGCCCGCATCCCTGCCGGCCGCTGGGGATCGCCCGACGATTTCAAGGGCACGGCCGTGTATCTGGCGAGCCGATCGAGCGCATATGTCAGCGGCCATGTGCTGGTGGTGGACGGCGGCTGGATGGGCCGGTAGTCTTTAAATTGGATTGATTATTTTACGACTTTAATTATTTAACGGCTTGGCAAAACTGCAGATTACATGTGTCGCCTCGCCGAATTCTTTTTGTTGATACCATCTTCGCGTATTAAATCCATCCCTTCTATACTTGCAGCTGAGTGACTATCTTTTCGAGCACATCTCCCGACTTGAGCTGTTTTGCGCTCGAACCAGTAAAGCTGACCAAAGGCGTCAGCATCGGTGAACGAATACATTTATATATGTTTCATTTTGTGTGATACAATGACGCCCCGGACCACAATTGGATTGATCTGCGTAAACCTGTCACAGGCCAAGCTATACTAGGTATTTTCGAGTCTAGATTTAAGCATTAAGCCCACCTATACTCTAATTATCTTTATTCGAGCGGCGCACGGCCGTTACCCCGTAGCACTTATGTACTGTCATTACGCCGACGCAGAAAAGAATTTGAAGCTTAATTTAAAGCTTTTATTTGTCCGCGTCCTACTTTGTCGTGACTCTCGAAACCAGGACTGCCACTGGTCTCTGCGATCCGCAGCAGCGAAATGGCAGCAAAGCTCGAGTCGCCGCCGCCGCCGGCGGACGCGGCCCCGTTCGACATTTATCCCGTGCACATGTTTGACAACTGCAAGAGCCCGCGCAGCATCATGATGCGGTGGATGTTCCGCGTCGATGCGCGGCTCGACGCAGCCAAGCTGCGCGCGGCGCTGACACAAGTCCTAGCCACGGGCGACTGGCGCAAGCTCGCCGGGCGGCTTCATTATACAGTCCGTATCTCCTTCAATCTTCATCCGGGTACACCATCTGCTAACTGGCCCATGTAGGAGACTGGTCGGCTCGAGATCCACGTCCCGCACACCTTCACAGAGCAGGACCCTCCCTTCACCTACACCCATAACGACCATCCCACCGAAGCATTCGACGACAACGAAGCGCGGCGCACATTTCCCACCGCTGCCGCCGCAGGGCCGCACGTATACCCACAAAGCCCCCGCACCAACGAGTCCATATTTGCCGCCGGCAGCCCCAAGACATTCGAGGAGCACGTCGCGCGCGGCCTGCCGCAGCTCGGGCTGCACATCACCACATTCAAAGACGCGACCCTGGTTGAGCTGACGTGGCCGCACACGGTCATGGACGCCACCGGCCAGCGGGAGCTGCTGGCCGCGTGGTCGCTGGCGCTCGCGGGCCGCGCGCGCTCCATCAGGCCGCTGGCCGGCGCGCGCGCCGACGTGGCGTGGGCCGTCGCCGAGGAACGCACCGCGGCGCAGCTGGGCCCTGATGCGCTGCGCGACCGCGAGCTGCTCGGCCTCGGCAGGGTGCTCTTCCTCGGGCGCTTCGTGTGGCGCATGCTGACGGGCGGCCGCGCGGACTGGCGCGTGTTCCGCCTCCCGCGGACGGTGCTCGGCCGGTGGCGGCGCGACGGCCTCGCGCAGCCTCCCCGGGACCCTGCGACCGGCGCGCCGCCGTTTGTCAGCGACGGCGACTTGATATGTGCGTGGCTGGTGCGCCTGACGGCCGCTGGTGGATGGGGCCCGCGCACGCGCTACGTCGTCGCCGGGTCCGTCAACTGCCGCGGGCGCATCCCGGCGCTCGCCGGCGGCGTGTACGTGCAGAACCTGCTGGGGCTGTACTTTGCCGACATCCCGGCGGCGGCTGTCGCGGGGCCTGGGGCGTCGTCGCTCGCGCGCATCGCGCTCGCGCACCGGCAGCAAGTGGCGCTGCAGACGACGGAGGACCAGCTTCGGCACCATTTCCGGCGGCGGCGCGCGGCGGCCGAGGCGCAGCAGGATCCGGCCGTGCCGCTGTACTGCCGCGCGGACGACGTGCTCGTCATGTGCAATAACCTGTCGGGGCTGCGGATCGGCGCGGCGGCGGATTTCGGGCCCGCGGTGGTGGCGGCGGCGGGCGCGGAAGGGCCCGCGTCGGGGCGCGTGGTGGGCCATTACTATCTGTCGAGCGATGAGGGGAACAGGCCGATGCCGTATTTTGTCTGCTTGGATCAGGACGAGGATGGGTATTGGATACGGGGCAACGCGTCGCCGCAGACGTGGGTGAGAATTCTCGAGGACATTGGTGTGCAAGGCGCAGATGGGTGAGGAGAGAAAACTGCCTACTACGGATGCTGGTCTACACGACAGGGTGGGATGTGAAGTCGGGGTGGGCATCGTCGATAATGCATGTCGGCACAGAGGCTTCGTACGGCCTGTTAGCGCACAAGTACGAGAGACCTTGGAAGCGCAATGTCGCGCACCTGAACCGCGTCAATTTGCAGACTTTGGCAACGGGTGTTGAGATGATTCATACTCTGATCCTACAAATTACAGGGTTCGCTTTTACCAGCAGTTTAAATATAATACAGGAGCACTTACTCTGTACGTCTAAGACATTTGCGGCTGATGCCCCTCATCCGAGCCTTACACTAACTACCCTATGTATTTAGGCTATACCATGTGCACAACAACCGCGGCCACATCTCCCTGCCTCCCTGTCTCGCTCTCCTCCTTTCCCCCTCTTCTTCTCTTCTACCTCTTCCTAGTTATTCCATCTCATCATACGCATCGCATCTCACCAACTATACCCTCACCATGCCGCAGCCCTCTCACCCGTGGCGCGCCACCCAGCCGCTCAAGGCCCTCTGCATCGCCTTCTACTACCTCTCGACGCCGCCGTACCTCATCTACCTGCTCCTCAAGTACTCTCTGCTGCGGCGCCTGCGCCCACACCCGGGCCTAGGCCTGCAGGCCAACGTCAGCCACCCCATCGTGCGCTCGCTGTTCAACATCATCACGCGCACGCGGTCCCCGCGCCTCGTCGCCGAGCGGCTGCCCAAGGACCGGACGCGCGTCACGTCCGTACCCGTGCCGGCCGCCACGCTCTTCACCGGCGTTCTCGCCGCCTCCCCCTCTGTGCAGCCCGCGCCCCTGAAAGCGCTCTGGTTCCCCAACGCGCCCGCCGCCGACGCCGCCGCTGCCGACCTCGCGCAGGAGACGGTGGTGCTGCACCTGCCGGGCGGCGGCTTCGTCGTCGAGGTCGGGCACGAGGCGTTTGGGCGGAAAGCGGCCGACGCGATGCTGCACGGCGGGCAGGCGGCGCGGCTGGTGTGGGCGCAGTACCGGCTCGCGAGCACGCGCGGGCAGGGCTTCCCGGCGGCGATCCAGGACGCCGTGTCGTTTTACGCGCACGTGCTGGCGCTCGGGTACGACGCGCGCAACGTGGTGCTGTCGGGCGACTCGGCGGGCGGCAACGCGGCGCTCGCGCTGCTGCGGTACCTCGAGGCCAGCAGGGTGCTGCCGCTGCCGCGCGGCGTCATGGCGTGGTCGCCGTGGGTCGAGGTGACGCCGCGCGCCGGCCGCGACTTTGCCGCGACAGGGGCTGCCGCGGCCGGCGACATCATCACGCCCGAGTTCCTGCAATGGGGCGCCGACGCGTACCTGCCGGGCGCGCTCACGGACGAGGTCGCCGGATACGTGTCGCCGCTCAACCGCCCGTTTGAGACGCGCGTGCCCGTGTTCTTGCACGCCGGCGAGGCCGAGGGCTTCTGCCCGACGGTGAGGCGCTTCGCTGAGCAGATGGAGGAGATGAATGGGAGTGCGCGCGTGCGCTTCCACGGCACGCCGCTCGCGGTGCACGATCTTTTGCTGGTGTGGGAGGGGCAGGGCATGCGCAAGGAGGTGGAGGCGGCGGTGCGTGATGCGTGGGAGACTGTGGGCGCGTGAGGGCATGTTGATGACTATGAGGTTGGAATTATATAACTAGACGAGAGAGAGCTGGTCCAGAGTGGGAGGTGTTGACAATGATGCTGGAACTGCATGTTCTCTCGATAGTGCTTAGGATGTTCGTGCGAACAAAGACGCTACGTATTGATGATGGTCTGGTTATGTCTCATTCCAAACGCGCAAGTCTTGCATCTTTTTGTTTTTATTTTCGGCGAGTTTAGTGTTTTGGTGCTGTTTTCATCATCTGCGCCAGCTCCCTCTTTGGCCGTCGTCGGCTCCGCAGCCTCGGATGTTCTGCCATCCGATACACGTGCACGTCACTTCAGGCGCCACCTGAGCATCAAAATAAAACCCAACCTTTTCCATTGACCCCTAACGTCCCATACAGAATCCAGTCGAAACCCAAACAGACCAGCATCGCTCGTGGTACATCATAAGCAATCGCGTGCAAGTCCCGGGTACGACACCCCACGTTTTTGAGTAATAGCAGTAGTAAGCTGACAGGATGGAAACATGTGACGCGCCTCAACTCCTGTGACCAGAAGAAAACAAAGGACAGAGAAAATAGACTAAAAAAATGCTCGTAGTGCAGACGTCGTGATTCAACTTTCGGAAACCGTCATATCGTACAATAATCCCTTCTACTTGCGACCGAGGATGGACTGCTTCTTGCCGGTGCTGGAAGCGCTGAGGGCTCGCTTGCGGCGGACGGGCACGCCTTGGGCCTCGTTGCCTCCCTTGGCGCGGACTCTGCCGTGGTGTTAGAAAGAAGGAATTTTTCTCTCTTTTTTCTCTTGGCAAAAACTAGACGAGATGTGTATGCGCTTCGACGCACAGGTGGCCAGCTCAATAAAGCAAAGGGAAAATACTTACTCGGACTGCAACTTGGCAATACGAATGCGAGTGAGGATACGGTGCATCTCGTCCATGGCGAATGAATTTTGAAGGGGGAAGAGGAGCAGGTAAAATGTAGGTAGGAAGAGAGAGTAATAATTATTAAAATGTGTAAAAAGTACGACTTGATCAGCCACTCCCGCGAGCAAAAGGGGAGGCGCCGGGTCCTTTTGAGCAAAACATCAGCACACTCAAGCAAGCATCACATGCTTCTCTACTTATAACGTTAGTGTGCCAAGTTGACACGAATCTTGACTGTATGTAATATTGCAAAGTGGCGACGTAGTTAGCGCCGCACCATGACACCCCCCCCAGCGTCCACTTCCTGGGCGGCGTTCACCTAAAGTGTGTCCCGTTTTCCCATTTGTTACGACGTCGGAAAGTAAGAAGAGCAAACGACTCATTCCAGAGGCTCATTGTAACCCCCCTTGTTTGTCAGAGCTTGCGGTATGAACCTAGACCGTGCGCCTCGCGTCCGTGCCTCTTCGACGCAAGTGCTGCCACACACCCCTCTCCGCCTCCGTCGTTTCTGCAAGCCCTTTTTCTGGTTTCCCCCTCTCCCCCGCAAATGAAACTCGGGTCTCTTTGACGCTAAACCAGGGCCGGTAGGGACCGGCGAGCCACCGGGGGAGCGTCGCCATTGCGGGATGCGGGGGTTGACTCCATATTGGGGAGCGGCCCGCGTGATGACGAGGGAAAATCGATAAATTTTTGCGCATCTGCGTGCTTTGCGCCAAATAGATCCATCGTATTGCGGCACTTATTGCCCCATTGCAAGATGGCGTGCATGCTATCTGAGTATTTACTGTGGCATCATGGCTGCATGTGGCTGACGTCCGTTGTACAAGTTGAATGCAAATCGCTTGACTCGTGCTGTCACGGAACAAACCATTGTTAGACACCGGCATCAGCGTGAGCTTCAGCTGCGGGGTCTACCCGGTATTCCAGCGTGTGCTCGTCCGGATCCCAGGCCAGCACCCTCGTCTGCGTCTCGGCCATTTTCCTCTCCACAAACGAGTCCATGGCCGCGCGGGTCTTCTCATCCAGCAGCCCGAGCCTGCGTCTCCAAGCATCGCCCGCGTCGTCCGGCCCGCCCTCGAGCGGACCAAAGAACCGCGCGTCAAGCTCCTTCCAGTACACGCAGTCAAACGCGAAACCCTTGCGCGCCGCGTACACGGTCCAAAACTCGCCGTTGGCCCAGCTCGCGCCCATCCTGCCCGACAGGCGCTGGTCCTCGGTCAGCCTGCCCGCGGCCATGCAGGCATCCTCCTCCGCGGCCATGGCTGCCAGGAAGACGGGCAGCCGCTCGTTGTACGCCGCGGTCCAGCTGTCGAGGCCCGCGCGCCACTCCTCGGGCTGCTCCAGCAGCAGCCACCAGGGCGGCGCAAAGGAAAACTCGCTGGGCGCGGCGTAGCTAAACTCCCAGTCGATCACGGCCACGATCTGGTAGTTGCGGTCGAGCAGGATGTTGGACGGCCGCAGATCGTCGCACCAGAGCTTAAAGGGCCCGCCGTCATGCGTGGCCGGCAGTAGTCGCTTCTCGCCAGCGAGCTTGCGGAAGAGATGGCGCGCAATGTACTTCTTCTCGCCGTCGGCCCTCGAGCTCACGACGTCGTTGCGCTGCGCCGCGAGATGGTCCATGTGCAAGGTGGCCAGGCTTTCGAGGTACTCGGACGAGCTGCGGAAAACCGTCGTCGGCAGTTTACTCTGCGGAAATGTGCCGATCCGGACCAACTCATTCATCGGGAGTGACAATGGCCGGCGCGTCACGTCCCATTTCCACTCTTCTGTTTCTTCAAGGGCACCTATCAATGGAAACTCCAACTTGGAAAGCTGAAGGAGGATTTTTGCCATCTGCCCGTACAAAGACTCCAGTAATGCCTTGTCCACATCTGGATTCAGTATAGGCCGGTCGTCTCTTGTGAGACCAGGGGTGTTGAGCGCGTCAATCATGTCCATGGCATGGTTCACATACTCCATAATAATAAAGGGACCGATATTGAGCGGGCTCTCCTCCCGAGTACCCCAGTGATGAACAAAGGGAACCGGAATGGTCGTGTTGTCCTGGATGAACCTCATTGTTGCTACCTCCTGCTTGATCTTCTCCTCTGGAAACATGGTTGCGCCGGGCTTCGTAAAGCGTATCACGGCGGAGCCGCCATCCATAAACTTCATCCTAAACAGCGCGTTGAAGCCGCCCGCCTTTGGCTCGCAAAGCTCCGTGGGCACGCCCTGTCGGTGTTTAGCAACGAAATGACCAATGGCCCTGAGGGTTGATTCCTCGAATAGGGAGTGGCGCCAGACGCGCTCAACGCGCTCGCTCTCTTCCCAGGCGACATCGTCGCCTCTCATCACCATATTGTCAAGCTGCTAGTTTTGTTCTTTGCAACAAGTGAGGGGAACAGCAATGGGTACGCAGGCAAAATGTTTGAAATGGATGGAAGGAACGGAAGGGGGGGGTAACTACCTGTGTTGTTTGCCTTGGGCGCTTAATAACAGGGGGGGACTGCAAGTCAGATCCACTCTGACCTCTGACGAAACTGATTCGACACGTCCTACGGCGCTTATTAATGCCTCTTGGCGTCAGACGGACGAGGGGACATTGGATGCTCAGTGCCCCAACATCCCAACAGATGACTTGCTCTAGACATGGAATAGATATACTCTGTTCCTCTTGAATGAACCAGAGACCATTTAACAATCAATGTATTAAGAAAAGTGTAAGAGAAATAGTGTCAGTAGACAGTGGTAGTAGAGAAACGAAAGAAGAAAGAAGAAAGAAACCCGCACTCTATCGGCAAACATCATGAACACCACCCACCATCAGCACCGCCTGCCCATCGCGCCCCCGCGTCATTTACCCCTAAAAGTCTTCCGAACGAGATAAAGATACTGTCCATAAATAAAGAAAAAGAAAAAGAACCTCACTTGGAGCCGTAGCTCCTGTAGTTGTTCATCTGCCGCCATCTGTTCTGCTGCGCAGACTGTCCAGCCCTGTTCAGGAGAGTCTCCTCGGCCGCCGAAGGAAGACGGATCGCCGCCGGCCCCTTGCAGCTAGAACCGACGCGCTGGGCCTGCATAGCTCTGCCGTACGCCGAAGACGGCTGCCCGCTGCCCTGGCCAGTTCCGGTCCGCTTGTTGGATGGCATGGCGGCGGTCGCGTGCGCTCAGGAGTCTGAAAGGGCCGGGTCGGCGCGGGTGGTGAAGGACGCCGGAAGACAAAGGCAAGCTGTCATGAGCTTGAGAGGTTGAGGAGGTGGTACTGTATGTGTATGTAGTGGAAGTTGTTGGTGAGAGGCCTGACATACCACAGGGCGGATGAGGGAAGACAGCAGCTTTTTGTCCTTGCATGGCTACTAGCTAGAGTCAGCTCTGTAAGTGTAGATGGTACTGAATCAGAGTGAACATGGATCTGACTCCAAAAGTGGCCGACAAAGAATCGGCACCCGCAAATGTTGGCGATTGAGTGATGTTGCACGTCGATCGCCATCTACGAGGCAAGAAGAGCGTGTGCCCAAGTGGTCAATAGCTGGAAATCGAGACTTCTCCCACAATTTGACAATGAAACTGATTCACAGAGCGGATGGCCCACAACGAGGTCATACGTGAATCTGTAGGGGCCAGGATGAGAGTTGAGGTTCGACGAACTCCGTTTGGCGTCCCTGGGCGACTGTCGGGCGGATCCTGCATCAACGCAGAGTGACGGGCATGATGTGCTGAATAAGTCGGCGGCGCGTCAGAGTATCGACTGCTCTTTGTGTTGGTGAGGGCCAATTGTAGCACGGTGAATCCGCCGTGGCGGGTGCTTGCGGCCTGAGATTGAGGACAAAGGATGCCGGATGCAGCATCGATCCGGCTCTTTCACAGACCAAGTCCAAGGGATTTTGACGTGATTCATTGGACTTGTTCTGCTGCCATATCAGTCACAGAGAGTACTCCCAGGTCCGGTTGCTCACTATAAAACATCTGCTGCCTCGCCTCTATAATCCGCATAAAATCCCCTCCCGCCATCGGATGTGCCATCAGCCGCTGCGTCTCCCGCGCCACACCCATCATCTTACACAACCGCACGCACGCGCGATCCTGCCGCCGCACTGCCTCCTTCCGCACCCACCCCCCATAACCGCGCTTGTTGGCACCCTGGCGCGCTCCGAACCGCGGCGTGCCAACGCCACGGCGCCCAGTCGGGCTGCTGGGTGCCGAGCGCGTGCATGGCTTCGAGGGTGTCTTGCTGTTGTGTGAGCAGGGAGTGCTCGATGTTGATACTGATTCATAATGTGCTTGTTGTATGCAGTTGCCGCTGGTACTAAGACTCGACTGCCGACTTGACTGCGTTGACCAGACTCTGCTTCGACGGGACCATGGCCAGCCGAGTTGTCGCATTTGTCGCGACAGACTTGTAGCCACGTTATCTGGGTTCTTGGTCTCGTGGGTCCATGGTTTGCCGATACCGCGCAGGGATCTGTAAATGGTGAGAAGCTTCCGCATCCAGTTTTGTAGGGACAAGTTGTTTGAATGCATTACAAAGTTGTATATTCACTACTCCAGAAAATTCCTAAAAACGACCGAGGTTCGCCCAACCAAAGGGGACCATTTTTCTATACATAGCGTTCGGAACACATTAAATTCTGCTTTCTGCGCCAACTGTTTCGAATCAGTTCAACTGCAAGACCAATGAAGTAAATGAGAATGCTGAAATGACGATGCGGTTATATGTGTGTCTCCGGATAGGAGCGCTAGATGCAGGCAAAACACTGGGCTATTGACCTTTGCTCTTGGGCCCTTCGTGGTAGTGGGCCATTTCGAGACCGGCGCGGCGGAAGCCGCACTTGAGATAGAAGCCCTCATTCTTCTCGCTGCAGTCGAGAATGGTCTTGTAGCAGCCGACGTTGGCGGCGACGTAGTCGAGCGCCTGGATGAGGCGGATCCCAAGCTTCTTGCCCTGCTGGTCCTCCGCAACGGCAATATCTTCAATGTGGCCGACCTTTCCGAGTGAGTGGATGCTGCACGTACTCAATTAGCAAACGCATCCCCCTCCACGATGCCCCGTGAACGGATCGACGTACAACTTGCGCTCCACAAACAGCGCGCCCGTGGCGACGACGGCGTTTTCTGTGCGGGCAGCGTCCTCGATGACCATGATGAAGTAGGACCCCGGGTGGGCCTGCATCTCGTCGTACCGGCGCTGGAAGTCGGCCTCGGCAATGTCGCCGACGGTGGTGAGGACGCGCAGACAGTCGAGGTAGCCCGAGGCGTAGTCGGAGCGGCGCAGGGCGCGCATGCGGTAGCCCGGGGGCAGGGTGGCGGCGACGTCGGCGGCGACGAGCTTGTCGGAGAAGAGCCCCGGGTCGGGCATGACGACCGGTTGGGAGTTGAGCAGGATGGCGGGCGACGACGGCATTGTGTGAATGTGGTGGGAGGAGAGAGGGCGGGTTGTTGGAGTCGCGGGGGGGTGTGGTGATGGGTTCGGGCACGCACGGCGAGGGACGATGTCGGTGTGGGAGGAGAGAGGTAATCAAGAGATGGCGCAGGTAATTTAGCAAAAACGAATGGACTGTATAGAGAGAGTTGGAGGATTAAGGATGAAAGATCAAAGCAAAAGAGACGAGCATGAAATGGCAGGGCGGCTGGGCCGTTGTCCAACTTTAGTACGAGGCCCGGTTTCGGGATAGACGCTGCAGTGGCTGTGCTTCTGGCAGGTCAGCTAAGAATAGGGTAGCGCGGATGCACACAGCTGCAAGGCTGCTGATGCCCCTAATTATTGTAGCCCCAGCAACAACTCTCCACTTTTAAGCTCAGCTGCGCCTCAGGGACCTGCCCAACCTGCTTTCAGGCTGTTCCAGCCTCTCCAGCCACTAGAAGCATCCGTCGCGCCCACGACTGGCACTAACTTATTAGCGGTCAAATGTTTATTTCTGGAAACAGTGCTCCGAATAATTTCTTATGACGTTGATCCAGGCACGAGTGATCGTATTCCTAGCAACACTGAACCTTTTTTGCTCTCCGTTTCGGAAAACGGGCCGCACAATGCCGGTCCTCTGATCCAGACACCCTGGAATATCGAAAAATGTTTTCATTGCTGCCAATTACAGCCAGAAGACAGACAGCCTTAGGTACCATGTACTACCTAGGTGTACCTAACCTATAGCCCGGCTACTGTACTGAGGAAGCTGGTTGTAAGTGGTTACCAGCTTGGCAGCTCAACACCTCCGCAGTACCACTTTCTTGAAAATACGCGCACGCTCACCGATCTCCTGACCGCATGTAGGAATGTTCCCTCAGGGGTGGTCGTGTGCTACCTACCACTTGGTGCTGCCTGTTAGCGAGTAACACGCCAGAAAGTGGCGACAAACGACTCCATCGCAATCGTCTCTGTGCTAACTACTCTGTAGATCAGTGCTAAAAATGCTAGTGCGATAATAGCCGCGTGGTTTCATTCAAGAAGAGATTAACTTGTCAAAAGTATAATTAAACGCTGCATTCCAGCGATCCTGATTCATAATAGATGCATGCCTGCACAACCACGTGTGTTTTGCCCTTTCGATTGCTAGCGCACCCACCGTACATGCACAGTGCGCTTACTGTGGTGGTACTGTATTGGCAGCTGCAACTCGAATTTACAAACTGGCAAGCCCGTCACCCAACGCAAGCTCCCGCTCTACAACTCTACAAAATCTGCAAAAACTTGATACCCATCATCCCCATCATCCCCATCCATCTTCATCTCATCTTCAAGATGCAATCTTGCGGCGCGTGCCGACAGGTACCGTTGTGGGTGCCTGTTGGCGCCACTGCATTCTCTATGCCGCGCCATGGTAGTGTTTTCACATGCTTGCCTCCCTTTTTGATTGGGCAAATAACAACATTTCCATACTTTCGACGCACCCGACTCGCATAATTCGCCACGTTCCTGGCTTCCTGCTAATCTCTTTTACCATTTGACGTGACTTGTTTCATTTTTGATCTTCTTTGCTTTCACCATTTTGTCCCATCTTCTTACCCCGGCCCAACTTCTCTCATTCAACATCTGCGCCCATGACATGGCCAATACCACCTAGCCGGTACAACGCATTTACAGTCTCACCTCGCACCCATGGCCCGCGATGAACTACCAGCCCACAAGCCCGGTCCGACACTGCTTCCAGGACCGATAGCGTCGACTGTCAGTCTCGCGGCGCGCTCAACATCCCTTGCCATTCGCCTCGGGTCTTTCGTCGGTGGATATGGACTCGACGCTGCGCGTTTCACAACTTTGTCCAGTCTGGAGCTGGCCCGCGGCCTGGTCGAGGTCGTCCTCACACGCGCCGGAAAAGACACGCTGGACCATGCAAAGAGCAGCCTGGCTGCTGCAGACGCCGAAAATGTACTTGAACGCAGCTTGGAGGGTCTTCACTACGCAGTCATTCAAGTCGCCTTTTGGACCTCAGCCAGCTTTCGCTTGACCGGAACCACTCTCTCCTTGGCCTCAGGCTCGTCGCAACTTCTCCTTTCGTCCTTAGATAAGCTCCTTGGATCGACAGACTCTTCTCGTGCTGTTGCCAGCATCATAACTCTCATACGCCGCGAGTTCCGCAACCCGGTGACGGGCACCAAGGGTGAGCGCGTCGGCGTCCTCGACTTGATGCTGGCTCTCAGTGCCCTGGCATATCTGCAACAAGCCTGTCGCAAGTTGCCCGAGGAAGAGGCCCGCAAAAAATCCTTTGAAGAGGTCATTTGGGATGTAGTTGTGCTCAACGATGGCGACCGCGTTGACGTTGACGAGAAAACGGCTCTGCAGCGCGGCTATGCGCCAGCGTTTGGCCAAGATGCCTCTAGGCGAGACTCTTCAGACGACGAGGAAGCTTTGGCGCACTTGAAGAGTCACGTCGCAAAGTCTCTCCCACCCGAAGCAAAGGTGACCATTTCCAACTCTGTTACAACCGTGCAGACCATTACAGTCGAAGTGGAAGGGTGTCTGCCCATTTTACCGACTCCTCTAGGGGCCGAGATCATTGAGACTACTACGCCAGTCTCTAAATCGAAACGGCTTTCCTATCCAGGACACGACAACGATGGTCCTTATCGAGTCGTTTACAGAATAGAACGCGATAAATTTCGCGCCATGACTCTGCAGGGAGGCGATGAGGCAGAAACGGGCTCCATCCTTGGCGAAGTTGAGAGCGACAAAGATTCTCCTTCTACGCCAATGCAATACGATCCAGCGACTGGCATATTTGTGCCCGTAGTAGCTCCTTCGCCTCCCCCAAAAGCTGCCGAAAGCCCCAAGCCAGAATCACCACCAGTTTCTCCCGACGCTGAAAAGGAGAACCAGATACCAAAGATCACCGAAACACGCAAGGCCGAGCCTACTGCAAACCAAAAACGGCAGAGACAGCCTGCTCCTACAGCGGTGCTGGGGAAAGCAACCTCGCCAACGACCAGAAAGCCCGTTTCCAAAAAGAAGGCAGACAGCGTCGGCCGCTCCGCAGACAAGAAGCCAGGACTAAAGCAGGTTTTCAAAGACGGAAGCCAGTCCATCTCCAACATGTGGAACAAAGACGGCAACGAAAATGTCCCAAGACCAAAGCAAGGAATTACTACCAGCAGTCGTGCTGAGTCTTCCCAAAAAGTCACGGCACTGCACAATCGTCCCACCAAAGCCTCACAGGAACGGTCCATTGCCAACCGAAGGTCGCTCGTAACCCCAGAGCCATTGCGTCGAAGCTCTTCTCGTACCAGCTATATTTCGCTTGCCGACAGAAGACAGACCATATCATCCCAGGGCGGCTACCCAGTCATCAAGGGCGGGATGGCGCCATCCTCGCCAACTTTTATAAAACATGATTCGCCACTACCGCAGGAATCTGCTATTCGATCGCGGCGAGGCTCACTTCTCAGTGCCAATACTCCGGCTTCCCCAATGCGAGGTCACCGACGCAGCGGATCGCACGCGCCCAGCATATACAGCCTCGGAACAAACGATTCGCAAACGTCTCTTGTTCTGTCTTCGTACTATAAAAAGAGCACTTACAACGCCGCAGACGCCTTGCACACCCTGCGCAAAGAAGGTTTCGTGGACGGCACATTCCCAGAAGGTCACCTGCTACCCAACATTACCAGATATATGCGCTTTTCATCCGCCTGCTACGGATCTCATTTTCTCAAGTTTCTGGGCATCTCCAATGACATGCCGAAATTGACGAGCTGGGATGGAACACATGAAGATGTGCGCCATTTTGCTCATCACACCGAGTCCAACGCCGGAAATATCCTCCTCGCGTCGTTCGTTGATCTCCAGGGAGGAACTGACTCGACTGGGGCTACTGGCACTGGCGTGCCTCTCGTTCACTACATTTCTCTCGATCACGAAGCCAAAGCTGTCGTTCTGGCCTGCCGCGGCACACTGGGTTTCGAAGATGTCCTGGCTGACATGACTTGCGACTACGACAACCTTGTCTGGAAGAAACGCTCGTATAAAGTGCACAAGGGCGTGCATGCGTCCGCACGTCGCCTCCTCTACGGTGACGACGGTCGCGTCTTGGTCACCCTCAAAGAAGCACTAGCTGAATTCCCCGACTATGGCCTAGTACTTTGCGGTCACTCCCTCGGAGGCGCTGTAACAGCTCTCCTTGGTGTCATGCTAGCTGAAGCAAATCCAAACGGCCCAGGCTTTGTCACCGCCCCCGAGGCCGCGTTCAAAAAGATGCTCAGCGATGGGACTTGCCAAGACCACAAGCACGGGAACACCTTTATCCCAGCCGGACGCCGCATCCACGTCTACGCCTACGGCTCGCCCGGTGTCATGTCCCCAAAGCTCCGCAAAATCACCCGCGGTCTCATCACCACCGTCGTGCACGGGGATGATCTTGTCCCGCATCTCTCCCTCGGCATCCTGCACGACTTTCAAGCTCTCTCATTCGCCTTCAAGGACAAGGAGAACGCGACCAAGGCCGATCTCCGCAGACGGATGTGGGCTGCGTTCCAAAACAGCCTGTCTGACGCGTGGCACAGTGGCAACGAGGCCCGAGAGGTCCCCGGCAACGACGACGACAAGTGGATGCTCCCGGCGCTGGCGGCGCTGCGCGACAACTTTACGTGCGACCGACTCGTGCCGCCAGGTGAGGTGTTTGTGATTGAGAGCTACCCCGTGCTCCGGCGCGAGGCGTTTCTGCTCAACGGCGAGGGCCTTCTTGGACGACCAGCGACCCGAGTCATCTTGAAGTATGTGCGCGACGTGGAAACGCGCTTCCTGGAGCCACGTTTCGGCACGAGCATGTTGACGGATCATAGCCCGGCGAATTATGAGAATGCCTTGAATAAGATGAGATTGGGCGTTGTGGACTGAATGAATGATGATATATTTATACGACATGAGCGTTTAATTTGACCGATACCATATATACAATCTTTTTCCAATAGTACATTTTTATACATGACCGTTTTCATTGTTAGAAATCCTGAACACCAGTCTCCCCTTGCAACGGCGCCTTGTCGTCGGCCCGCGTCGGCCGCTCGTCATCAAACCACTGTTGCTCAGCCTCCATCCTCGCCAGGTCGTCATACGCCTCATTTCCATCCACGTGCTCGTAGTCAAAGTCTTCATCCCGGCCGTGGACGAAGCGATGGGTCAAAAACAGCCGCCACAGGTCTCGGCCGTGCGCTTTGTCCGCGGCCGGCTGCTCCCACATCTCATCGATGCCAGTGGGCGATGGCGGCGACGGCGCGTGCAGATGGAAGAGCTTGGTCTCGCCACGGACGAGGTCCGCTTCGAGCGTGCGGCCATAGCCTTTGGCCCGGCCTTCGGATTCGCGCTCGGTGGCGGACTGGTGCCGCCGAACGAGGCGCTCGTACAGGACGGGGTCTGTTTTAGCGGGCAAAAGAAGTGTGAATCGAAGGAGGTCAAGCGAAACGGAGAGTACAGTTCATGGGTTAGTACGCACCGGCTAGCTCGTGCTCGATGCTATCAAAGTAGGCGGGGTGGCGGAGGAGGTACTCGCGCCGGCGGTTCTGGATCTGCACTTGCGCGCTGTGGGTGGCGGACTTGTGGTGTCGCGGCACGGGCTTTTCTGCGGTGGGCTGTATGGGGTCGGTAGTGGGAAGCGAGGTGTCGGCAATTGATGAGGGCATGACGATGGCTACTGTGTGAGGTGAGGTGATGTTGATGGGCAGCGGTGGGTGGATGAAGGTGGGGGACGGTGGGGGAACCCGATAAGTTGTGCCAAGTGATGAACGGAGCCATTGTTATGGAGTCGGAAAGGACATTCGCACAAGTAACTAAATTTGCAGGAAAACAGTAAAAGAAAATTGTCAGTTCTAGAGGAATATTCCTTTCAATTTTCTTCGCCTGGTCACCTCGCTAGCCTTGTGGCTTTGTTTGCAGCAAAGACTGGTTACTGCCTACCCTAAAGAAACGACGCTGTGGAACTGAATCTGGCGGAAAAACACACCACCATGATGGTTAGCCACACTCCGGCGCGACTGCCGAGTGCGTTCTTTACCGGACCTTGTTTCACATCCTACAATAGCTGCCTGCCTTCTCGCATCCATCCGACGTCGCTATCTTGTCGCTCCTAGATTGTTTACCGCCCCCCTTCCATCCCATCGAGCAAGGTGAGCAAGAGCAAGCAAGGTGTAAGTGAGGAGTAAAAAGTGCAACCCCTCCTCGCCTCCTGCACGCCGGGCGTTTTCTCGGACAGCCACCATTTCATTTTTTTTTGTCAAACCATACACGCACTGAGCCATCCATACATTTCATCATCGGGACCAGACAACGAAAAACACGCAGGGTGCTTCCGAAACCCTTTCTTGTTGCTTTCGATATGGCTGAGCCTGCCAGTGCCCACGTGCAAATGATGCAGAAACGACTGCACGCGGCCGCTTCCCAGCTCGAGACCCGGTACAAGGACATGCCGCATATGCTCAACCAGGTTGCCGACGCAAAGCTGTGCGTGCAGGAATATATTGCCGCGTACGACGAGGGCAAGCCCTTCTTTCCGCGGGACATGATGGCGAGCTTGGATCAGCAGATTGATGCGCTGCGTCGGCGGGACGCGGCAGAGACGGACGACGACGCCATCGTCACGCTCACGGATGTGACTGGGCGCAGTGGTAGCTGGCCGCTGAAGCCTCCAGGCGGTTGTTCAGAGGAAATGTCGGTGTAAGTGGCAATCTTGTTACAAAATCGGCAGTTCTGCTCCCCCAAAGGAACCAGAGTTTGGCTACATTTTTGACCATTGGTCCATGTTCTGACACAGACAAACACACAATCTTTTAGCGACACCTACATTATCCTCTACAATACCCACCAGAAAATGACGCACATGTCGGTCAAGTTCCCCGAAAACATGCTCGGGTCCAACGTCCCCGTGCAGCTCGGCTGGACCCGCGCCGGGACGCCCTCTGGGTGGCCGCTCGATGACCTCGCGGACGTTTTCCGGACGCACCAGGCCTCCTGGCTCGCAAGCGCCGACTGCGCGTCCCTCGTCGACATCCTAGCCGCGTCCGCCACGACGCCCATTCGCAAGATTGTCTGCTTCGGCCTCGGCCGCCTCGACGACTGGGAGAAGCGAACACGCGAGGACCTCGCCGACTCTACGAAACACGCGGCCGTGCAGCACGCTGCGGCGCTGACCATGGCCGAGGTGCTGGGCCGCGCGCAGGGCCTCCCTGGGGCGCTGCCCTGCTACGCGCAGGACCCCGCGTATGCGGGTGTCGAGAAGCAGCTGCTCGCGGCGTTGGGCTTTGTTGTGCTCGCGGACCCCAAGGGCTTTCTCGAGGTTGACGCCGACACTCTTGTGCTGAGCGTTGCGCCTAACGTGCCCGTTCAGCAGATTGTGGCTGATATGGGCTGGCCGGCAGCCATGGTGTGGAACACGATTGCCATGGATCGAGAGGATGAGAGTCATAGGGACTATGAACTGATCAACGACGAGCATGGTGAACTTCGCTGCTGGTGAGTTAGTCCCATTTTCCCTCCCCACCCCTGTTTTTGTTTCTGCATATACCACTGCTGTGTTTTGCTTCTTCTTTTTGTCTTGTATTCTCAACTGCTTTGCCACGGAGAATTGGTGACAAACGCACGGTACTGACCAGAAGCATAGTCCTTGGTCGACAGACGAGGGCTCGACCCGGGTCACGGAGATGGCGCGGCACTATACCTGTATTCCATTTCCGGGAGACCCTTCCACCAACAACTTTGGACAGGTAAGCATTTACCTTAGGAATAAACTGCCAGTAAACGGCAGCCATCTTGGACCGGGGAAAGAGCCAAAGTAAAGTACGCTGAACTCGAAGCGGCAATGTCTACTCGTATATATATCCAGAATAGGAGTATATTATCTCATTTTGCTTCATTCTCGGGAGAGTAGTCATTACATCCTCCACCTGCCCGTAGTTCCTTGCCACGAGGTCCTGCAAAGTATGCTATTGAAGCGGCTCTCAAGCGGCTCAGGAATTTCACAGAGCCAAATCAACTCACAGCTAATACAGAAATTGCGCTGAATCTGTATGACAGAACACAACCGATCTGGTCTTGACTTGACTGGTCTTGAGGCGGCCTCCGTGTTGAAGACTTAGGGTTAGGGTCGAAGCTGACTCCCCTCGATCACGTAATTCTGCATCGACAACGAGCAGCAGTCGCCTGTGGTATGGCCCCCCGAACAGCGGCGATCCCGATGAGCGATCAGACGGCGTCGCTGCCAATGCCCGCTCTGTGCCCGGTGGTTCCCACCCTGCGCTCAACTTGGGGTGTCAGCCTCGGGCACACGTCGTTTTATCAGCAAGGGTGGCTGTTGAGCCTGATTGGCATGACTCAAGTCTCGGATGCTTCTCAGAACGCCAACTATAGGAAGTTGAATGTGGTAGTGACCCCAACTTTGTGAGCTGCGGTGCCGAGTTATCCTCGTGGGGAGGTGGTGGTGACCCTCGATCACCAGCAGCCCTCGAGTATGCATTCATGGCCCGCCCAGTATTGATTCAAACGGTTGACAGAACGGGCTTGACCCTTGACGGTCGGCGTGGCTCAAGATGGCCTACATGAAGACGGGTTTTTTGCCTGGTCTCAAGAGAACGCGCCCTAGTTAGCCCCATGACAAGACGTCGGACAAGTCCGCCGTCTTGGCAGAACTTGGCACAAGAGATCAGTCCGGCCGAAGTGGCCAAGGCGCATTTTGGTCAACGACAAATGCGAGAGAGCGTGCGTTGGGAGCGAAATAGTCAAGTCATCGTGGCGGTGAAACAGAAAAAACGCCACGTCGCCGAGGATATAGCTCACATATTACCGGTCTTGAACTGGTCTTGACGTCCTGTTCATCCGCGCGCCGTGAGGAACGATCAGTTTATGCAGCGTTGTCTGCCTCGCGGCCAAATGTGGCGTGCACACCAAAAGTCGTCGCGTTGCATTAGCGTGCAGGAAATAGTAAACGCCCATGTATCACAGACGCGGCGCCGGCCTTCTTTTTTTTTGTTGGATTTTTTTCTGCAAAGAAAAAACATGTCAGAAATCACATTTCTTTCCCTGGCACACGGTCCCTGGATCAAGCCACGGTTGTATTACCGCACACTGGTTGGCAGAAAGGTGGTCGTTGTCTGGCGTCGCACCGCATCGCTCAACGTCGGGGAGGGCAAAGAAGGCAACCAAGGGGGCAAGTAAAGAAAGGCGCCCGCAAAAAAAGGCCTGCAGGATGCATGTTTCATCCGCACAGAGTGGCAAACTTTTTGACCTCAATCTGATTTCTCGGTCCGACAGTCTGGTCTGATGGGCCGCTGTGCGACGAGCGACGAGGGTCGACAGACGACGAAACAGACGACCGTATCCGTATCCAATATCTCTCTGAAGCTGCGCACATGCCATAAATACCCATGCTATCAAGAGCCTGAATCGAGATTGAACGGACCAGTCAGGGCGCTCTCATTGGCGCGTGTGGGCGCGCAAGGACCCTTCCGTCGCCCTGTTCAGTTGGTTGGCCCTTTGCACACCCTCATAGAGACCCTTGCACACTGGCCCGTGAATGTGATGGACTGTGTGATTCTGCCTGGAGGCGGCGCATGCAGGGGTCTCGAGTAAAACGGTCGTGGGAATTGGGCAACCCCGACTTGGCGACCAGGCTTGCGTGTTGCGTGTGTGCTGTCACTGCTGTGCGATGCTGGTCACAACCATGCCAGGCCGGAGACTCGGGATGTTTCTTTCGTTCATCGAAGCCTCTGTGAAGCTAGTTAGCTTGCCTTCTCTGACTGATAATGCGACATGTGGCACTGCATGCGCCTGCATTTCTTGTCTTTGTTGCCTTCTTTATACTTTTTACACGGCGCAGCTAAGCTGCATGGCTAGCCGAGCCCGGCTGAGTCGCGCGGGCTGTTTGTCTCCAGAGTGGCAGGCCCAATGTTTCGTTTCGTTTGGTGGCGGCTGTTTTATACTTTTGTTCTTTGACTTCATCTCATCTTCTCTTGCTTCTCTTTTTCCCTCTGTCGATTCCAACAGCAAAAAAAACATACGGCCCTTGGTCTTACAGCGAGTTCGGTCGCCTGTCATCTCGGGATGAGGCCCGGTCTGAGGTCGTGCATCAAATCCAAACTGTCCCTTCGTCGACGCAGTGCCATGTCTGGTGTTTCGAGCAGCTCATCGACGAGCGGGCCGGTCGAGGAGGAGGTCGAGGAGATTCTGTCGAGCGTGAAGCAACAACACCTACACCAAGATCAGTCACAAACAGCGCAACAACAACCCAGGAGCCAGATCGAAATCAGCAGCATCAGCCAAGCAGAGGTGCCAGCATCCAGCTCACCTTTGCCAGCAGAATCACGAACAGCAACAACGTTGGATGCCACACCATCCACCCCCCAGCCGAAGTCGACACTAGGGTTGAAGGCCGTTGAAGCTGGGGTCGAGAGTGCTAAATCTGGGCCGGAAGACGCTGGAGCTTCCGCGGCTTCCTCATCGTCAGCAGCTCGGGCCACTGAAAAGAGTGCTGTATCCACTGGGGGATCCGCTGCAAGATCCGCTGAAAGTCCCAATGTTGGGGATCCGGACTGTTCGACTTCAACGTCTTCCACTACAACATCTCTGGCGCATTCCTCTTCGCCTTCAGTGCTCGTCTCACCACCTCCTGGAGCAGCCTCTCCAGCGCCTTTATTAGCAGCCTCCCCAGCGCACCCGCCCGTTGAATCCCCCAGGCCAGGCCCTCAGTCAGCGCCCCGCTGTAGTGCCGTCGACGGCCAGATTCTCCACCACCAGCGCCTCAACCTCCAGGACCGTCTTCAGCGTCTCGCAGAGCACGATCCTCTCTACTACGATCCCGCGCTGCTCCTTTCACCATCCGCCCGCGACAAGCACAGTCCCGGCTCCCGCTTCGCCACGCCGACGCTACACAGCATCTTTGAAAACTTCAGCACCGAGCCTTTTCGCAAATTGCGGCCCCCCGAGCGCTTTCCCGGCGAGCACGGCGACCCCTACACAGATCCCCGAGTCCACCCTCTCCACGCCCCCATTTGCGGCGCCTCCTCCTCCTCAACTCCCGCAACATCACCACCACCCGCACCATCAACTTCGACGCGTAGCCGCATCAACCCGTCATTCACAGCCGCTGCTGATTCGTCCGCCACGCCACTCTCTCGTCCTCCCGCCGCGCCTCGGCGATCCAGTGGCTCCGGCCCTGCCATCCGTCAGGTCAGAACGTCCCGCAAGGCGCACTTTGTCCTCGATCCTGCCCCCGAGTTTGGCGTTCCCTCACCTCCCACCATGGCCAACTCACGCAAGATTTGGGTTCGCCGCCCCGGCGCCTCGCCTACTCTCATCACCATATCCGAGGATGATCTCGTCGACGATGTCCGTGATACTATCCTCCGCAAGTACGCCAATACCCTGGGCAAGACGTTTGACGCTCCTGATCTGCATATTCGCCTCTACCCTCGCGACCAGAAAGACCGCCTGCTGCAACCCGACGAGCACATGTGCCGCACCCTCGATAATTTCTATCCCGGAGGTCAGACGGTAGACGACGCCATTGTCATTGATATTCCCCGCAGAACACCCAAGGCCTCACCGCATCCGGCTCAACATGGACACCACTCTCAACATCAGCAGTATCACGTCCCCCATACTGCCGCCGCGATATACTACACCGACGATGGTCGACCGCTGGAGTCTGGCGAAGGCTATTTCCCTCCCGTCGGAGCTCTGCCCTCACCACATATGCCACTCGCTATGCCAGTTGGCGGTCACCAATCACACTCTATCGCCGTGATCGGAACCGGCCACCTCCCTACCATCCCATCTCCCGGAGGGCTACGCCCCCGTAGTCATCGTGAACAGCCTTCCCGCCCCCGCGTCGGTCGCACGCACACAGCTTCATCAGCCCTCAACGCAAGCCATGGTAACTACGGCCACAGTACGCACCCATTTCTACCGCATCTTGCCCATTACCGCGCTCACACAAACTCTATAGATCCTACAGGCATGCCTCCCAGCTTGATTCCCATACCAATGGTATCACCTGGCCGCGAACACATGTATGCTTCCTCCGGCCGGGTCGGCATGTCATCGCCACGGATGCTCGAAACCCGATCCTCGAGCACTCGCGCCAAACGCCGGAAGAATGTAGACTACAACGGCGGTGGCGTGGTTGCTGCGGTACCTCCAATCAGCGTACTTATTGTCGAAGACAACCCTATCAACCTGAAGCTGTTGGAAGCCTTTGTCAAACGCCTCAGGGTCCGCTGGCAAACGGCTACCAACGGACGAGAAGCTGTCAAGAAATGGCGAACGGGCGGCTTTCATTTGGTCCTGATGGACATTCAACTTCCAGTCATGAATGGTCTCGAGGCCACCCGCGAGATTCGCCGACTAGAACGAGTCAACTCGATTGGCGTCTTTTCCTCTGTGCCCACAACGCCCCAAGAGGAGCTTGCCCTCGAGCTCAATGACAAAGACCGTCTTCCAAATCGGGCGCAGTTCAAAGGACCCGTCATCATTGTGGCACTCACAGCCAGTTCACTGCAAAGCGACAGACACGAAGCCCTCGCGGCCGGCTGCAACGACTTTTTGACCAAGGTGTGTACACGTCCCTTATATCCTGTGCTTGCCCGAGCTAACTCTGCAGCCCGTCAATTTTGTCTGGCTTGAGCGAAAAGTAACGGAATGGGGCTGCATGCAGGCCCTCATCGACTTCGATGGCTGGCGTGCCTGGAAAGACTTTGCCCTTGCCGAGGAGGAAGCTAATCAGAAGGCAGCGGCTGCCAAGAACAAGGCTAAGAAATCTCGTTCTTCGCTTGCTGCCGAAATCTAGACCGAACCCTCCCACGCTGTACAAGTTGCACAGATAACTACATACAGCTGGCTACCATTTTTCGGCTCACTCCAGCAAGAATACGAACTATACGTTTTACAGAATTTGAGCTCTTTCACCTAGGGGAGATATGTGGGATTTGAGCATCGTATATTTTCACGTTTTGATATAGGACTTATAACCCTGTCTACAGTTTCATGTAATAGCTCTTGATACCTCGAATGCAATTGGGACCGGCGAGCTACGGGATTTACAACACACATGGTTGTTTTGTAAGCAGTGTCAACGATTTTGCAGGAAGACGTGCCTACTTTGCTACAACGAAATACAACCGAGCACCTTGATGCCTCCCTTTCTTCCCAGTGCCTTTTTTTCTGTGTAGGGCAATGTCGACAGTCGCTAGCGATTGACATCAAGGTGCGCGGAAAATCAAACCGCCGCGCCGCATGCCGGCTCCACTCCACCTAAAACTAGTCGAAGCTCCAAACCACAAATTCTCCAACGCAGGACAACTTCTCAACCAGCATCTACATCAATTGGGGGCCCGTAACATGCTCGCGACCCTTTCTTGTACTCATTTCTTTTTATAATACCTAATCGTTTTCTCTTCTACAGCGTCTTCTTTTGCCAATTCTTTATCATGTCTGCCCGCGTCGGCACCCGCGCGTCGCTGGCCGCCGGCGACGCCCTTCTCCTATCCTCGAGCCGGCCGCGCACCGTACCACCGACGTGCAACCTCCCCATAACCCCGTGCCGCGAGAAGAGCAGCGCCGCGCGCCGCAAGATGTACGCGTGGATACATAGTTCCAAGGGCCAGGTGCTCGCCAACAATAGTGGCCCGGGGACGCTGAGCGGTCAGCCGGACATTCCGTTTCCCAACAACCCGCTGTTTCGCAGCGAAAAGGTCGTCAATGACCCAACCAAGCGCCTTATCTACCAACGGGCCACGCAAGACGGCCAGGCGCTCAAGGCCATTGCGGCGGAGATGGGCTTGGATGTGCGTCGGGTAGCGGCCATTGTGAGGCTAAAGGAGGCACAAAAGCAGTGGACCAATTCGGTAAGTTTGAATTATCATGTTCTCTCTTATGCTCCTATTCCCAATTCCCACATTTGCATGATGAAATTACTTTTTATAAATTTCGATTAGTCTTGAAGACATCAAAATGGTTACACTTTTACGCCTGACTGCAACTTTTCCTCCTACATTGATCGCTTGCGCACACCTGTCAGCATACAATGGCTAACTCGCAACAGGGCAAAAAGCTCGCCGGACCATATGCCAAGGCGGTGCAAGGGCTGCTCCCGAAATGGGGCTACTACCCTGGCGAGCCTCGGCAAACGCCGTTTGAGCCTGTCAACGACATTCACGTGCACCGATACACAATGCAGCAGCTCTTTGTGCCCGTCGCCGAGTCGACTGACTTTACGAGAGAGGACGCCGCCGGCGCCTTTTATGACAACATGTTGTCGGTGGACAAGCGCTCGCCCCAGAGTGGCCTCATCGATATGGAGCGCAAAAACGTGGCCAAAACGGGCTCGCGCAAGACCAACTGGCAGGCGTTCCAGGAAGCCGAGCGCCAGCGCGAGGACGAGTTTGCGGAGCGTCTGGCGGCGGAGCAGGCTGCCGAGGAGGCGGCCACGACGCGCGTCAAGTCGGACCGCTACGAGTTTCGCTTCCGCGAGATGAATGTCGACGACGCGGGCGACAACGGGCGCTCACCCAAGGGCCTAGGCTGGCGCTATGGTGCGCCGCTCATGGACCGAAAGCGAGGTATGATCAAGATTCCCAAGTCGGTGCCGTAAGTGCGCGGCAGAGGGAATACTATTTGTATATATGTAAAAACGGTTGGCGAGCAAGGCTTTGTATATTAGACCTGTACAACATGTGAATGGTTTCACAATATACCGTTATTTTAACAAACTACAGGCTTGATAAAGCGACGGTGCCACATCATATCAGCCGAGTTGATTTCAGTGGTGCACATGCCGTTTCCTTTTGTGCTCTACGACCTCGAGGCCGACAGACATATATATCAATGCGAACCAAACCTCACCTCGCTGGCTGCCCAACTTGGCAGTTCGATTGTCTGTCTTTGTTGGCACATCTATGCTGCATTGTACTGTTGTATCCATTCTGCAAGTCAAAAGTCAGACTACGGTCCTTCCCACCGACCACGTGGCTTGCACAGAAGACTCACTTTTGCAACTGTCATTTATTCTCCCGAGTGACTGGCTCTGGCTCGCACACCCAAAGCAGTAATTCCATCGAAGTGATGTGCAGCGCCTTTTGCGCTAGCACACCAGTAAGAGATGCCGGTTCTCTCTACTTCACGATTGGACTTGGATGAGGCTGTTGTTGTGTGGGAGGAACCCCTTTTAGGGCTACTTAGCGCAGCGAGGCCCCTGGAGCAACATCACTGTGCCGAGGCTTCTATGTAGATGGCGTGACGGCGCTCAAGAACGTTCAAGTCTACAAGGAAATAACCATGAAATAAATATGCCACCAGCAGATATATTTAGGCCAATTGCCAGAACCATTTTCTCTTTTTATTACTTTTCCTGCACTTGTGTTTCACTGTCACCGACGCATTGCCGGCCACGGGCTAGTGCCTCGTTGACGTCAGAGGCCCTTGCAGTGCAAGAAAAAAGTGCAGCCAAAATCAAGGTTAAAATGAGCCCATCGCAAGCGCGACCACCACCGCTGCAACCTTTTTCTCTTCTGCCTCTCTTTTCTCTTTCCCCCCATCCTTTCATCAAGAAACCGACTCCAAAAACCAACAGCCGCCGCCATGCTCAGCCGCTTCAACATCACCAAGGGCTACCTCGCCTTTGCGGGCGTCTACTTTTTACTCTTCGTCCTCGGTTTGGCCATCATTGGGCTGTACGCGACCGACGTCCAGCGATCGCGGGAGCTACACACCCATCTCGACTCAAAATGGGTACGTTGTTCGCTCGCCCGGCAGCTCTTCTCACGACGCCGGTTGAAGGACGAGAAAGAAGGAAGAAAAGGCGCGGGAAAGCTAACAAGTACCACCACAGGTCTTTGCCGTCGTTGTCGGATGTCTCTCTAGCGTCACCTGTCTCGCCTACCTCGTTCCGCTCGTCTTTCACGCGCTCGGCGTCGTCGCGCCGATCTGGAACCTGGTGCTCTTCATCCTCAATATCACCCTCTTTGGCGTATTCGCCAAGGTACGTTTGCCCGGCTTGCTTCCTATTCATATATAGACAGGCATATTCACTAACATGGCCCTCCCAGCTCTTCCTTCATGCCGACGCCGGCGGCAACGGTGCCGTCACACGCATGAAGAATGCCATCTGGGTAGACCTTACCACCGCCCTGCTCTGGTTTCTCGCTACCATTGCCTCGGCCGGCTACTGGTGGAAGCACCGCGACGTCCGCTCCCGCTTCACCGGGCGCGCGCATGTCTGAGCTACTGCTGCTCAGAACCCTCTTGCCTCCCGGGCTCGTGCTGAGAAGTAAGGCCGCCGTGATGGCCAGGTCTGGCTCCCATTGCATCGATACCCCCTTAGGCGCATCTGTTTCGAGATACCCTCTAGCGTCCACAATGTTGATTATTTCCATGCGGTATTGGTTTCCTTTTCCCTAATGAGTTTTATCACTTTCGAGCATATGAGCACCTAGTTCATGTCTACCGAATAATAATATTAGTATTTGTCTCCAAAGTCCCTGTTATCTCAGGAATTAACGAACTCCAGCTCAAATACAATACATTACCTACTGGGTGGCTGATTCCCTTTGGGCAGTCTCGCAAGTACGTTGGACGACAAGTTATACGGCAGCTGTGACTAGGTAGGAGACAATTTGGGTAAGATGTGGCACGAGAAACATACCTACCTAGGTTGAATCAGGTTTCCCTGCCAGACGCGGCTGGAGACACCAGGGCTATCGTCACAGTCTCGCTTGTCCTGAACTCGGGAACGCAGTGAACGCGGTGAACGCGGTGAACGTGGTGAACGCGGTGAACGTGGTGAACGCGGTGAACGTGGTGAACGCGGTGAACGCGGTGAACGCGGTGAATGCCATATCACGTAGGCACACGCGCAGGTATATATATCCCCCCGCCTCTTCCACGGCACCGACGCAACCTCCCTCCTTCATAACCACACACATCCAAGTACCCACGGGATACACATCAGCTCGCCACCATCGTTCTGTCGAATCTGTCCGAACGACGCCGTGATCGCCGCGGCCAAACAGAAGTGTCGACCTCTCCCAACCGAAAACGCCCGCCTGTCCAGCCCACCTCTACGCAATGCCTCCCATCCTTCGACCGGCCTATGCCCCCGACTCCGACGGCGATAACTACGACATCTCGACGTACGTGGGCAACCCGCACGATGCCAACCAATCCGTGCCTATCGAGCTCGCGTCCATTGCAGATGATCAGGATCTGATCTGCTCGGACTGCATTATCCAGCTGCAGAGCGGCCTGCTCCCACCCCCCCACTGCGCCCACGAACAAAGTAAGTTGAGTTACTTAGACCTACACACAAGCGTTTGACTGACCAAGATGGCAGCACTGGTTCGAAGAACCCGCCGCTTCGTCGGCCCAGCCGACATGTTGTCCCCCCTCGTCTAGGCGCCCGCCGCAATCCTCCGCGCCACACTGGAGAGTAAGAGACACAACCCAAAGTCCGTCATGCACGAGGACGAGGTAAGAGAATCACACAGATTTGATCTTGGGATCATGAGCTGACCGTACGGTATGACCAACAGCAGCAGGCACGAGTCAATCTGAACAAGGGCATCCTTCGATCCGCGCTCCGCCTGGCCGGCAAGCTGGAGATGGTGCCCACCCAGGTCCGCTTGAAGAATCCCGTCGATGATCGCGTGTCCTATGTCACCAAGATCGGACCCATGAGGATCGTCATGCGCTACCTCGCCGGCAGCACCAACGCATAGGAAGGAGGGGGGCGGGACAGGGCTTCGGCCGCACAGCTGGAGAACGCTGTCCGATTGGCCCGCCAGGAACGTTGTGCTCTCGCTTAGTTTCATCGAGCTTCTATTGTACGCCATTTAGGTGTTTCCTCTGGCTCTATTTTCCCGAGCTCTTTCTATACGCTAGTATACGTGTTGCTACGAAATAAGAATTGTTCCACCCTAAGCCACCCGTCCCCCGCAGAGGTTCTGCTTCGTTATACCCCCATGTATATTACATCACACCACAAATCCAAGAAAGTCAAAGGCGCGTATTAAGACTCAATAACAGAACAAGAAAAACTGCCTAGCCACATTACTGTTCAATTCCTCCCAGGCGGACCACCGAGACGTTGGGCACAACATCGGCTTCGGTGCTTTGCATGTAAGACAGGGTTTTCTGCGGCGCGATAAACGTCAAGACCTCGCGTCAAGGGGGGGAACCTGCTCGCCACATTTGGCGGCGGCGGCAGCAGCGTGTCGGGGATGGTCTTGGGGCCGGTGTCGGGGACGGGTATTATTGATCCCCGGCGCTGGGACTCGGAGCCCCGGCAATCTAGGACATGCTGGGGTCTTGGTTTCTGCACTGTTGTGTGTCAGTCAGGCGCAAGAAAGTCGAAGAAGGAGACAGGAAACAAAAGGAAGAAGCGGCAAGGGGGGGGGGAGGGGGAACAAAAACGAGAAGAAGGAAAAAAGCCTTACCATGGGATCACACAGGCTCTCAGAACAGCGCAGCACCAAGCGTTGGGCCCACTCCTTCGGCTCCATGGTCCTCAGGAACTGGTGGCAGTTCTCGGTGCAGGCGAGGCAGTTGCGCTCAATCTGGAGCGCATCGGCGGTGCTGTTGGCGCGCCAGGCTGGGTGAGGCGTCAGGATCGCCGGCGTCGGGCTCGCGGCGACGGTGGTGGACGAGGTGGACGAGGTGGCCAGGGCGGCGGCGGCGGCGAGGCCCACGGTGGTGATGAGGATGAGGAGCTTCATGTTTGGGAAGAGCAGGGGGAGCAGGCGTGGTATAGGAGGGAAATGTGAGCGAGAAGAAGGTTGAAGAGCAAAATGTTGGTGGCAGGGCAGGACGGGTGTTGGTTTGTATAAAGAGGCGCGCCATGGAGGAGGCAAGACGCAAATAATAAAATTTAAAGGGCTAAGTCGGTTCGGTGCATATTGGTAAGATATGAAAACTTTCAATATAAAAATATTGACTATATGATTGCAAGTTTAGTTGCCCGTCCGCCACAGGCATCAGACTGCCAAAAAGTCTGCCGCTACGCCACTTTTCTCTCTGCTTTTCTCTTTGTATGTGGTTGTCTCTCTTTTTGTATCTCTCTTTATATTATGTTCCCCAGTGCTATTCTTTGAGTTATTTCTTTCAATATTCGTGTTTGTGTGCGCCAGTGTTGACGCCACGAGCAGTCCGGCCAGACGCCGCCTTCAACGGCGCTTAACTTATGAAACCCAAAATAAACCCTTTTGCCGTCCTAGGCCTTGCTTGTCACAATAATGATGACCGCCGCATCTATCAATAAGAGTGGTTGTACAAATTGCCCTCGCCGGCTGGTCTATAATGACGCTTATCCGAAGAAGAACACCAAGTCGGACAAGATCTTGTGTCAACTGACGCAGCACCACTTGATTGCTTGTCTCGCTTCGCTGACAGTAGTCTAAATCTATCTCTTTGCATTCCCATCTCGTTTCGTAGCGTCACCCGTATTGCCATGGGAATACTTGAATGCTATGAGGCGGGGAAGCGGATCGATGGCAGGATTCGAATCTAGGAAATATTATGTCGGAAAGTGGAAGGGCCCGCAGCAGCGGCTCGAGGGTGCCGAAATGATCAAGGCAGGAGATAGGTCATTCTTTATTATCAAGTCGCATGCATGATAAAGTCCACGTTGTCCTACTGATTCAGTTGGTCAAAGCAACGAGGGATGGTAGATACGCGAATGTAGCGCCGGCCACGACCTCGAAAGGCGTACTAGCCTGCCCTCATACATGTCTGGTAAATCGTGTAGGGTCAAGAGGTCAATTTTTGACAAGTGCGTTTACGTCTCAAGATGTCCAAGGTCCACTTCGTAGAAAGTGACCGCAGCTTGGTGTGCATCTCGATGCGGGGGTGGTTGCAGCAGATACGATCAGTCGTGGGCCGCTTAGATGGGGCCATGTGCACGACGCTGGCAAACATGATGCTCAATGAAAAACGATAGGCTGGTGCTCATCAGTTTCGGCGAGCTGCGTCGGGTACGTCCGTCGGGGCAGAAAGTGAAGTGGACGACGGATACAGGGCGGCGTAATGTTGGGCGCGATCTGCGCTCGATGAAATTGCAATGTGGCTGTCGGGTTTGAAATTGCATCGCATAGTTTCCGCCATGTAACGTGTGTGTTTATTACACGTCAATGCCAGCGATTGCGAATAATGCGCGCTGTGGCTTGGCGCAGTGTGCCTGAGCTGTATGGAGCCTGGCAAGGATCGCAATGCATGCACACTGCAGGCTGATGTTTTTGATTTGCGATGGGTGTTGGCCAATTTGCCTCGTGTGTGTGTCGATCGTGAGGGTGCAGTTGATGTTCGCTCCCTCTACGGCCGTAAGCCTGTAGTGCGCCATCCCGTGATGGATTGAAGGACCAGATGAGCGCAATCATCTCGCAACGGTCGTACGCGGCTACACGTTGCGCAGCCACTTGATCTGGGGTGCTGTCGATGCAAAGGACAATTGTTATGCACACAATCGTACGTCGTACCGTGACGCCAGGTGGATTGGACAGCGGGCAAACGCAGATGTTGGCGTGGATACACGCAGACGGGCTTGGATACACGCAGACGAGTCGGTAAAACACATCCGTAGTTCTGATTGGGTTGGCTGATGGATGGATATCTGGTGCGGGTGCACGTCTCGGCTGGGTTGGGGTGACTCGGGCGAGACAAGGATCCATGTGCCATTGTGGTGGAAAGTGGGAAGAGGAAGCCAAAAGGCCGTTCGCGGTGAGGCTTTGATGGTGGCTTACAGGGATGATTGAGGCGGACAAGCGGGTAAAAACTGACCTGCAACCGACAGACAACAGAGTGTCTCTGATAGTTACTCTGTCTTGAAAACTCTGTAACAATAATCAGTCCTTTCCATCAAGTTTTTTCTTTTGTTCACCGCTGTCCGCCCCCATCCTGTCAGCTCACAAAACTGCCCAAAAATGACCCGCCTGCAACGAACCGCTATAGCGAGCAAGGGCCTTGTAAATATTAATATTGGGCGCTGCGCCACCAAACGAGGGTATTCCTCCGGGCATCAGCCACACATCCGCCATCGCCATCGCCGCTACAGCCGCAGCGCACCAGCCAGCTACCCGTCAACGCCAGGGCTTGTCGATCTGGTCTCTCGTTTACCAGCTGCCAGCTGCCAGTCGCCAGTCGCCAGTCGCCAGCTGCCAGTCGCCAGCTGCCAGCTCCATGTCCTTGTTTGCATTTTGAATCCTAGTTACAGTTTTCCCTGCCGATATTCTCCGTCGTTCCTCAATCGATTTGTCCTTCTCCATCGAAGCTCCTGCGGCCATCCGTCTCTCGATTTCTCTTCAGCATTTATTCATCGTCGTACCCGTCATCCTCTAGTTACAAGTCCACCTCGTGGTGCACCCACCTGCCACTGTTACCAGGCTGTGACGCAGGTAGTGGGCTCCGCCGCCGCCATCCCTCGACCCTGCAGATTTGAGCCGCACACTCTTGTCTCTCGTTTCTCTGCCTGACACAGGGGGTCATGACTGAGCGACTAGCCAGCCAGCCAGGTTTCTTTGATTTATTAATCCCCCTCGACCAGCGCCTCGCTCTTCCAATCTCTACCCATCTCTCATCTCCATTCCTGCTATAAAACTTCGCCGCGTCTGCTCAACTCATCAGATCCATCATCAACCGCTGGACCACTTCAAAGAATGCCCGGGCCGCTTCAACGCTAGACTGTTGTGGTGACGCACTTGTTCATTCCAAGGTTTCTGGCGGATCCGCCGCCATGTCATTTGCACGATCTCTCAACAAGGCCCAAGGCTTCCTCATGCCCTACCGGAGACCAACTTTCGGGCGCACCCTTTCCAACTCTTCGGAGCTATCCCTCACCTCCAATACCAGCGGCCGCGATGAAGATGTGGCCGGCGATTCTGTACCGTCCGTGCCAGGCACACCAGTGCTAGCTCCGATGGAGAGTTCCTACTTTACAAAACGCAAGTACTCAAAATATCTTCACTCCATGACACTACAACATCTTATCCTCTTGCACCACAAAGGCATCACTCAATGTACAACCCGAATTTGATGCTCTCGGTTGAATCTCAAACAGCAGCTTGCAACCTATCACGGTGCTATGCGTAGCAACTGGTCCAGGCGCCGTTGGATCCGCCAGAATATTGCGTTCCAACCCATTCCTGGCTAGGCCCTTGGCCGCTCCCTCGGAATACACGGATGAGTTCGATCGTCATGTCTCCGCCCACGTCATTCCCATCACCGCGTCGTTGCTTTTCTCCACCCCAGGTTTTCCGTTCGTCGCCTACATAACTCGCTAACAATCCCTGCGCAGACGGCCCCGAGTCTCGTTCTCGCCCTATCGCCATCGAATTACCGAAATCGAAAAAGTCTGGTACTTCAGTTTACACTCCCACTGAAACGCTTTCTGCTCGCGGCGACCTACCTGGGTGAGTAGTCATCGACTTATAAACCGCCTCTAGCACCGCTGCTAACCAAGTGAAATAGTGGCTATTTCCCCATGCACGAGGACCCAAAGTGTCGCATTCATCGCCCACATCCCTTTCACTCGGAAAATCGTCAAAAGAATTCGGAATTCAAATTCGATATGCAAGCCCCAAGAGAGCAACCGGCCTCGATGGCACCGGCCTGGCAGGGCACTCACACACCCGTGTCGTCGTACATGCCCTCAGGGATCCACGAACATTCGTTACCTGTCGGCAAATATTACCCTTCCAACTACGAAAGGCGCACGCGCCAGTTGCAAAACCAAAGGACCTTTGTCTCAGATTCGGTCACGTCATATGCCAAGACGGATGCCCAAGGTACCACGTACAAGGGCACCGACGACGCACGACAGCGATTGCAACAGTACCAACGTGACATGGTCGCACAGGCTTCCATGGCACTGGGTGGCTCGTACAAGCCAAGCATGTTGCCCGGAAACGCCGCGGTCCTAAGAAATCTGCCTGTTCCAGATGGCCGGTTTGGCCGCCCATCAACGCCACAGCGACCACTTTCCCCGCACCTCCAACCCATGGGAAGCCCCGGCCCGGTTACACCAATGGACCTAGAGGCACAGGAGGAATACATCACCAAGGGCCATGTCGCGGCCAGCACAACTCTGGCTCCCCCTGCAGCCGAGTTCGCACCGCACTCGCTTTGAGCTTACAACGCCCATATCGCATTGGATCGTTATTCCGCACTGCACGACTGGAGTTATTGGTTTATTCACGGACAGCCGCAAACAGAATGCGCCTATAAATTGGTTGCTTATTATGGATATTGGAGTTTTTGACCATGCACTTGGCCGCGCCGAGATGTTATATACCCTCGCTAGATAGTTGCTTACTAAATGTACTCGATTTCTACCTCTGCACGTAGTATGACAGAATAAGCGTAAAGAGGTAATGTTAATAATACTTTCGCGTTAGTATATTTATAAAGTTTATCAATATTATAGCAGCCTATACTATTACTAGGATGGTTTTTCCCTCCTCTTGTTAAGAACTGGCCCTAGGGCATCTGCATGTAGGCATTGATAGTAATATTAACTCTCTTACAGGGTAAGAGAGGAGGGAAAAGCTAGCCTACCTATCTCCTATAATACAAAAGGGAGCGCGCCTGTGGTGGACTTAGGCTAGGACGAGCCCGAAATGGGCTCGAGCCGGACTCTTTTATACCTCTTATATCTACCTAATTTATTATTTTTCTAGTATCATCGGGAGAAATACACTATAGAGAACCCGAATTTAATCTTACCTAAGTAAGGTAATTGTCCTAGTATTCTAGTTATATATAGACACTAGATATATATATAATTACTTATATATATATATATTATAATAAACTAGCCTAGAAGGCTCTATATTAGGGCATAGTAGCTAGGGGTATAGTAGCTAGAAGGGAAGGTACTATATAAAGGTTATATATAGAGGGGAATATATATAGAAGGGATATTGTATAGAGGTAAGCTACTAATAAGCTAGTAAAGAGGATATAGTAGTAATTCTATTACTATTACCTACTCTACCCTAGATTATATTATAACTAAAGTACTTTAATACTTAAACAACCTTATACTCTAGTATTAACTAGTACTATTACTACTATTAGTCTTATAGCTATAATCTATTATACCATAGAAGGCAAAAGGATTCGTAAGAATAATACTAGTAGGATATTATCTAGTTATACCTATAAGGGTATCCTTACTAGCTACCTAGAGAGGTACTGGGTATAACCTAGCATATATACCCTAATAAAAAAGACAGATTTCTAAGAGAGAAACTATATTTATATAATTTGTGACGGACTGGCCCCAGAGGGGCTTCGGGGGCAACCAGCCCCGCAGCTGTCAGTAGCCTTACGGCGCACAACCCTCTCGACCATAAGGCCAAAAGGATTCGTAACAACAATACTGACTTGTTGTTGTCTGGTTGCACCTATAAGGGGCCCCCTAGGGGCTCCGCGCCGGCCACTCTGGAAGGACCAGGGCAGGCTCCGTAGCCCAGCCCTTAACATAATTAATTTATATTATAATATCCTTTACTACTACTATATATCTAGTATTAGTATATAGTAGTACTATTATATAAAGGCTGGTAATAATCTATTGCTATTTCTTAGATACTAGAGGGGTCTTACCGGATCCCTATATACTCCGGATTAAGACCGTGTAGAATCCCGTAAATGTGGTTAAGGTTTTCCCTTAGGTACTCTAGTTTTTCCTTACCCTATTATTAGCAAAGGTACTAGATAGGTTATTTAGCCTAGTCAGTATATAAGAATTATTATTATTATTTCTTAGATACTTGGTATTACTCTGCCTTGTAATTATTTCCCTTACTAATTCGAGTAGTTTCTATAACTTGCCGGCGACTGACGAGACCGCAAAATCGCCTCGATTCGGTCTGCCTCTGGATGTCTGTGAAGATGCCCATAATTAACAAGATGTGATACAATCTCCCAGTCCCGAACTTCCATCGCTAGGTCAACGGCTGATTTCTGCCGTTCGTTGAGCGCATTGCAATCTACTCTGTTGTCTTTGCACAAGTGCTCAACACACCGTGGCCAACGGAATTCACAAGCTGCGTGCAGCGCGGCATTTCCATGTTGCCCCGGGCCAATATAGTTCGGATCCACGCCTGGGTGCGTCAAGATCAGCTTCACGGATTCTTCACAGCCGTCCAACACCGCAATATAGAGGGCAGAGCGACTGGCGAAACCCTTTTCGTCCGGATCGTTTGTCGCGGTAAGTAGCGACTTAAGGATTTCCATATTCCCCCGCTCGACAGCCAGTCCGATCATGCCGATCGCACCGCGTCCAGTATCGGTCGTTACTTGGATATTCACGCCTTTATCGACCAAGTAGTTGACCATATTATGGGAGAGTGACCAGATTGCAAGCTCGATCGGCGTGTCCCCCCCATTCTGGTCGTTACAGGGCAGGTTGACGTCGGCTCCGTACTTAACGAGGAGTTGAGCCATCCGCGTATCATCTGTCAACGCCGAGAGTCCTAGAGGCGTGATGGATCGTCTTGGAGGCGTGGTAGTCGCGATAAAACTCCCATAACACCGCTTCCGCCGTGATTGTGGTGCTACACGGGGATAATGAACAGTAACTGGATAGTACCCTCTCATGTTGACAAGGGTAGCTATAGCAGCAATTGAAGAAATACCCGTCGCGTGGATATCGATGGCTGCATTAATTACATGCCTAGCCGTAGAATCGTATATTGTCGGTCCTTCTCGTGAGCTCTTGCTAGACGCCCAAAATAGTGCAAAAGCACCTTGGCGAGCGTCGCGCCTATAGAGCTCGTTATTAAGCCATTGTAAGCTTTGGCATGATTGTGCAAGCCGGTTGAGCTCGCGCAATTCACAAAAGTCGGCAATTAAGAGAATAATCTCCTTTGGAAATTGAAGCAGTTCCATCTTATTGTTGTCTTTGTTCGAGGAAAATGACATATCAGACATAAACTAAGCAGGTAAAGTGTAGGGAATAAGCGAAAGTGTAGAGAATAGGTGAATTCCAGGAAGTTGTTTTGTGTGTTGCGTCGGCCGCGTTTGCACGCAAGCCGTGAATAGACTATAGTAACTTACTTCCCTAATAGCGGAAAAGCCCGGCCAAGGTATTATCTACCGGTTCTATAGGTTTCTAGGGAGATAGGCTGCAGTAAAGTACTCACTCGTGTTAAAAGTGAGGAGAGCAAACGGCGACAAACGCAGCACTCCTACTCGCGAACCACCCACCCTTCATTACAAACAAACCTACTAAACTTTGGCGGTTGGAACCTATAAACAATCTAATATATATATATTTATGTATTTCATGCTGCTGTCAGGATTTGAGGATTTCAAACCCAAGTTGCGGCGACAGATCTCGAGCATGTGGCTTGAACAGTCTGCCGCAGCAAGAACGGACAACAAACAACACAACAACACGCGCCTACAATTATCGCATGCCAAAGGTAGAAGTCATGGCAAGGGGTGTATTATGCGAAAGGTAGTATAAATTTCAGATATAATCTTTAATATAGCAGTGTGATGTCGTACCCTTCTCGCCAGTGTCTACTCTTTGTACATGTGCATCAGTGGCTGGAATCGTTCTGCACTGCACGGCGGTATCATTAGCTTTCGAGCCAGCTCCAAGTCAATAAGCTTGACAATGTGGCGATTTCCAGATCCAGTCGCTATCTGCTTCCAGCTTGTAGCAATCTCGTCTGTCATGTGCACCCTCCGAATCAGTTCCGTGGCGAATTCCACTGCTCGAGCGTCGTAACGGTAGCCAGGGCTGAGACTAAAGAGGAACTCGCCGACTTCACGCCACCTATGCTGGCGCAAGCGTTCCAGCCCGAGAAGGTAAAAAGCAACATCCCAGCTTGCCTTTCGGACAGCTGTCAACAGCGCGGTTGCGGTATACGAGTCCATCCTTTTGAGGTCAGTTCGTCCATCTTGACACAAAAGCTGAACACACGCCACGGAGTCCATGATGCAAGCCACCGTGAGAGGCGTGAGCCATGGGCCTTCGTCCCGAATCCACATTCTGTTTGGATTGACTTCGGCGCGTCCAAGAAGTCGGCGTACGAAGCCCTCGTGGTTGCCGCCGGCGGCACGTATGAGGGCCGTCGGTCGACTGGACTCTTCTTCATTAATGTCTTCGATGGCGTCTTTTTCATCCGCGTCTTCGAGAACGGCAAGCAACGCCTCAACACACTCGGCACTGTTGACATAAACTGCCGCAGCCAACGGACCGTCCCCATCCGGGGTCCAGACATTTAGTTTGGCCCCTTTCTCAATGAGAAATTTGGTCATTCGACACCTGCCCGACAGCACGGCGACAATGATGGGCGGGAATCCAGGGCAGGGCGCGTAGTCGATCCTGGATCCGGCCTCCAGCAGGATCTGGGCCAATCCCGTGTTGTTCCAAAAAGCTGCCATGCCAAGGAGCGAAATCGGATTTGTTCCCAATCTTTTGCGAAGAGGGTCCCAGGCACGGTCATCATCTTCCGTTGATACCCTTGGCATAAAGTTCCAGGCCATGTCCACATCCGCGCCCGCCTCGATCGCGTGGGCAACTGTGCCGCAAACCGTGATGTCATTGTCGGTTTGACATCGCTGAAGGGCCCAAACGAGACAACTGGCATAATTATGAGAAACATTGGGCCAGTGTAGGGGTCTCTGGGGAGGTTTACCGCAGTAGTCGCAAGTTCGTTGGAGGCTGCAGTAGTCGCGGCGTGAGAGCCAAAGTGGTATAAAGTATTTCTCGGCCATGATTTTGGCAGAAACGCCGCAGCAGGATATATCGATATAATTTTGACGGTTGATAAAAGACGATGAGTGCTGGAGCTTTTCGGGTTGGTGTTGGATGGAGAAGGTCCAGAGTTTTGCAGGTGGTGCAACGACGTCGCTAATAAAGGGCTGTAAGCGGTTGCCTAATATCGAGGGATAACGTCGCATGTGCCCCTACAGTCTTGCGTTATACAAGAGCTGCCTGGGCCATAAGCGGTTGCCTAACAGCGAGGGAAAAAAACGTTACACGGGACCGCCAGGCAGCCTTGGGTTATGCAGGAGCTGCCTGGAGAGATCAGCGAGATCCCGGGGCCATGTTCAGTTACCGCACATGTTCCCTCCGTCATCTTTCGTCGGCCGATGGTTTACCCAAGGAAGTGCGGTGTCCCGTCGCCAGTTCTTGGCAAAGACGGCCCTCTTCTTGTCCAGCTCGAGCTCGACCTCGGACCAGTGCGCGGCGCTCTCGCGCAGCAGCGACCGACCCATCTTGTACCAGTACTCGAGGCGAGTTTCGTCAAACGTCGTGGCGCGAACCAGGCGCACCATCCAGTCCCGCTGGCGGTGGAGGCAGGCCAACTCAAACGCGAGCTCGGCGTCGTAGGCGGCGCCGTGGCCGAGCAGCACGTCGACGAGACCCCAGTGGTGCTGCGTCAGCGCGTAGAAGACGGGCGCGCGGTGGTTGGGCCCCGCGAGGTTGATGTCGACGCGCGGGTCGGCGCACAGCACGCGCACGACGTCCTCGTGGCCGTGGCACACGGCCACCACGAGCGGCGTCTGCCCGTGGATCCCGCCGTGGCACCGGCTGTCGTCGTGCCGGCGCCGGATCACGTTGGGGTCGGACCGGCTCTTGGCGAGGATGAGGCGCACCAGCCCGGCGTCGCCCTTGTAGACGGCCTGGATGAGGCCGTTGACGTCCCCGGCGCCGAGCGGGTCGGAGCAGTCTTCGTTCCGCAGTATCGTCCGGAGGGCCGCCGGACGCTGCTCGCGTACCGCGCGGGTGAGCATTGTGCTGCCGGAGAGATCCCGGACGTCGTCGCCGTATGTCTGCAGGAAAAAGTGAAGCAGCTCGGCGCAGTCCATGGATATGGCGGAGAAGAGGGGAGGGTCTTCGTATCGCACCGGCTGGCCGACGCAACCCCGCGCGGCCTCTGCGGGATACTGCACGGGCTTACTAAAGTCTACCCCGCCGGCCTCGATTAAAAGTCTCGCCATGTCCACGTCGCCGAGCGAAGCGACAACGTACAGCGCATTCCTGGTTGACGCACCCCGGGCGGGATCGAACCTGGGGGCGTGCCTCTCCAGCATCTGCCACAGGCTGGGCGGCCACTCGGCGTTGGGGTCCGCGCCGGCGGCCAGCGCCATGCGCGCCGTGTCCGCCTTGGACAGGCAGCAGGCCCAGAGCAGGGCCGAGGCGCGGCTGTTGTCGTCGCGCAGGTCGAAGGCGTAGAGGACGGGGTTGGCGGCGCGGTGGCACTGGCGGCTGGCGCGCGCGAGCCGGCTAATGTCGGCCCTGTTGGCCAGGCGGGCGGCGACGGCCTGCAGGATAGCATCGGGGCATCGGGACCAGGGACAGGGCTTGGGGTGGTTGGCGGTGGTGGCACCCGTGGAGAGGTGGACTGTCTTGGCGAGCTGGTTGGGTTTGGTGTTCATGCTGCGGAAAAAGGCGCGAGTGTATCGGTCTCGGGGAGTCGGAGAGAGACAAAGGAGAAGGAAATGCGTTTTTTCTAGTCAGCGGGCTCTCAAGCAGATGATCTAGTTAGAGGAGGAGTAGCCAAGGAGAGAGGGCGACAACCAGACTAGAATCAGATGAACAGCGAAGGCCTCACGCTAGAACGGGCTGGATAGGCCGTCACAGTCGCACAAAGGCTGTGGCGGGAAGCCATGTACTGTCTTGTGCCTTGTGCAACGTGAGCAGTCAGTCAGAGTCGCCGTAGAGCAGGGACTTTGTCGCGTCGAGAAATGTCGTGCTCACACCCCAACACGCGCCAGCTCAGCGATGTTTGCTCAGGTTGTCAGGCTATCGAGCCGAATCATGTCGCTGCATAGAGCATGGCTGGGCTCGAAGGACGGCATTTGCGAGCTGCTCTGCCGGCAGGCAAGTCTTGAAGGATTTGCTCAGCCTGGTCTTCCTGGTCTTCGCTTTGCATCCCGTCCTTCCTGTCGGGGTGCTCGACAAAGATGCCCGTCAGAGACGACGGCAATACGGCGGAAAAGGTACGCATACAGGTCCAGTACATATATGGAGAGAGATAATTATAGTCTGTTTCCGAGTGGATGTATGTATGCTCCCGGATTCTCGCGAGGAGCAACTGGCCTCGGGTAGCACGTGGCTATGCTCCGATATGTCTCCCCTTTGTCCTTTGTCTCGTCCTTTCTAAACAAGTGACTGGCCTGCTGCGAATCGAAACCACGAGGCCTCTTCATTCATTTGAAACATCTTGGCGCAAACGAAAATAGACCCTCCATCATTTTTCGATTCCAACAAGTCTCTTCATCCCTCTCAGCGACAGACGATACCTTGACCCGACGGCAGTCGCAACCGACGTACAGAGTAAATTAATTCGTACAGATTACCAATCTCGCGGATCCAGTGTATCGGGAGCATGCACTTACCCGTCTGGACCCCCAAGATAAATTCCACAGTCGGACTCCGTCCCGCGATGGTGTGCAGAAGAGGCGAATGCCCACTGGACAAGGGAGAATAAATCTCTTACCAATCGGAGCAGCGTCGCCAACAATGAACTTGACCCGGTCCAACCCGTTCCTGATTTCAGTTGACCGCCTTTAAGACGCGCAAGAGACCTGGGCCAATCGGAGCAGTCCAGACCAACGCCACACGGTCGTACAACATTTCGGAGCAATCCCCGGCATCAGCGACCCAGTGAACAAGTCGACACCAGGCCTTTTCACCGTTTCCATGTCGGCGGAGAAGAAGCGACGAGCCGAGGCGGTGGTGGTGCCGCCCCTCTTCCCCCGGGGTTCTCACACTGACGTGTATAACCTTCTTCAACCACGAGGCACACGTTCGTTCACTATCGGGTATGAATCAGTTAAAGTTGGTACCTACCCGAGACAAGGTCTGGTCAAGGATATCTATCTTGCGACATGGCAGAGGAATCGGCTGATGTCTGATTGCGTGTCTTGTCAGACTCCTCTGGTACTGAGCTGAATTACCATTGTGGGGAGGTCAAGTGAAACCCCCGACTAGATCGTCCGACGATGGGATGCCCGCTGAAGGACGTTTTATCTGTGTTGCTAAACCTGCTCATGCTTGACTCCAGATACTGAACATCGCGAGCCAGACCGCTATACCAGCCGAGTCATAGGAAAGTTAAGGCAAAAAGTCATCACCGAGAGTTACTGTTTGTGTTGGAATAGGAGCGATGAGAACGCAAAGAGGTATTGGGAGATTGAAAAAAAAAAAAAACGCAGTTGTGCGTAGTGGTTGGTTATTCACAATCTCATCACCACAACAGACCTTTCATTTCGGAGGAGACCGTCAAGGTCGCAGTCTGCGGACAAATCCCCATATTAACTACATTAGCATTTCAATTTCATTCATAAACAAGTGCCTCTGTAAGCGCCCGATCAGCGCGTCGCCGCCGACGGTCTTAACCTTAAGTCGATCGCACTAGAAGAAGCGCGCTTGCTGTAAAAATTAACAGCAGAGAATTATACTTGTCCAAACAATCGACCAGGCTGTATGCCCGTACTCAATTTCCGTGAATCGTAAATCATTGCTCTCTCTCTCTCGTTGTGAGGTATCTCTCCCCGACATGCTCCAACTGAGTCACATTCACCATTGGTCGCCTCGCGACCGCTATTTGCCCTTTCGGGAAGGCCATCGAGCATCGCCAACCCCGGTAAAGAAAGTAACAAAGGAAAAAAAGGAAAAAAGGAAAAAAAGGAAA